CTCCATCAGCCCCCAGTTCCTTGGCCGCTGCAGCCTTAATCCCCGGCATCAGTCATCCTCATGGCATCAGGTCACTGCGAAGATCCCCCTTCAGAAGTCCACATGGAGAGTGACAGGAAAACATTTTGTGTCATGGTAGCAGAGGAGGAAGAACAGGGTGAGGGATGAAGAATATTTACAACCCAACAGAATTTGCTCATCATTTTAAGGATAATTCCAGTTTATTACAACTTGGGTGTTGGGCCATTATACATTTGTGCTTATCAGAGTCATTACTAAGATCTAGGAACTACAGCAGCGGCATTACTACGACCAACTCTGACAGGGCAGACTAACAGTTTTAAAGGAATTGTTTGATATTTCGAGAAATACACATATTCACACTTAGATAACAAGACTGATACCGCTGTCATGTCTATCCATTAAATACGAAGCTACTGCACGTGGGTGATTAGCTTAGCAAAAAGACTGTAAGCAGCAGGAAACAACTAGCCTGGCTCCGTCTAAAGTTTAAGTCCAACTAACTATTTCTTTTCATATTGCAACGGTGGATCAGTGGAATTAGGTGAAAGCTCCGGTAACATAGTGTCTTGTAACCGCATGCTTTCTTGCTTGCGCGTGTGCACATGCACGATGAAAACAAAATGGGGACCTACTCGTAAAAACATTGCTCGACAGCACTACTAGCGGTCATAAACTCCACATGGTACCCTAAAATTGGTAAGCACAGTGTTTTATTACCCAGAGGAATGGTGGCCAACACTGTATGAAAATGAGATCCAGCTTGTAATCAACCTAAGTGATTCTTTGAACATCAAACACATGCTGCAGATAACTTGGATACATTTGCAGACACACACACACAAAAGCACTTGGGACTGAAGCACGTGAATCCAGGCGAAGGCAGGTGCTCACGCAGTCACGTGCAAGTACTCACACATAACACAAACTAAACGCCCCCGCGCCCACATGCACGCACCACATTGTCATATTCCTCTGCTGTGTATGCACAATGTATGTACAGTGCACTGGTGACACAGGTCCAGATGTTGCAAGTCAGACAGGCTTGGAGGTCCGCCCCAGGAGGTCTGGAGGTCCTCTGGGGCAGGAGAAGCCATTTCCTCCCTGAAGCGGAGTGGGGAGTGGAGAACAGCAGTGAGGGCCGAGGAGGATGGCGGCGGCGGTGGTGGTGAGGGGGAGGATGCTCTCAGCAGAGAGGAATTCCCAGAATGTTGTCCTTTAATCTGGAGTCAGGCTCACACACTCTCGGTCTCTCAGTCTAACTCTCTCTTTTTTTCTCCCCCTCTGCTCTATCTGACCTCCTCTGGCTTTTCTGTTACCATGCAGAAGGGAAGCGGGGTGTCAGATAGGCAGAGAAACAGATTGAAAATGCAAAGCAGCTGACCTAAGGGCCAGACATTGCATTGCACAGTTACATACATACTGTATGTGTCTGTATCTTTGTTTTCATGCAGCCTGTACAGGGGAGTCAGAGCAGGTAATGAAGGGATATGTGAAGCAGAAGGGTGAGAAATAAAAACTAAGGAAAAAGGAATGCAAACGTGATCGGGGGAAGGGGAAGGACAAAAAAAAAAAGTTCAGAACAACATTGCAATTGGGGAATGTCCTTTTTTATTTTTACTGTGTGACACAGAGCATGTTCCTTTGTCAGCAATAGTTTTGAGATATTTAGTATAACAGACTTGAGACTTACTACTACTGTTTTGTGGAGAGCATGAAACTGTGTGATCAGACTGCATTCATGGATATTACAGGCTCTCCAACTGTTGTATGTATCCTTTGCTGCACGTCAGAAGTGTGTTTTTACGGAATCAAGGGCTTACAGAAACAGACAGAGAACGAGAGGCATTTTATAGAGGAGGAACAAGAGATTGCAGGAGAGGAAGGGGGTAGGGAGAAAGGGTGAGGAGGATTGCTGAGTGGAAAGCAGTGCTGACAGAGGACTGTTTGTTTGGGAATGAAAATAAGCACCCTGAAACTCTGAATTTAAGGTTTGAGATGAGCCATTTGAGGGGGGCAGAGAGTCAATAATTTGAGAATAGCGGGCATCAGGCAAAATAAAGAATAGCAGTATACATTTTGTAGTGTGGTGATATTCAGAATTTTGTCTAAAAATCGCTTGAAAAGATCAGAACCAAGATTAGATTCAGAGTAGGGAAGTGGGGAAAGTATTGAGAGACAGACTAATGCATTGTTGTAACATATATGAATACACAGCTACAAAAATGGTTTCCTACAGTGCAAGTAGTCAGGGTGTGATTTCAGATTGCAATAAGCCTTAAAACACCTTCCGGTGTGTCTGAGTGCATGCATGTGTGATATATATGCCTTAATCTGCAGTTGTGGCCAGGTTTTCGAATAACTCTGTACTGCACTGAGGCGGATATACCCTGAGTTTTAGGTCTGTGGTTCTTCCTAGAAGGCTTTATGTGTGTGTATGTGTTGACTCTGCAGGGCTACAAACTCCCATGTAGTAGACTGGAGTCACATGCATTTGAGCCTGCAACTGCAAGAGTTAAAGCAAGATGTTCATTGGGCCATTTGTCACCCATGCATCCATCCCAATTATAAAACAACAACCTGTGTATGATGGCTTTAGCAATGCCATGTCTTGGTTAATAGGGGAACATGGAGATGTGATGTGCTCCATCTATATCAAGCTGAACACTTGCAGAGAGCTTCAATTTAAAATCTGAAAAAGAAAATCCTACAAAAACGAAAGCAATGCAGCCACAAATTTTTTCTCATGCTGAAAAAACACATCAGTGACATTGTGTTGCCTGACTATATGGGCAGCTGTGCAGCTTCCATTCATGTTTTTCTTTGAGGTTTCACTGTTCTAAAAATCTTCAATGACCCTAACAGCCAGTCTGTTCATTCTCAGTGTATGTCTCATTTTTGGTCACATGGCTTAGCCGACACTTCTCAGCCAACTAGCCTCAACTTCCTCCCTTCCACTGAAGCAGGAAGTAGGAGATCAGAAAGTATCACACATCTGCAAAATACAGCCCCCGTCTCTATTAATAGTGTCATTCAGTTTAGAAGAAAAAATGTGACCAAACTTTTTATTCCTCTTGTCTGTCTCTGTTGACTGCCTTGCTTTGCCTCAGATATCCAAGACTTCCTCTCATGCTACTATTATTAATAATGTCCCTTTCTAATGGAATTATTTTTATGGGCAGGGGCAGATAGGTAATGAAATATTGCCCTGCAACTTTGTAACTAGACTCACTATTCTGAATGGTACTACAGCTCGCAGGAGTTGGGGATTGTACAATCATTATCAAATTCTTAAAATGGATATTATTTTTATTTTAATATTACTCTTACTAAGTAGGCTACTGTAATTAGTTTAGGAAGTTGGAAACTATACTACAATAGACTGATGCTCTGTAACAGTTTTTTTATACACTTAACAAGACTAAAAAGTTTGCTAATAGGAATGTCATTAGTTCTGCAGGTATTTAGTCATAAACCTAAGGGTTTTGACCTGATGATGGCACTAAAGGAAAAGTTAAGGGATCACCAAGGTCAACTGTATTTGTCTCCTGGACACCTCAAAATTCACAGGATTTCATTCAGTATTTATGAACCAGACACGTGAACCTCATGGTGGTACAAAAGGAAAAGTTGAACGATAATCATAGTCTGTAGAATTCCTTCCAGGGAACCATGAATGCCTGTACCAAATTTATAGCAATCCAACCAACAGTTTTGACATTGACATCCACAGAGCCGCTAGCATGTCTCAAAACTCAACTTGTATTTCCGGATGGGAATTAAATTAGGCAAGGACGAACGAAGTGCGCGTACTTAACAAGTACACTGAGAAGCATCACACACGCGGTGATACTGACTCATTAAACTGAAATCAGTATAACCTCCCCCAGTGATGGAAATCGTGTCAAAGTCTGTAAATGATGGGTTTACTCAGGCTACACTTGAGCATATAAGCAAGGACCTGATTCACTTTTTAACAGTTTATATTTGGCTATCTACATCCTTTGAAGATCAGTGCTCTCATATTACACATAAATACATGTGGGCAACATTTAAAAGCTCAGGTTATTGTTTCCAAGTACTCCCGCGGAGAGTCCAGGCCAGCCAATAAAGATATCTAGGTGACACCACACTCTTTTTTTGCTTACAAACATTCGCCTCAGGCTCTTAAGATCCCGATAAGCACTCTGCAGTGCCTGAGGGGGGGAGCTGCAGCCAAAAGCTGTTGGAAAAATCTGGAGTTTAGGAAAGCACCTGGAATCAGTCCATTCTCTTACTAGGGGTCACTGAGTTTTGTCTGGAGGCTTTCCCTACTGTAGCTGTTAACAATGCTGCCGCTTTCCTGCAGGCTATGGCTACACACACACACACACGTAGAGCTCCCAATAGAGTTACAGGGACAAATTTGGAAACCATGCTTAGTGTGAAGTGGCACAAAATGGTTGCCGTTATACCTCAGGTGGGTGCAAGTTTTTTTTTTTTTCCTATTTCGGGTTCGAGGGTGGGGGGTGGGTGTGGTAGTATGCTAGTCAGGCCGTTATCACTTCACATACACAAGACATCTTCCACGTTTAATCCAGTGAAACACTGTATGTATTTGTTTTTGTATTGGCTACTAATGCACGTGTATACACACACACACACACACACACACACACACACACACACACACACACGTATATACAGTAGTGAATTGCTGTGGAAAGACTGTGTGATGTGGGTACACCAAGACGAGAGCAGGGAGATGTGTCCTGCCAGATATGATTTCATGTCTTACGTAAGCCTAAGATGGGGGCAGAAAAGTATTAACCCTGTGTGAGCGTGCATGTGAGCGCAAGCCCCCAAGATGGTGACATTTACTCAGTGAGGCTGGCAGGTATAACTACACATAAGAAGTTGGTAATGATTTTTGTCCATGTGTCTTTGTATGTTTAACTGTTATTTTCTTAATGGATTCCTGCCCTGTGTGTGTGTTGTAGGTGGTGACACTGTGGTACAGAGCCCCAGAGGTGCTGCTTCAATCCAGTTACGCCACACCAGTGGACCTGTGGAGTGTCGGCTGCATTTTCGCCGAGATGTTCAGAAGAAGGTGAGCACTGCCGAGAACACAGGACCGCCTAAACTTGCCTGAAATTTTGTTGTAACCCCCAAAGTTTGTAGTGCGATAACTACACCCTCATTGAGAAAATGTAGGGATTTAAACCAGTAACCCCATGCTCACTGGCACAAAGATCTCACATCAGCATGTATATTTGAAGTGTCCAGCCACAGACAAAACAATATGCAGCGTTTATCCAAAAACACCATTTTGCTGATGTTGTTTCACTTAATCATTTTTTCTGAAGCTGTGCTCATGTTAACGGTTTTCTGTTTGGGAGGAGTTGTTATGTTGCCCTAACCAACTACTAGTTAGTGATATATTAGTGTCAGTCAACAGGGAAGCTTCAAAAGCATTTGCTAAAAGCAGGTAACTTTTTGTGTCAATTGAAGAAACATGCCATTTTAAGTTATTTCTGTACGACAGCTTGCAACAACCATTTATAACTGGTACTGTCTGGTACAGTAAAATGATACTGATTCTTAATCCTACCTACAAACCTGTGATTGGCTCCAACTAGGTAAATAATGAGCACCAGACTGCTTGTGAATCACTGAAAACAATAGAAAGTTGGCAGCAATTAGATCTGGATGGCTCCTACTTTTCACACCTCATTATTTCATAATTCACAGTATTGCCTCCTTCACGCACTGTTGTATCCCCCTTCTCCAGTTTGCTACTGTCACATTTAAAATGAACAAACTAAACATTGGCACCTCAGCAAGTGACCACTGACTTGTAAGGTGTAGCCTACCATGTTAGCACACAAACAGTCACACACTCACTGACCTGCATCAGCACTTTGCTATATTCAAGCTGCCCCCTTATTCTGGCCGCTTGTTCACCATATTGATCGTACTGGGCTTTTGTGCATTTGCATTGTGTGTATCTTAACCATTTGTCACGTTAAAGTGGTCACTAAGTAGGAAAAACTAAGTAAACTAAAGCCTTTTTAACTAATTTTACTAAGTTTTAAAATCTTTTTAAAGAGAATTTGTGGTGCACGTCAGCGTAGTGGTATTAAATCATAGTTAAATCATCTAATGGTTGGGTTTAACCATTTGTTACTCACTAGTGTCACTGGCCAGTGTATTATATGGGTTATAGGAGCCATTGGAGGTCATGCAGTTGAGAGCTGCCCCCTTTACTGATTGGTTTCCCAAATTTACTGTTAAAACAGATTATGATCAGTTACCTACATGGATGTTCACATACTGTATACTCACATGCTCATATCCTTGTGACCAAGTCTCCATATGGAGCTAGTATCACTAAAAGCCATCTGCCATCTCTTCTTTCCATTGAAGTGGTTTTACTGTTTGCATGAATCCTAATGCTAAGTATTAAGTAAGTGTGAAGAGATGCTCTAGATCTATGGCTGATGATCACCTGAATGTTGGTTGTTTTGGTTGATAACTGAAAGAGCACAAACTAGAGAATTTTCTACTTCTCTGCATTGCCTTTTTTCTTTCATACACCGCAAAATCTGCAGCCGTCATTACAGAATCAGTTATTGGGGTGTTTCTTAAACTTGTCGCCTCAAATGACACCTGTCAGATGCGTTGTGAGCAGTGAGCAATCACATTTCAGTTGGCTTATCCAAAAATTACAGTAGTGACAGGCTGCCTGCTGTGGTTGCAGCATGCAAGTCAAGATTCTGCTTCTTGGTATAGGTATTTGTCAGTTTGTGGTCTAACGAACTTCACACACTGGAGAGCCAAGCTAATAACAGACGATTTTTCTTACAAAAAAGAAAGAAAAAACTGGTCCAACTTCCTGCCCTTTCCAGGGCATGAGGACATATTTTATCACCACAGCATCAATCTAATATTAATATTTATGTGGCATAGTAGGTAATAGAGCTGTGTCTTGTAATTAACAGTAAAATTGGGGTCTAGCCAGCCTGTAGTGGTGTGCTTTGGAGCAGATAAGAACTGTCTTTCTGAGGTAGGGCACAGTGCCAGGAGGAGCAGTCCTGCCTTTAATTTATGCTTCCTTCCCCAACCGTCCTCACACCCCAACATGCACAGCCACACGACGACCCACGCTCTGCACGTGGAATATACAGGCTTGGGGTGACATGGGGTGAAAAGACTGTGTAGTTATGTGGTATATAGACAGATGACAAATGAGTGGAGGAACATCACGAGGGAAGAATCTTTGAGTATAACAACTCAGTGTATCCTATGGTATGGCCGTGGCAGAGACCAGATGTCAATCTAACAAAACACCTATGGGGGATTTCTGTGGACCAAGCTGTTCGATACAGCCAAGCAACAATCAACAAAACACAAAATAGGGAAATATCTTTTAGAAAAATGATGATATGCTGCATTTAATCTAATCTAGCAGCTTGTGGTACTGTGAAACAAAACATACACTGTAAACTATCAACCAAATATTGTTGCGTCTGTCCCTACCCTGGGCTTTTAAACAGCGTTAGTGCATCTTGTGCATGTGGGCACCAGGTCCTTGTGTTCAAGCTTCATTTGGTGGCCTGCTGACAAAATGGTGATACAAGATCTGTACTTTTTCACAAACTGTACATAAGGACGGGCTAACATACAGGAGGGTGACAGACAAGGGGTGGCATCGGTATTCCTGGTTTTCCAGATTTTACAAGATGATCCATTGATAATCCTTTACGGTCATATGTGACTCAGTAATGTAAAGAAAATATACACATCATACTTAATATGCACAAAACTAATACTGATACATATGATATAACATATACCTATTGCTCAGTGAGCAGCCTTTTTTGTCCATTATGTCTCTTTGGCTCTTTTTTTTTACTATTATTGAGCTGAAAACGTCAGTCGATTAATCAACGACAAAAAAGTTATTGGGAACTATTCTGTTAGTATTTTAGCAGTTTAAGCTGCTGTCAAAACAGAAATTCTTCTCATTTAATTCTTTCAGTTTATATTCCCAGCCTCTCTGTTGTGAGGATTTGCTGCTTTTCTTAGTCTTGTGTAGCAAAGTGAAAATCTTTGGGTTTTGGGTTGTTGGTTGAACAAAACAAGCAGTTTGGTGGCATCAACTTGCCTTTAGGGAATTGTGAGGGGGGGGGGGTTGTCTAGGTTATGGTACATCTTCTCTCACCCTGACACAATAAGCTGTAAAAAGCTTTGGTGTGTGTGTATATGTGTGTGTTTTCACAGTCTGGCACCTGTCCAGTGTTGCCTTAAGGCAGAAGGTAAGGCAGAGTCCTTTGATGGCCATGAACAGAACATACACACTCTCTCTCTCTCTTTTTCTCTCTGTCTCTCTGTGTGTCTCTCTCGCTCTCTGCAGGTGATTAAGATGGCTTTTTAAAAGGCCACCTGTTAGAGATTAAAGGGCACCTGGGAGAAGCGGTGAAAGAAGGCAAGAGAAAGCGCAAACAAGAGGAGATGAGAAAACACTGTTTATTGGTTTGCAGTTTTGTTGGATTGGAGATTACAATCGAACCAGACATCCCCACTGCTGTTTTAATTGCCTTTTAAGAATAGTTGGTATCTAGATTGAATGCCCATTTTGGGAATGAATACATACTTATCGTCTTCGTAATCTGGTCTGCCCAGTGCTATTTTCTGTTTCTTTTAGCTTATTTCTTATTTCACCATTTTAATTTGACTTCATTCTCCACCTTATCTTAGTGTTTACTCACACACGCACATACTTACACCTCTGCTGCAAACACACCTGCTTGCCCCGTCTCCTCCTGTCTCTCTCTCCCTGTATGTGTCTGCTCTGTTGACATCCTCCATCAGCAGTATGTTGTATAAAGTCGTCTTTTGGATTTTTCAACCTGCAATTCCGTTTTTACAGCAGCAGGTGCGTTGCATGTGGAGGTGGCTTACCTTCCAAGCACCTTCTCTCCTCTCTCCACTTTCACCATCAAACATGCCATTGAAAAAACCCTCTTTTACTGACTTGATCAACTGTAGCAAGAATAGTTGCAAAGTTGCTGTCAAAGGAATTTGAGCAAATATAATACAAGTCTGCATCTGCATGGCTGGGATAGTGTTGGGGTGAGTCATGGTTCGGGTGAATGGGGGAGAGTGCGCCTGCTTGTTGACATTCCTGCAATCGAAAGGGTTGAACGTGTTGTGTTAATGGTCCGTGACAGGCCCCACATCTGTGTTGACTTTCTCACAATTGATAAACTCAATTGATAAATCGTCAAAGACGTAACATTGCATGTACATGTTTGTTCTTTACACAAACACACTCTGATGTACAGTACATCCAGACCAGTCCATTCCATGCAGTTCACACTGACACAGGCTAGAACACAAGAAGCCGCATTTCTCTCTACCCATTTCTCACCCAGACAGATTGACGCTCTCACATGCAAACATGCACACACACATTCCAGAGGTTGTCTCAGTGGGATGAGGGACAGAGTTGTGTGCACTAAAGGAAGCGTGACTCAGCTGCCTGTCCCAACCCAGTCTGAGTCCTTCTTTCACTGCCACCCGTTTGTGTGTGTTTGTGCATATGTATGCGCACGTATGTGCACATGCTAATCTCGGAGTGGGAAACAATCCCTTTTCAACCGATGTGTGTGTATACTTGCTTGAGTGTGTGCAAATATGCATTTGCACTCGACTGTTGACTGGATGTGCATGCCAGTGGCCAGCTCTATGTGAATCCAGTTATCCCCCTCCAACAAACCAGCAAACCACTCCAGGTTTAAAAATGGACCTCTTGGAATTATCAGCCCTACTTGTTTTGGCACGATGACTTTGCTGTAGGTGATTTCTTTCTTCGTCTGCAACAATCAGAACTGGTTTGGTCTGATCTTAAATGGCTTTCAAACCTGGCACAGTGCTTTACCCCAAAAGACCTGCACATGGTGTGATCCTGTTTCTGATGTTTTAAAGCAGAGAAGTTCAAGAGTAAAGAGACACAGAGACATCCGTTAGTTAAGGATGCCAGTTGTGAATAGTTGAAACAAACTATCTCAATTCTATCCAAACTAAAACCTGCGACAGAGTTTGCTGTCACAGTAAAAAAGAATGTGCAAAATACCCCTGTGACTAATTTCCCAGTGTCTGAGTCTGTAGGAAAGTGTGGGTGTTGAGCTATGCAAAGCTTCCTGCAAGTGGGAAAACACAGGGAGCACATGGTGGCTAGTCAGTCTATTGACTGCAGTAAAGTGGGGTGCGCTTGAACTATATTGAGGCCTGGATACAGAAAATATACACAGGTGCATGCAAGCACATCTTTGTGACAATATCCTGCATTACATTGACATCTGCTGGTGACTGATCATCTTGGACAAGTGGAATATATAAATAACAAATTTTATACTGTAATTTTTGGAGTAATACGTTTTTAAAAGTATCGTATTTATTCAAAAAGGCAGGCCATCATTAGTGTTAGGAGAAAGTCCCTTGACAGCAACACCTCCTCGTTTCCTTTCAGAGAAACTTCAGCAGGAAGGTCTAGTTCCCATACCGCTTTCTCTGTTAGAATAATCCAACTTTTCTTTCACACACCTCTTCCTCCCACTTTCCTACGCACATTCACACACAGAGCGCAAAAGCAGATACACACACTCACATAAGGGATAAATAGGCTTTTTCTGTTTTGCGCGGCGGTCGGCAGGCTTGTGCTGATGATGACTACTGGAATTTGTGCGGGTGCCAGGGCAGGCATGGCCGCCCACGGGCATCCAAAGACGGCCCAAAGCCACAGGAACCACCAGCAGCCCTGCTGCCGCTCTCCTCCCTCCTTTCATCCCTCCCTCCCTCCCCTCCTCAGTGGTACTACCATCACTGCCTCACAATCCTGACTACATGAGATGAGGCTGCGAATGTGTGGCTACTTCAAAAGCTCACATTAGAGTCACACATTCCTCTTTGCCTTGAGCCAGTAGCTTATGTCTTAGAGCTGTTCGTCTGCAGTATACCGTGGCAATGTGAGCATGAGGGCTCCAAAGCAGGTCAATAAGAATATTATATATAATTAATACTTTACACTTTTAACCAAAATGCATTTGAACCCTTTTCTGTATCTACATGTTTTTTGTGCAGCACAAGGTATGAAAACATCGACTCATGTAAATGCAGTCTAACTAAACTGTGTTTATTTTCTCTTTCCCAGACCGCTATTTCGAGGAAACTCAGATGTTGATCAGCTAGGAAAGATTTTTGAGTAAGTATTATTGGCTGTGTTTCCTGTTGCAGCTTCTAAGGTCCCATATTTTCTTGAGAATGAATGTGCAACCCGGCAAAATGAAGAGTAATTAGTCACTCCGAGAAAATGCTGTTGCTGGTGAAGTCACAGACGACCATTATCATTACATAGTGTTGTAGGAGTACCTTCAGCAGAAGACTGGCCTCAGGAAGTGGCCCTACCACAGAGTGCCTTCACCCCCCGGCCCCCTAAGCCAATAGAGGACTTGGTTCCAGACATGGACGAGCAAGGACGGGCCCTCTTAATGGTGGGTAGTACGAGCCTCTGTCCAAACCACTTTAAATTGATCATGCAGTCAATACATTCTTTATGTCACAATCTTGCAGTCATACAATGATTGGCCAATCTTCCTACGAAATAATCTTACTTACTTGTAACTTATTTACGAGTCCATCTCATCCTCTTCTTTATCCTCCTCTCTCTTCTTTGCAGCAATTCCTCGCCTTCAACCCCTCCAGGAGGTTATCTGCCTTTGCTGCGCTGAGCCACCCCTACTTTCAAAGCGTGGACAGCCACAGTAGAAGTGTGTACGCAGCCCAGCCCATCCCCAGCAACAAGCCCACTATGGAGGAGAGGACTGCCTGACTGTCCTCCTCCACCCTTAATCATCCATACAGTGTTTATAAAAAGTATTCTGTAAACCCCACCTTGGTGTTATTCATGTATAATTATTTTTACAGCGTTAAATCAAAGTGTGTTCATCAAATCAAAGTTTTTTTGACACTGATCAACAGATAAATCTTTAATGTTAAAGTGAAAATACATCTGTATAAACTGATGTAATTGAAGTACAAATTTATTTATTTATTATTACCTTTATTTATTCAGGGGAGCTTCACTGAAAGGAAGCCTCTCTTTTGCAGGAACGCCCTGATCACATTCACACTGTTACACAATAGGTGCGTTCGAGATGACGGCGGCTGATTTTCGCCGACTTGATAGTCTAATGTGAGCTGCAGGTGACTACAGGGGCGGGGAATAAAAATGGCACCGTTATGTCGGACACATTCTACCTGCGTGAGCTTACTGTGAGCTGAGATCAATGACTGACTGACTCAAGTTGGAACCACACTTTTGCCTGGTCTCGCGGCATTTGCAAAGAAAAATGCCGCGAGACCAGGCAAAAGTGTGGTTCCAACTTGGTGCAGCCGGGAAAAAGCAACTTCGGCTGCCGGACTCAGCACCTGCAGCCGCCTTGCTCCCACGAAGTTTTTATGTCAGGTGACATGCTGATGTTTTGCAGCGCTTTTTTAAAGTCCAGCATGCATCATGTTAAGTCAGTGCTGCGCCATATGAAGTCAAACGCACTTATTCACACCTGGAAGCTGCCCAGTACAACCGCAGCCTGGTCTGCTGGCCACTAAGCAGCTCCACTGGAGCTGTTGGGGTTATAGGTCTTGCTCAAGGGCACCTCAGTGGTAGTAAATGAGGGAGGGCAAGCACTGCTTGGTTTACTTTCCACACCCAGATTTTATACTGCCGGTCCGGGGATTGAACCGACAGTCACAAGCTTGCTTCTCTAACCTTTGGGCCACCACTGCCCAAATATAGAGCACAGAGTGATTGATACGGACATATTCACCACCTCAAGTCAGTAAGCGGTAGAGGCACATTTGGTGTCATTTACAGCCTTTGCGTTGTATGTTTGGATACCGCAGTTTTCTCTCATTGTTCTTTGCAAAAGTCCTAAAGCTCTGTCAAGTTGCATGGTGAGCATGACCGAACAGCAGGGTTTCAAGTTCTGCCACAAATTCTTTGATTGTGGTCTGGTCAGGTGATGGCCGCTCAACCTATTATTCAACTTCTTAAAAAAAACAAAAAAAAAAACACTTTGCTGCACCAATGATAAACTAAGTGTGTCATTGTTAAGAGGGGTAATACTTACTGTCATTTAGATCCATTTGTATTGATTTGTTTTCTCTTTGACTTTTAAAGAGACATTTTGCTGATAATCGGTGTCAAAAAAGCATAATCAATCGTGATTCTGTGTTTTACATAAAATCAAAACATGAAATGGACCAAGGGGGGAAATACTTTTTGTAGTCAATGTACAAAGTTCTCGGGAAGTACTCCTGAAGAGAGGGTAAAGATGGTGTCAGGAAAGATGACACCAACACTCTCCTCCCATGAACAATGCACAAAAGCTATCCTCCTTCCGTGAACTGATGGATTGTAATTGCTGCTTTTAGGTTGTTGATGAATGCCCGTTAATGCAAAGAGACTTGCATCTCAGATTGACTTGTGGGTGTGGGCAGATAAGACTGAAGAGGCCATGAAGCAGACGTCTTTTTATGACCAGTGTTTCACCTTGGAAGAGACCTCTTGACTGTGGGAACCCGACCATCCAGGAGCCTGGGTGGACAGCAGGGACCTCATCTTCCTTCACGCTCACACTGTGTGTGTGTGTGTGTGTGAGAGTGTGCACAGTAAGCAGATGCACAGTACAAACACGCTCACAGATACATAAGCAACCTTTAGTGTGTGCTACAACTGACATCAGCACGCTCATGTCACACTCCTACTTATGGAAACATTAGGCATCACAGACCAGCCACTTACTGCCATGTCTTGACTTATCATTTCAGTTCTACATGTATTATATCACTGCCACCTTGAGGATGTCCTGAGTAACTGCAGACCAGTAGCGGGATTCTAATGGTATCTGCACTCTTCAAGGAGCTCTTCATAATGGGCTGATCTCAATACTGAGACGATGAAAAAAGAACCTTATTGAAAATGTTCCTGCCACTCACTTGGTGTTTATGACTTGCTTCTAGTCTGCCATCATGGGTTTTTATCATTATAAAATACAGTTATAAGTTACTATCTGAATGATACAGTAATGCACAGGCTTGCAATAGGTGGGGAAATCCCACCAGCACTATTCAACATGAATACATTTGGCACCGAATAGTGTCGCCAACATTCTGTATTTAATTTTTAATTTTATTGACAAGTCTTATATGCTTGTTTTCATCAAGTTGTTACTTTTTTAAGATGCTAGGGCATACTATATTCTTACACCAATTACACCAACTCTTTAGATGATTATAGAATGTGTGTAAGAATAGTTTGACAATGTGGAGGAATGTATAAAGGATAGGCATTGGGTACTGTACAGTATAGAGTGCTAAGTACAAGCTGTAATGATAGAAAACCTTTGATAGGCGCAGCGTCAGCCCATAGATATGTCGTAAAAATGGATAGATGTAGAGTAGCGAGCAGTGGAATATTGAATGGCAAGAGTATTTTGTCTATTGAAAATGTTGGTTTGGCTCTCTGGGTGCTTGAGTTTAATTTGAATTTGACAGTGGTTTTGATAATGAAATAATGCACAAATATTTTGTATACAGTTTTTGCTTTATTTTACTGTCATGTCCCGTTGTGTTCAAATCCAGTTTTTACCAGCAAGGAAAAAGCAAGTTATGCAGAGTTGTATTTTTGTATGTAGTAGTTCTTGCAGAACAGTAACATATTTTAACACTGGTTTACGTTTTCTTAACAGGTAGTGCTGCTAGCACACACACAGACACACTCTCTGACTTTCTCAGGTTCTTGTTTTGGATGTCCGAACCTATCGGGCACAGTTTGCACATCCCTGGGCTACTAACTGACCATATCACATCTCCTTCAGGTTTTCTTTCAAGCTGTCCCACGATCATGTCATTGATCACAGTCTACTGTCAATCCTATTTATCAAATATATGTTACTGTAGTCATTACTGTCTTAAGATAACTGCCTGTATCTGTTTTGCCAGCAATTTAAGATGGCGATGACAAGTAGATTGTGTATTGTCTGCTTGACTAAGCACTGTGTGAATTCACTATCTGATAACGACTCCTATCTGGTGTCAGTGGTGCATACAATGCAATGAAAGCTCCAAATACTTTAGACATAGTTTACAATTACAACAATGACTGCTTTAGGCTCATTACAGACACAATCACTGTACGCTTTTATGTTGAGTTAACCAGTTTGTAAAACATTTCAATCTCACAACATGAAACTCCACTGTTGAGCTTTTAGAAGTTTCACTCTTTCGGCACCAATTTAGCTTGATCTGTCATCCATCATGGAACTCCTAGTCTCCATTTCCATATGTTAAAAACAAATGACACAGGAACATATGTGTAGACTAGGAAAACCACAATCATGGCATTATATTTGTGTATGAATGCTGGCATTGGTGTCTTATTATTGTGTTGCACCAGTTGAATAAAAAACAGCTTTTTTTGAATGATGTTTTGGACTCATTTGTCAGTGTCCTTAAAAAATTAATGAATCTTTCTAGTGAATTTTTAGGTGTTATTTTGGAATGAGCAAACATTAGATGAAACACAATACAGTTATTTGTTTTACTTGCATTCTGCCACACCGTCTTTCCTCAACAATGTGCTTCTGTTTCATACCAGCAAGAGAACACATTCTTTATAAATAAATGAATATTTTTTATGTCATTGAATTGTGTTATCCATCTGTTTCGTAATAAAAAAGTGCACATTTTCAAAGAAGAACATACAGTATACTGTAGGAGATTATGGAGCCATAGAATTAAGGGTGTGCACAAAATATGAAAACTTTGAGATAAGAGATATAACCATTCAACAAGCAGACCAAATAGTTTATTAGAATTACAGCAGAAGTTACACAGAATTGAAAAGATGGGAGTGAGTGTGATGTTTATATGGGTACCAGCACATATTGGAATCAAAGTAAATTCATTTGCAGATTAATTTGCAAAAGAAGACACACAAAGTAGGCTAGTGGATAGGATAACTGGCATAACATTTAACAGTAAAAACGAAACTAAGAGTGTAATTAATCACAGATAGAAGGGAAGGTGGCTGAGAGAAGATACCTGATTCATAGTCTCAGATAGATCAAAGTAAACTTTGATTTGCATGATTTTTTGCAAAGACGTTCATGGGATGAATGTTATCTATTTTGTTTCATTATCTGAGGAGAACTAATCCGTTTGAGAGAATCTTATTGTTCGTGGCTATTTTAATTTAATTTTGTTTTAATTGTATAAATTACTAGTGTAGTCTATTACATTTAAAGTCGAATCCCGATCCACACTTCATACCAGTTGGTGGCGGTAATGCACCATTTTGTTGTTTGCCAACCTCAAAAAGAAAAACATCAAGAAGAAGAAGCTTCCATTAACAAGTCTGATGTGGCTAGGTCAATGTTAGCAAGGTAACACTAATGTTTGTTCTCTCTGTTGGATATGTTTCCCCATCACTAACTCGACATGGGCAAGAGAGACAATCGAGTGGTGAGTTATATGCAATGTATGCAAACCTGAGAAGCTGTCGACACGCGGTTATATCTCGTAAACTAGGCTCAGCACAAGCAGAGCTGAGTGTTGGCTAGATAATGTAGGCCCAACGTTAGACAGTGTACGTGTGTCAGCGTGAACTATCTAACTATCTCCTTTTAAAATACAACAACATGGTTTTAATTGGTGCATTGTGGTGTAGCCAACGCCAAAAGGTGAGTCCCAGTGCTCGAGCTGCACTAGTGGAGCTCCGGAGAGCTATAAATGCTAACGTTAGCTCATAACATTTTGGACAGTGTTTTGATGAGGGGGTGTTGCGTAGTGCTTTTCGTTACTTCTTGAGTAATGTTACAGCATTAAAACACTAGCAAGGACATATTAAACGAATAGCAAGTGAGGCTTAACGTTATTAGTCCAGTGTTTTGGGTTAATGTTTGCTAATGCCAAGTTAACCATTTTATCAGTTGCACATATTTTCTCTTGCTAACGTTGCGTTCATCCTCGGCATATCTTATATTTATCTTTTTAACACGGCGATTATGATGATGGAAGGTATAACCATGTCTGTGACAAATTAGTAGGTAATTTACACCTAACTATAACGCTTGTGGTCAGATACAACGGCCTTGCAGTAAATCATATCTTCAGTGAGTTGAAAATTGGTTTTCGTTTAAAAGTGATTATAGAGGTGTTGGTTCTATTTATGATTATCTTGGGGAAGCATGTGGGGTTGTAGAGCTGTATTTCAGTAATAACTGTTTAATCTCAGTGCCTAATAATCTGGGATCTGGGTGTATTTTTTACTAACCTCCATTAGAAATTTGTAAAATGCTTTCCAATGTTCTGTGTTGCAGGCTTACATTAACCCCATTGCTGCTGCACGAGCCAGGGGACCGGCACAGAACTCCGGACCAACCATACAGGATTACTTAAGCAGACCTCGACCAACATGGTGAGAAACCTCACTGGCCTATCCTGACATACAAATTTGCTCCTTGTTAACAAAAAGAGACATGCTTCTTTCTCACAGCTGCACTCCCCTGTTATTGTATTATGTTGCGTCCATGCTGTTCAATATGGACGTGCAGTCCTGTAGTCCAGTGGTTCCCAACCTGGGGTCCGCGCCCCCCCGAGGGGGGTGCCAGAGATGACAGGGGGTGCCCAAACCTTTATCTGTTTTCAAAAAAACTTTGATTTGCACCTTCTATTTTTTTTTTTTTAAATCGCGATAACACACTAGATAATTTGTACAAAGGTCTGTATACGTTCTTTTCCTCACTTAAAATAGTAGGCAGACTACTTAGTAGTAGGGCTGTAATAGTTTTGAAACAAAGACCAAAATCGCGACACAAAAGTCCATGATCTCGTATCGAAACACCCGCACATTGAACTGTTGAGCTCTAATTAAGACGGAGCAACTGTGGCGGCGGCGGCTGGTGGACGGTGGGCTCGGTAGCGGTGCATATTGTAGGCTGTTTGTATTAACAGTAGGTTATTGTATTTTTGTATTTGTCATTTTCCACCTTTATAGTTTAGTGTTTATTTACTTGAATCAGCTCCTCTGCTCTTCTCCCCACACTCTCACACACCTAGCCTGCACCTCTGGTCTCTCACAGCAAACACGCAAGCTTGATCTACCTCTTTCTGTCTCTCTCTCCCTGTATGTGCCTCAACTGATTTTCTCCATCAGCAGTACATTTCATTAAGTCGCCCTGTTTAATAAATACACCTGTGATTCAGTTTTCAAGTGCACCGCATGTGGATCGAAACTGAAACTTAACGTTAGTGAGTGCAGTGGTGCGTTCACTGTCGCTCCGTAATGTAACATTTCCTGCTTGTCCATTAACTTAATACCAGATGACCTCTCCCTCACCGTTTCTCTGCAAAATGCTTAAGTGGTTTACTAAATATACTTTGGCAGGTGCAGTTATACCTGTCCGGCCCGCCCAAGTAGAGTATATGTTGAATGCACTTAAGTTAGTGCAAGCTGTAGGCCTATATTCTGTAATCTATCTTATAACCCCCTTCTCTTGGTATTCAACAATACCAAGAAACAAAACACCAGGAGACTGTTGGTGAAGGCCAACCAAGAGCCGGCATTGATTTACACACAGCCATGGAAGTGTCATTTGACTCAATTTGTTTGCTATTAGTAAGTAATTACATAATATTTTTCTGTGTGCGTGTTTTGTCAGCTGTTGGGGGGGCTCAGCTTTTCTTGGATAAAAGGGGGGGCGCCAAGGAAAAAAGGTTGGGAACCACTGCTCTAGTCCATGGTTCTCCTTACAGGCAGACAGAACCAGCTCTTATCTTTTTTGCTAAGACAGATAAATTCATATATAGCGCCAAATCACAACAACAGTTATCTCACAGTGCTTTCCATAAAAGAGCAGGTCTAGACCGTACTCTGTGATGTTAGTTACAGAAGCCCAACAATTCCCACCAAGAGCAAGCACTAGGCGACAGAGGCAAGGAAAAACTTCCTTTTAAGAGGCAGAATCCTCGAGCAGAACCATGGCTCAGGGTGGGCGGTCATCTGCCTCGACCGGTTGGGGGTGAAGGGGGGAGAGAGAGAGAGAGGGCGGGCAAGAGAGGGACAGAGAGAAAGAGAGAGAGGGATGGAAGGAGAGAGAGGGGAGGGAGGCAGCCTACACAATATACACACACTGAGATACAGATAGTAAAGTTGATGTTGCTAAAGACAATATGAAAAAGGGTACAGATATTTATAGTAGTGTTAATGATAATAATCGTAATGTTAATGATTATAATAACAATAGGACTAGTAACAATAGTCGTTGCAGCAGAGGGTGTCGAGCAGGAACACGGGGGCAGCAGGTGACTCGCAACCACAGATCCAGACTCCACAGCTCCAGAGCCAGAAACACCTGCAGGAAGTGATAGGAGGAGAGAGGAGAGGGACGAGAAAGCACAAGACTACCGGAAAGGGGAGAAGTTGTGTTAGTAACATGCAATAATGGGATGAGGTTGCATACAGAGGGAGAGAAAGTAGAGGAGAGAAGAGCTCAGTGCATCATGGGAAATCCCCCGGCAGTCTAGGCCTATAGCAGCATAACTAAGGGATGGTTCAGGACTCACCTGAGCCAGCCCCAACTATAAGCTTTATCAAAGAGGAAAGTCTTAAGCCTACTCTTAAATGTGGAGATGGTGTCTGCCTCCTGAACCCAAACTGGAACCTGGTTCCACAGGAGAGGAGCTCGATAGCTGAACGCTCTGGCTCCTAGTCTACTTCTGGAGACTCTAGGAACCACAAGTAACCCTGCATTCTGGGAGCGCAGTGCTCTGGTGGGGTAGTAAGGTACTATGAGCTCTTTAAGATAAGATGGTGCCTGACCATTAAGAGCTTTGTAGGTAAGAAAAATGATTTTAAATTCTATTCTGGATTTTACTGGAAGCCAATGCAGAGAAGCTAAGACAGGAGAAATATGATCTCTTTTCCTGGTTCCTGATCAAAGATAACTCCAAGATTCCTCACAGTGGTGCTGGAGACCAGGTCGATGCCATCAAGGGAAACTATATCTTTAGATAATGCGTCACGGAGGTGCTTGGGCCTCAGAACAATAACTTCAGTTTTATCTGAGTTTAACATTAGAAAATTACAGGTCATCCAGGTTTTAACATCCTGAAGGCACATTTGAAGTTTAGCTAACTGATGAGTTTCATCTGGTTTGATCGATAGATATAACTGAGTATCATCTGCATAACAATGAAAGTTTATGGAATATTTCCTGATAATATTGCCTAAAGGAAGCATAAAGTGAACAGGATTGGTCCGAGGACATATCCTTGAGGAACTCCATGACTAACTTTGGCGTGCACTCAGGACTCATCGTTAACATGTACAAACTGAAATCGATCTGATAAATAGGACCTAAACCAGCTTAGAGCGGTTCCTTTAATGCCAATGAAATGTTCCAGTCTCTGCAATAGGATCTGATGGTCAATGGTAACAAATGCAGCACTAAGATCTAGTAAAAACAGTACAGAGACAAGTCCTTTGTCTGATGCAATAAGGAGGTTATTAGTAATTTTCACAGTGCTGTCTCTGTGCTATGATGGAGTCTAAATCCTGACTGAAAATCCTCAAATAAATTATTGCTCTGTAGAAAGTCACACAGCTGTTTAGCAACTGCTTTCTCCAGGATCTTAGAGAGAAATGGAAGGTTAGATATAGGTCTATAGTTGGCTAAAACATCTGGATCAAGTTTGGGCTTTTTCAGAAGAGGTTTAATTACAGCTACTTTAAAGTACTGTGGTATATAGCCTGTTGATAAAGACAGATTGATCATATCTAGCATAGAAGTGCTGACTAAGGGTAAAACTTCTTTAAGCAGCCGAGTCGGGATGGGGGTCTAAGAGGCAGGTTGATGGTTTAGATGAAGAAATTATTGAAGTTAGTTGGTAAAGATTGAGGGAAGCAAAGCAGTCTAAACATATGTTTGGTTTTACAGCTGTTTAAAGAAACTGTTACAGTTAATGTTAAACACGCCACAGCTCATTGGTTGCTTTGCAGTGCTGCTTATGTGTTTTTATTCAGCTAAAAAAGTAAATAGTTATGTTCACAAGTCTAGGATTAAGACTGCTTTGAGGAAACCTTCTGCAAAATAAATGTGTCATTTGTAGTCTCACAAATGGTCTGTACTGTATTATTCATTCAATACTGTTTCGGTAAACTGGGGTTACTCTCAGAGCAGAGGATGCTTTTTAGTACGGACAAAATGGCTTTCAGCATTCTGACCTGCATCAATGTCTGCTTTGTGCAACATGGACAGAAATTATATTTTAGATTGTTTGGCTTAAATTATGGTTTTCTGAGTTTGATGTAACAGGACTTGTTCTTCATTAACTAATAGCTCCGGGTAAAATACTTATTTGTCCTTAATGCATCCTAAGGCTATTTTCCTAAATAGAGAATTTAAGCAATACAGACTTGTTCAAATTTACTGTCACAACAAGAAGTAATTTAACGGCTTTTACCATTTTTAGTAGTGTTATACCCAGTGGATTTGAGTCAGTATCGTTGCAACATCAGCATTACTCCAGGACAGGGTGCTCTCACAACAGCGCTGCTGACTGTCAAGCTCATCATCTAACCTTTTTACCTGTGTTTTTACATATCTTTGGTCCTCCCTTGAAACATTCAAATCTTATCTGCGAGCAAGAAAAAGCTCTTGTCTTGTAAAAAATAAAATTGATATTTGGCTCAGGAACAGATCAGTTTGAAAATATATGAATGAATTTACAATTTTTTTTCAATAAAAAATAAAAAAGTAAAGGGGACATAAAATGCCATTGTCTGGTACCATAGTACTAGTTATAAGGCTTCAAAGAATTATAGTTGATTATAATTACAGCTGTTTGGAAAACACAAGACTCTTGATTCAATAAAGAAATGCTAGAAATGAATAGGGCCATTGAGTCATGCATTGTCTGTTTACTGTACACTTGTTGGCGACATGGAAAAATTGCAGGTGACAGACACTACCTCCCAAATGTTTGCTGACAAGCCTTAAGTATGTTTCACAACTGATTCATTGTCTTTTCATCAGGGAAGAATTAAAGGAGCAGCTGGAGAAGAAGAAGAAGGGCTCCCGAGCCCTGGCTGACTTTGAGGACAAAATGAACGATGTATGTTTGTATTATGTATACTTACACTTACACAACTATTTTTTTTACTATTATTTTACACAAATGTCCGACACAGCTTTATGTATTTTAATGTTTTTCAGAAATGGAGGAAAGAACTGGCAAAAAACCGAGAGAAGTTGTTAGGGGGAGGTGACAAAGAAAAAGACAAAAAAACAACAGAAAAGGAAAAAGAGGAGAAGAAAGAGAAAAAAGAGGTATGTTGTCTCTTTTATCGGACATTTGAATTATCTCACTCTTAAAATTCATCTTTACTCACTTTGGCTTTTCATTTGTGTCTAGAAAAAGAAGAAAGAGAAGAAGAAGCCCAGCAGGGTGAGGAGAGACCTCCAGTATTTTGATGGCTAGCTGTGCCACAACACTGCTGCGCACACACACACACACACTCTTTATGTACACATGAAAAAAAGTGGTGAAGGGACACAAATAATAAAGATGATATAGAATACATACACAAAATCAAGAACCATTGTCATACAGCAGGTCTTCACAAGCATATAACTCACTTGTCAGGTAACAGCATCTCTGCTATATGTGGCAGCTGCAAATAATAGCAGACAGAGCACAGTACTTTGCGAGCCAGGTAACCCCGTTTTTGGGCATCCCAAGCTGTTGAAGCCATCTTGCGACCAACGTGTGTGTCTGTGTCCTAGGCTGCCAAGTATGAAAACAAGTAGTGTGCACTGATCTAGTGCACATCTGACCTAGCTCTGAGAAGGCATTTAGGAGTAGATGGTATTTAATGACCTTGGTCGTAAAATCTTCCTTCATGCAGAATCGAAGGTGCAGCCTACCTTCAAAATAAACACCTCACTAGACACTTCCAACAACATCTGATATTTTAGCAAGCAGGTGTAAGAAAGTAGCAGAATTACTTATATGAATTATAAACTGTGGATGGCTTTACACAGTGATGTTTATGAGCATGGAAATGGTTTGATATGTCTTTCACTAAGAGGTCTACTATTCTGTCATGATGTGCTATGTACATTCATTTGTAAGTAAGTAACAGCCATTCAAGATGCGTGACATTGTTTCAGTCATCTGTGGTGTGATGCAAACAATGTGGGATCCGAGTTGTGGGAAACCAAGTAGAAAGGTTGAGTCTGGTAGGAAGAACTGGTAGTCTGGCTTTTATTGTGAATGTTTATTTATTTCCTCATGTGGGCGCAGTGTTCTTGAGGAATAAGGGATCAGAAGAGGAGGGCACAAAAGTTTTCCCTGAAGTTTTCTTCCAGTACTGTGTTGATGTTCCTGTAAGTCCATAAGAGTTCGCTGGGCACCTGCATGTGGCTGTGATCACCATATGTGGTTTTCTTGATGTAGGTGAGAGGGTCAGTTATAATGTCCTCTGTGACCCTTGAGTCCCAGAGTCAGACCGCATCCACTCATGTGACACTCCAGTTTAGATCTGGCCAGTTTGACCAGACCCCAAAACCAGCAGAATCGGTAGCCTATAAGGTTTCCTGTTGGGTTTTTTTCTGAATCAAACACACACGCAGACACACACACTCTGTGTCCTCTGAGATGGTCTCTAACTGAATCCTTTTACTGTTCCAAACAAGTGAATAACCTCAAGTCTAATGAATCCTGCTTTCATTGTGTTTTGGTCAAGCATTCTTCATCTTCCTCCTCCTCATCGAGTTCTGATTCTTCTAGCAGCTCCTCCTCAGAATCTGAAGACGAGGTAAGTCATTGCAGACTTCAGCATGCGAATTGACATACTGCCAACCAAAAATAACATTTTGTGACTCTTAATCCATCTGCATCAGTTCAGAAGTGTAGTGTTCCGGAAATAGACACAAACTCTGCTCCGCTTGTTGACACATTAAATGTTTCTGATAGTGGATTAGTGTGTGATAACTGATCAGTAATAAATTTGACTAGCTTAATATATCCAGCTCAAACTGATCAATTTTTAAAGGCTGTGATGCGTTTCCCTAGCCATCCTGCAAATCCATAAAGATGTTTTACACGTAATGCAGCACTGCACTGTAAGGTCATAGGTCTTATTTATTTTTTCCAGCATCCTTTGCACTATGCTCCATCACACTGTGTACATGTATGTGTACCTGTATATCATATCCACCTTCAACATGTACATAATGAGAATAGTTTACTCTTGCATCCTTTGCACTCTGACTACTGTCTATATTGTCTGATTTTATTTTGTTATTGTATAAGTATGCACATCATGAGCAATGTACAATCCTGAGTCAAATTCCTCGTTTGTGTACACATACCTGGCAATAAAACTGATTCTGATTTTATTTCTATTTGTGTGTCCAGGATGAAAAGAAGAGTGTGAAGAAAAAGCGGAAGAGAAAGAAGTCATCGTCCAGGAGAGCATCGGACAGCTCAGAGGAAGAATCTGATGCTGAAAGCAAGGTTTTTCTTTTCTTCTTTTCTTTTTTAAGGCACAATTTGCTTGCCTTAATTTAGTATAGAATTAGTGTCTGGTGTTGAAAATGTGCTGTCCAACAACTGTCCTGCAAAGACATCATGTTGTTTAAAATGCCAGTGTTTAATCTAAATGTTTTCTTCCCAAGAAGAAAAAGAAAAGAATCAAGGAAGAAGGGGACAAAGAGAAGGTAATTTACTCTTATTCACTAACTCTCATTTTTGATGCTGTTAATTTTGCTGAACTTCTGTGTATTTCAACAGATGTGTGATCATTTGAAAAAACTTAGCCTATATATACACACACACACACACACATGTCCCTTGTTCTTGCCAATCATGTTGAGTCAACACCTTTTGAGTTCAGTTGTTACAAAGCATTCATAATTGGGATGTAAATCTTGTGTCTGTCAGGATGACAGAAGAAAGAAGGAAAGAAAAAGGAAGGCCGAGCGAAGTTACAAAGACACATCTTCAGAGTCATCTGTGGACTCTGAGGGGGAGGAGGTAGTAAGTATCATTCTCAAGAATTGTTTTTAGGATAATCACTACTCTGAAACTACTACAAGTTTGCCACTAGTCTAACTTGTAATATAAACCAGTCAATAGAAAATCCCTCCCTTCAATAATTAATCCATGTTATCTCCTCTTTGTTCCTCTTTTACTTCTTTGTTCCTCTTTTTAATTCAAATCTGAGGAGATGAAAATTATTTTAAGTATCGCCAAGTATGCCTGCTGCTAACCTCTGTAACAGTATACAGTTTTTGGCATTTGGCCGATGGGGCATGTTTCATGGAAGGCATCTGTGAAGACGGTTTAGTCAGAATCAGAGTAATGTATAAATGACTGGCTCGTTGGTTTAGTTTTAATTCTGTGCTGTTGTCCCAAGTATACAGACTTGTGACTACACACAAGATGAGAACGCACATGCATGTCAGCAGTCAGCTGTCCATTGCCTTTAGTCTTTGTCACGTGCTCAGTTGCAGGAGAATGAGTCAACATATTTTTGATTTTCACTCCTCTCCCACCCCACTGCTACAAAAACTCTCCCATCCCAATCCTGGAACAATGACCCCCGTCCAATCCCAATCATCACTAAAAAAATTTGAAAATAGTTTAGTTATGTTAGAAACTGCATATTTATAGAAAAAACAGACCTATGATTCCCGCCCCACATACTCCTGTTGACTTTTGTGATGAATAGTGAAATTGATTCCCATCCTGCGGGAAACCTGTGGATCACAGGACAAAATATTAAGTTGGTGTGTCCGTGTGATCCGTAATCAAACCAGAATAAAACCTTGCATCAATGGTAAATTCCCCCTTTCTGCCCAGAATAATAGCAGGTTAAGCACAGTGATAGCTCTTTCACAAGACCCAGATGATATGGGTGTACTGAGGCATATTCAACCCGAGTTGGACCCATTCATCTGAGACTGCAGTCACTGATTAATCTGTGGTTGTCACAGTTACAGGATACTCCCGTCTGCAGTGTAATTCAATTCCCTTAACTGCTAAGCCATAGACTTATACACAGTTACATTACAAATTTGCCAAATATTTAAATTCATGTTTCAGTCTCACTTCTTCCTGTACGCTCATTCTCTTTCACTCATCCAGATGTGCAAGCTTTCTGTCTGTCACTCTTCTTGGGTAGTCTGGTAAATGAGGTTCCGTCTCTAATTAAAAACTCCATTATATCAAAGACTGGCAGTGTTTGACTTCCATTCAACCTATATCAGGAGGAGGTTGTGACCCCATGTTGGCCCATTCATATTGACGGCTACTGCAAGTTCAACTAGTGTCGCTCTAAATTTTGCGTGATTCAGACAGACACTCAGAACCTGAGGGAGAGTAAGCGCAATGAGTCTGACCAAGACGGTTGAACTATTAATCAGGGGAAATGTTAGATTTACCTTAATGGCTAAGTGAAATGGGTTCAAGTGTCATCCTGTTTTTCCTATCAAGCCCTGTTGTCATGCATTTTACCTGCCATTCTGCACCCTGTTGTATAACTCTAGAGTATCCAGTGGTGATGCATGGATGAGGATGATTGTAAAATTGTTTTGTTTATCAGTCAGCGGTCATCACTTGGGCCTGTTTATTTTTCATAGATAAGAAATTTAATCAGATTTTGTTCAGTTTTGTCTGAACTTATGCAAAAATAGATTTAGTGTTATTATGTTTGCCAGGAAACATGACAAAATCATAAGTTTAGTGTAATAACTACCTCACTGAGTTAAAAAAAAAATGGTAAAACTTCAAGTGAAAGGAGAAAGGTTGCCACGGGAGCTTTTCATAATTTGGGCATGTTAACCATTTTTGCTCAAAAGTGTAGAAGACAACAGTTTGGTCCATAAACAGATGACCTTATGACTTGACTTGACTTGACTCCATAGTTGTGAAACAAGTTTTTTGCATGTAATGGGCTTTTTGGAATTGAGTGTAGCTGAAGACTTCCCCTTTTCCGTGGTCTCATTTCAGTTTTTCTCTCCCTAGGCTGAAGCCAAGAAGAAAAAGAGAAGTAGCGAGGAAAAGGAGAAAATCCCAGTGAGCAGTTGACTTACTTACTTTTCAGTTAACAGTTCACACAAAAGGTTCTGGTTTGATCTAGTGCAGCTAAGCAGGCAGATTTTTATCTGATGACTACATCAAAGACTAATATCAGGAATGTAAGAATTTAGTAAGTAGGTAAGATTTTTAAAAGTTTAATGATCTTTCGTACATGGAGTGCATCTTCATAATACAAGTCCCAATACCCCTATACAGATATGTTGGGACATTGGCAAGTGTCAGAAATTCACCACTAAACCTTATGTGCGGAGCCTCACCCCCCCCTCCCAAAAAATACACATTGTTAATCCAGCTGTGGAATTAATGCTAAACTTATGAGCAGTGACTTAAATAAAAGTGTCAAACGTCAAATGTTTTACATTTACAGGACAAATCCAAGAAGAAGAGGAAAAAGAAGCACAAGAAACACGGCAGAAAAAAGAAAAAGAAGACTGCATCTCAGTCAGACTTGGAGCTCAATTAACAACCGTAGCTTTACAGTTCCCTCATCCTCCTGACAGCTCACTAGTGTTATGTTTGCCTTTGACTTCGAAAAACTTTACCCATCCAGCTTCGGTCATCACGCTTCAACAAGAGACCTACAGACATGTAATGCTGGGGTTCTGTGAGTGAAGTGAAGTTGAGAGAGGAACCCATCCCTCTACGTGGCAAATACTGGTACATATCTTTGGTTGTTTGTTTTTTTTATCACCATGCCTTTTGTAGATTATTTTTCTTTTGAGTTACACTCAACAACAGGAATTCCACATCTCCCCCACCGCATCTTGGAGATTTCAGTGTAACCGGCACTAACTTTCACCTTCAGTATACTGGTCCTCTTGGAGTTGCTCTCTCCGCTTCAAACCAAGAATCTTGCATTTCTAGTTGCTCGATGAGGCTGTTATGCTGGTTCCTGCGTCATTCATGTAGACCTGATGTCTCGCCAGCCTCATACTGAAGTTGAACTTTCGATAAGAAATGTGTTCTTCACAGTCAACATTTATACAAGAGATAATTGTTCTGTTTCACAAATTGTCACACCTCAGTGTACATGTATAAACAATGGGAATTCATTAAATAAAGTATTGTTTTATCCTTTATTGCTGTTCCAACTTTTTATTGCGAGATGTGTGGTTTTATTACACCTTTCATTACAAACTGTTAAAAATCTTGTTCTGCAATATCTTGTTTCCTTAAAACTGAGGACAGCAGTACTGTAAGAGTAACTGTAGGAATGATGTAAAGCACAGAACCACCTCAGGTATTGCAACTTGTTTTCGTAGGTTCACACCACACATTCTGCCATTAAAACGCAGCAAAGTTAGGCTACAGGATCAAACGGTAATAAAATGTTAAAAAAAGTTTGCCTATTTTAATGACTGTAAACCAGTAGACAACCAACCAACTTGTATGATAACACATCCCATAATTTTTTTCCCCTCTTGACTAGTACATCTCAAATACTTGAGTTGTACTAGTTAAAAGGATGAAACACATACACACACAAAAATCAATTAATTGGAAGGAAAAGTACTTGGATCATAAGTAGTGCAATACAAAAATAAATGTAATTCTGGCATTCAAAACAAACTACTGACTTTGAACTGTCAAAGTAAAATCAATGTATACTATCTTATGAGGTGATTGCTTTTAAAATCTTTTCTGCAAAGTAAGTAAATATAGTGGAGTAAAAATTGAGTGTTTTCCTGTAAAATGCAGTGAAGTAGAAAGTAGCAGAAAATGGAAACCTACCTCTAAACTGTACTTAAGTAAAGATACATTCCACCTCTTTATCTATTACACCATGTAGAATCAGTACATTTCTTAAAATCTTGCGTGTCTTGCTCTATCACCCACTGTGGCATTAAAAGCCATGTTAAAATAAAGTTTGAAACATTCAGCCTACTTATTACAAAAGCAAAATCCATTTCATGTAGCATCTTTATTTTTGATTGATACTTTACAGCCAGGTCTTGTGATTGAAACAATGGACTGGAATCAAAGTACATTGACAGCTTGTGAAGTCTTTCATGTTTTATCTTTGAGGGGAGTGTGCGTTTGCAGCCTCATGCAATGATTACTCAAACCCTCCTTTTACAATCCCAAGTGTAGTCGATTTGAACTAGTTCTAGAAACACTTACTGTCCTAATCCGACAGTCACAGGACCCAGGGGTGTGATTTACAGTTGAGCTTCGAGATTTCCTTCAGTGGGAGGGTCTGACCTGCCTTATAAAGAGCAGTGTGCAACTGTGGCTCAGTGCAGAGGAAGTGTGAGACTTTGACAGGAAGTTGTTGAATCGCTGAAGGTAAGTAAGAATAACATCTGTGACTCTATCAAATCCTTCCTTAGTGTGGTTGTCGGTGTAGTGCTTTATAAACAGTGATAAATGCTGTTTACTATTATTACTGTTCCGTGAGGTTGTTTTGAGTGAAGGGAAGATCTTTGTAGCTGAAAGGAAACTGAAAGCCACAACATGAACAATCTTTCTCTTAATACTCTTTTGTGCAGATGTTGAGGATAACTCTGTGGTTGTTTGTGGGAGTGTTTGTGTGGGAGTTTGTGTCCTGCTCCATCACATGTCCTGACGGGAATGTGTGCTCCGATTTCGCTACCTGCTGTAAGATGAAGCATGGATATAGCTGCTGCCCATATCCAAAAGTAAGGACTTACATGTGTCAACACAAAGTCACCTGACCTGCAGTTAGACTGACTTAACATTTTGGTCAGGAAAACTGGGTGCCAACATGTCCTCCTTAATCTCTGTGTTTCTGCATTCACATGTCCTTAGGCCGTGTGTTGCTCTGACTTGGCCCACTGCTGCCCTTCAGGCTTTCGTTGTGACCTGGTTACCAATATGTGCGAGAAGGAAAACCAGCCGTGGATGAACATACCAATGGTGAAGAAGGAAGCTGCAGAGGAACCAAGCACACCTGTTCTACCTGTATCTCCTCTCCAGGAGCTCGAAATCAACCATGTGACGGACCAAACAAAGAGTTCAGTTGTCTTTTGTGACAACTATTACATCTGTCCCGATGGCACTACCTGCTGCAGACACCCAAGAGGCGTCTGGTTCTGTTGCCCATACTCTCTAGTGGGTTGATCTAGATACTCTTGCCACAACTGTAATGAAATTGCACTTTATCTACTATTAACCTTTAATTGCCAAGTGTTTCAATTTCAAAACAGAATTCTCTTTCATTATTATGTAGCCACAATTCTGTGTTTTAATCTTGAGGAGTATTGGCGCTATTTTGTGCTGATTGTTACTTAAAATGTGTGCCTTGTAGGGAAGGTGCTGTTTGGATGGCTACCACTGTTGTCCATACGGCTTCGACTGTGACCTCAGTTACACGCACTGTGTGAGGCAAGGCCTGAGATATCCCTTCACCCCGAAACAAGCTCTGTCCTCATTCCCTGCCTCACTCATTTCAACTTCAGAGGACAAAAGCAGCTTGCAAGAGGTAAGACATATGACAACAAATGTGCCTTTCTATATGTAGTGTATAAATCCTGGAATTAGTTATCTGAATGAAAACCCATTCACATTAGGCCTTGAAAATCTATTTTCTCACTTAGCGTCTTACTATAAGCGGTGGGTTCCTACATGAATACACAATGTCTGACAAAACGTGGTTGTTTCACATGAGAGTTCCTTGCATTTCAGTTTTTGGCCCTGCTTTTTTCAGTGGTTTGAAGTGAGCGTGGCTCCCTGGGGAAAAGGTGATGTCACATCCTTCTGTGTACCAATCAGGATTTAGCATCTTCTGAATCAAAATGTGATAACAGTTCTGGGTTTATTTAGGTAGGTAGGTAGATTTATTTTGTCACAATATAATAGGTTATATAGTGAGTTTGTAACTCCCTTCTGCTACATAGCAGACAATATACATTAATATAGAAGCAATTATAAAAATGGTAAACAGAAATAAACTACTTTATTAATTTACTTTGCAGGCCACTATCAATCGAATCTGATCAAACCACAAAGTCCTGATAAAGCAGATTAGCTGAGTTTTTCACTGTTCAACTCTTGATAAATGAAACTCTTAAATAATACCTAAGGGATTTCCTTTTCATTTAAAAGCTTTAATCAATATTTCTGTATTAGCAAGGGATCAAATGACTACATGTATAGGAAAGGTTTGGCTTGTAATGACAAACCTACAGAAAACTACTTATCAGTTTACTCTGTTCCACTTAGCTCTACAAAGCACTTTCAGTTCATTGTTTTGGTTTTACAGCACCTGTATTGTTTTTTTTCAGTCTCACTAATGTCATCCACCCTGTTTCCAGCAGCAGCATTAGGCAGCAAAAGAGCTCTCATAAACCCACTATAAGCTCGACACAGACTCCGTTAAAAACCAGCCACATATTTCTCATGACTCCAAATGAATGCTGATGTTGTTCCATATCTGCTGCATGTGTAAACAAGCAACTGTTTGCCAACACGTTCAATTAAAAGGTGATAATGTGTCAGTGTCGTGTTTACAGCTTGTTTCTGCTTCTCATTAAGTGGCCCAAAAAAATCAATTACTGCAGGCTTTAGTTCGATTGTTATTGTTATATTTTATATTTGTTTAAATTCTCTGTATGCCCTGACAGCAATCAATAAAACAAATGCTCCGACACAAAAATTCAACAAATCTGGTATCTGTGGCTGTCGTAGGACTGTAATAAGATGGGCTTATTATTGCTTGCCTACCTGCCAGGACTGGCTTGGGATTTTTCGGTTGGATAGCTGTCTCTTGCAAATTCTGCAACGTTGCCTACTCCAGCTTTAATGTTATAGAGAAATACTTTTTAAAAATCAGGTTTTTAGGGATTTTGAAGATCTATTATTAAAAAAAAAAACATTAAGGACCACCTACCTAATACATAAATACATATTTATGATTCAATATTTAGATAATGGCCAGCCTATAATGGTCTTTTTTGTTCACCTTTTGCAGACACCAATGACAGCTCTAACAGAAGCCAGTGACGGCGATCGGGAGGCTGGAGTCATTCGCTGTGATTCCAAGTTTTACTGCTCAAAAGGGACAACTTGCTGCAAAGGATCCACAGGCCAGTGGAACTGCTGTCCCTACCCACTGGTATGGATTGTGCATAAAATATTAAAAACCATCACAAAATAATGGTGCTTTGATCTGAAGGAAAACATTTTGGTAAAAGTGCTTGGACAAAGGAATATAGAGGGTTTACTGCAGAGATCAATTAAATGATCAACATAATTACCACTGTATTTTTTTTCTAACATTGAGACTTGTTCTGATTCAGGGCAAGTGTTGTGCAGATGGTCGGCACTGCTGTCAGTACGGATATACCTGCGACCCCACCTCCATGTCATGCAGAAGATGGTATTCTCAGATCCCCTCAGGAACACAAGATCGTGCCAAAACATACTAAGGACATGTTGAAGTTTGTGCACTGTGACACCTTTTTTTTGTATTCCGTTCAAATCAGTGCATCACAGCCTCAGTTCAATTAACACATACTGGCCAGAATTGGGATCTGGCCTAGATGACCGTTTAAAGAGTAAATAATGTGCTCAAATGATTTTTTTCTCTTATCCATACTGCATTCTGTTGTCAACTTTCAGTTTCAGTAACCAGCTTAGCAAGATTCACTGCAAATGTTCTTATCAGTTGGAGAGGTATAGGTTATGTTGAGAATGTTTAACCTGGAAGGGTTTGTTTTAGAAGTAGACAAATCTTGGAGAACGTTATGTCAACCTCAAATCATGTCATGTTTTTTTCTAATGAAACAAAATTGTATGGAAATTTTTAAATACAAAATATGAAAATGTGAGTAAATTCTTTTTTCATCTATTCTCTTTTCTCATGCCGCATGAATTTAATGTTTCATTGGGAGATAGACCACTTTCCTGAGCTTCCCATAATTTGATATAATTAGGCTATTATAAAAAAGTGAACACTGATGTTCATCAGATGGCTGTAACTTTGAAAGGAAGAAACTAAAATTTTGTCTCATTTCAAACTTGATTTATGGTTACCATCAAACCCCTGGGAAATGCACCAAGCTTTGAAGCTAATTTGACATAGTGGCCAAACCGTGGCAATACAACTTCCAAAAAAACCCAACTCATTACAAGGTAGTTTATTTGTCATTTCTACTACCTATTATCGATGAATCAATGGGTTATTAACTCTCATCCCCAAATCTGGAAAGAATAAAAGATATACAGAGAACCTGCATAAGACCCATACCATTACTTAATCTAGACTATTAATTATTTGCCAATAGCATTGCCAATAGATTAAAGGGGGTATGACACAAATTGTTACTGAATCTCGTGGCTTCCTCAAAGCCTGCTCTATTCATAACAACATCAGATCGATACATTTATTAGATTATGGAGATAAAATTGAGGATGATGTTTAATTATTATTTAGATTTCTTCAAAGCATTTGATAAGAGTTGAACATCATTTTATTTTGGATACACAGGAACATTTTGGTTTTGTGATTATGTACAACAGTTGAATGTTATGGGTAGTCCATTATAATTGGTGGACGGTATTTCCCTTTTCTTAAAGAATTTGGCACAAATACCAAAAGCTTTGAAGGTTATCTCTTTCTTCTCAAAAGCCTTAGGGCTTTATTTGAATTTGAACAAATGTGAACTTATGGCAATTCACGGTCACCCTTTATCAGCATGTTTCCATGCATGTTACTCACGCAAATTTCACTTCTGGACTATTTGTGTTTCGCAATTAAACCCACGAATACTCCCCCTTCTCTTTTGGAAAGAGGAGAGGAGGAGGGGTTTCTATGTAAATAATGAACAATACTTCCTCCTGCATATCTTGTGTGACAAGAAACACACACAAGCATGAACTGTTGAATGGCGTCACCGGGAAGGTTTTGCTATCTTGGCATTGAATGGTACCTTTTGTTTTGTTTTATTGAAGTGGTTACAGAGTTTTATAAATCAGAATGAAAGCTTTTTGATTAAAATCTTTATGGATTTTGGAGGTATAGAAGTGTGATTTTGAGATTTGTAACCTGCCAGTCAAGTTATCTGCAAGTCCTCTATTTGGAAACTGATCTTATACCTTTATAATACACCAATCTGGAATAATAGATGTATACTGATACAGAAGAAGTCATTTTATTTTAAAGAATGGATAGAACAAAGGACATGGTCTAGGGAATATGTTTGACTACAATAAGTTCAGTCGTAAATTCAAGGTAAAATGTAGTATAGAATATTGTGCTGTGAGTAGAGTGATCCCACAAGTTCTTATTCCCGTGATTAATGTTGATATCACAGAGGCCTAGAAAATTAGTGGTTGCAATTTGTAACCTCACGGCCCCTGAGAACTATACATGGGCTGTGAAGTGCAGTGCCCGTGAGTATCATAGACTGTGTATATAAAAAGCTGCCACCGTTTTCATTTAAATAAATCACGGATGTACAAAGAGAACTGAAAATAATCTTTTTTATATTAAAAAAATAAAGAGAACTGAAACTGAACTACTCTGAACAATAAGGCTGAACCTGGTGGGGAATAAAACCGTACGGGTGATGCATAAATGGCCCCATAACACATTACATTGAACTCCTCAAACACCACTTGTTCACCACAGCCTACAAACTCCCCTAGTACTGCTTCCTCTGTAGTTTGTTTCAGATTTGTTTGTTGTTATGTCATGTACAGCCTATTCTGTAAACTGTTCTTCAGTTTCATGAAAGGCACTATTTAAATCAAAGTAAAAAAAAATTCTCTTAATGTCTTGCTTTGTTTACTCATACAGCCGAGTCCATTCCATGGACTTGAGGATGCAATGAGGGTGTGATAGATTTATTTAATGGATATTGTCCTTCTTAAAATGTGAGCAGTGCTGACGAGGATGCTCTTCTGGATTTCTTGTATCTTAATGTTACTGGGGATTTAGTTGGTGTACTTTTCCATCCCTTTCTTTACCAGACCAAGAGCACCTATTACTACTGGAATTGTTATGGGCTTCGTCTCCCACTTTCTTTCAATTTCTATCTCCAAATCTTTATATTTGGAGAGTTTTTCTGTGGTCTTCAGGGAGGTGTTTCTTTCAGATGGGACAGACATGTCAATGAGCAGACAAGTTCTCTCCTTGTCCTTCACTACTATGTCGGGTCTGTTGGCCTTGGTTTCTATATCAGTTTGAATTGGCGTGTCCCAGATTGTAGTAGATAAATCATTGTCTATTACAGTTGATGGCTCCTGCACATAGTAGGCTATTTGTCCTTTACTTTGTTGTTGTAATGCTTCCAGATTGCCCAGTGGAGGTATGCTGCTGCTTTGTTGTGCCATTGTATGTATTCTGTTTTGGCCAGTATTGGGCAGCCAGAGACTAGATCAGAGGTCACTAGGCGGACCGCGGTCCGGATCCGGACCCAGCGGCCGTATTGTCCGGACCCGGACGTACAGCCGACCTGTTATCGAGAATTACTACCTCCTGACGGGACTTTTCTTTTTTTAAATGCGCAGCTTTGCTAGCATTTACTGTCCTCGTTCAGCGGCACAGGGAACTCATAGACCAATCGCATGTGCTCTAATTGTCTCATGTGATGCTGCCCAGCCAATCAAATCTGTGCATTGTTAAGCATTGCCAGAGCCGTTAACGGCATTGCATTGCGAATCGAATCCGCGAGTGAGATACACAGAGGAAGAGAGGAGACGAAAGAGAAAAGAGACTTCACATGGCTTTTAACCAAGAATGTACAGATTCTCACACGTACATTCTTCCCACGGGCAGTTCAAAACCGGAATATCTCATATATCTTCAATCCTAGGTAGAGCTCACATTTCTCACTAAACAAGAGAAAGTAGGGAAGTGGTAGCTATATAAGAGGGAATGAAAGAGAAGAGGAGGCATTACAGCTGTTCATTTGCTAAGATGTGTTGAGTGTTAATTATAAAATTTAGTTAGTTTTTGTTTTAGTTTTTTAATTGAAGACCCCTGGACTAGATGATCTATTGGCTCCTGTTGGTTGTTGCATATCCTGCACATTGGGTTTCAGAATCTTATTCCGATAATAGTTGGTCTTAATACACTGGTCTTGAGCAGCAATAATAAACCCTTCAGTTTCAGATTTTAGGCCAGGTATTATGATTATAATAATCATAATACACTGTGGAAGAAGCGGCTTAAAAACGGCTGATACCTTTCACTATCTGAATTGGATCCATTCAGTCCGATAACATTTGGAAAGTCTAAAAGAGCCTCACGATTAAATAATTTTATCGCCATTCAAATTAGCGGAGGGCTAAGCCGGAAGGTAGACCTTTGGCGGCGGAAGTCTGTAACGCGCTCGGAGCCCCGCCTCCAATGCTTTATCCAGTTGAGTTTACAAATGGTGGAAAGATGAGTCAAATCGAAGAACTAAAGGTGTTTGTCTCGGAGCGGCTAAACGCTACTGCCTCTGAAATAGTCGGTGCTATTGAAAAAACCATAACGGATTACGAGGAGCAGGTTTCCCGTTTGAAGGAAGAAAACGACCGGCACCGCTCTCTGTTGGACATCATCCTGAAAGCCAAGTTAACGCCACGACAGACAGAAGGTTGGTCCATCCGAAACACACAATCTGGGTGGATGTTGTTAACATTAGCCTCTGCTAGCAAGCAATAAGTAGCACCGCTAATAAAGTCACCTCTGTTGAATTTTGTATCTGTTTACCGTTAAAAGTGTTTAAACAAAGTGTCACTACATTCAGTTTATGTATCTAAATGCAGCTAGCTAAAGGTTAACGTTAGCTTTTTCAAACGCAGGTGAGGATTGCTGTTAAGTAAAATAGTTGCTCCCAAACGTTACTACGTCACAACACTGAAGATACCAGGTACTAACGTTACTCTGAGGTTTGGATTAAGATGAATTTAAACTATTAAAGTTCATACAAGACAAAAAATAGTGGCTGCCACTGGCATGTCATGGCAGCTGCCAGTGGACGTTTTGTCCTATCACAGTAGGAAAAGCACAGCTGCAAACAATAGAATCACTGATGGCTGAATTCCATGTAACAGTTAGCTGACTTGGTTTTGGGCTCCTGTATTATTTATTACCAATTTATCATGTTGTTTTGTTTTATTGTTGCTTTATTTTTTTCTTTTTCTTGTAAAGCCCTTTGTGAAAGTTTAATAAACTTTACTTACTGCTATTGTGCATACGCTCTCATGGCTTACTGGCACACTTGAATAGAACAGAGCTATTGTTAGTAGTAACACCTATCAAAATGTTTGCTATGAAAAATGCCTTTTCACATGCTGATATCTAGGCAAGAATGTGTTCTACGACACCTTTTAATTAACCTAAATGCTTAAGGCCTGTTTTTCCTCAAGCAGTGCTTGTAAGCTAATGCTCAAACTCTGCAACCAGCATTGCATACTAACATCTTACCTAAAATACCACAAAAATGAGGTGGCAGCTGCCAGCAGTAGTCAGTAACAAATTGACAAGCCACAACCATGTCTACATATCTTGGCTACTCTGTTAAATAGCTCTCCAATGTCACAACCAGTGTTTGTTTTTCTAAATTGGTCATTGTCCCCATTTTCTGCGACACTAATCTTCTTGACGCCATTGCCAGGAAATGACAACAGTTTTAACTATAACATAACTGTTGTTATTTATTTTAGTATTTGTCTCTATACATTCAGCCCTTAGTTCCACCCTGTTTTGTTATTTTCTTTTCTCTGCAGCAGGTAATGCCACCAAAAAACAGGTTACCCCTGCTGCTGCTGACCCAGGTGCATCAGATTCAAGTCCTGCCCACGAGTCCCCCTGCCATTCCAATGGTAGGGCTGAAGTCTAACAATAAAATCCCCTCTTCAGTAAAATCACTTAATTTGGCTTCTCTGTAAAGCTCAACAAAATATTATTAATTTGCTAAAATGGGCTTTTCAAAAATGATTCTGTCACCAGTAAGCACCATTAGCCTTTTCCAGTCAACAGTACAAGGCCTTTGTTGAAGTGTCTCATAACTCTTGTAATTCTATTATATACCAGACCATTTTGTAAAGTAACTAAATTAGATCATTATTTATTTTCCAGGCTTGCAGTGTGTCTTCACCTCACGCACAGACTTTTTAAAGTTAGCATCCAGTGGCGACTGTCCCTACTGCTTGAAGACCATTCAAGCCAGTGAGACACATTTAATGAGAAAGCATTATCTATTTGCTGTTCATTTTGCTGAGGGTGGTACCGGTAAGTTTTATTAATATGGAAATCAAAATGTGATGATACTTTATTCATTATAATGGATTACCTTAGTCGAGCAATTTTAAAGTATGCTAGCTGATTTTCATAGCATGGAATTGTGCTAACATGCCAAAATAATTTTTCTCTTTTCAGAAAAATTTGTTGTTCCATGTACATGCAAAGACAGGATCCAAGGTAGAAGTCACTGGCACTGCCCATTTTGCAGAAAGATCATTTATCGGAAATGTAACTTTGAGGTGCACATATCTAAACAACATGGTATGTATCCTACCATTCCTTTGTTTTGTTGTAAAAGCATGTGTTCAGTTCTGCTTTAGATAACAGCTGTATAATAGAGCCACCACTAATAATAGTGGTAATGAATTTCCCTAACTAAAAGCTGCTGTGTCTTTTTACTTTACAGGTTATACAATATTGCAGCAAAGCCAAGACCCAGGTTAGTTTACAATGTGTTGCAAATTTGCACAAGTGTAAAAAAACAAATGCAGCACCTGTATTCATCTTCTCCACAATTAGACTATTTACACCAGGCATTAAAATGCGTTTTATATCCAGAATGTTTTCGGATATGATCTTGGGTGTATTTATACCTGTACTTTCAAATTGAAATCCAGTCACCCAAAATGCATTTTAAGTGAAGCTAATAATTTAAGATTTCTATTTCATTCTATTTCTTCTTTTGGGTAATGCATATATATAATTCAGTTTAAAGTTCAATAAATCAATTAGTAATCATGTATTAAATAATCATGATTATGATTGATTTTTGCCACAGTCAAGCAGCCCTAACTCTGAGGAGCTCTGGACATAGGTTAATCATACACAACCATGATTATACCATTCCAAGCGCATTTGTGAGGGCAGGCACAGATGTTGGACAAGAAGGCCTGGCTCTGTCTCCGTTCTAATTCACCCCAAAGGTGTTCCATCGGGTTGAGGTCAGGACTCTGTGCAGGCCACCAAACTTGTTCATCCATGTCTTTATGGACCTTGCCTTGTGCACTGGTGTGCAGTCATATTGGAACAGGAAGGGGCCAACCCCAAACCGTTTCCACAAATTTGGGAGCATGAAATTGTCTAAAATGTCTTGGTATGCTTAAGCATTAACAGTTTCTTTCACTGGAACTAAAGAGCCAAGCCAAACCCCTGGAAAAACAACCCCACACCAAAATCCCCCCACCACCAAATTTTACACTTGGCACAATGCAGTGAAGCAAGTACAGTTCTCCTGGCAACCGCCAAACCCAGTCCATTGGATTGCCAGACAGAGAAGCGTGATTCGTAACTCCAGAGAACACGTCTCCACTGCTCTAGTGTCCAGTGGCGGTGTGATTTACACCACTGCATCCCACGCTTTGCATTGCACTTGGTGATGTAAGGCTTGGATGCAGCTGCTCAGCCATGGAAACTCATTCCATGAAGCTCTCTACGCACTGTTCTTGAGCTAATATGAAGGCCGGTCGACATTTGGAAGTGTGTAGCTATTGGTTCAGCAAAAAGTCGGCAACTTCTGCACACTGTGTGCCTCAGCATGCGCTAACCCCGCTCTGATTTTATGTGGCCTACCACTTTGTGGCTGAGTTTCTGTTCTTCCCAATCGCTTCCACTTTGTTATAATACCACTAACAGTGGACCCTGGAATATTTAGTATAGTGAGGAAATTTGCACAGGTGGCAACCTATCGCGGTACTGTGCTTGAATTCACTGAGCTCCTGAGAGCGACCCATTCTTTCACAAATGTTTGTAGAAGCCGTCTGCATTTCTAGGTACTTGATTTTATACACCTGTGGCCATTGAAGTGATTGGAACACCTGAATTAAGTGATTTGCAGGGGAGTCCTAAAACTTTTGGCAATATAGTATATTTGGCAGGCTATAAAATACATTGCTCTGTCCTTCCCCTTAGAGATCGATCATCCCTCTCTCATTGCCTTTGAGGAGGATGTTCCTCTGAGTCCTGAACCCTGGTGTCAGCAGGGGCTGAGCAGTCTACACCAGGAGGACCCTCAGTCCTCACTGTTGCTTCAAATAAAAGATGAGGAAGAAGAAATGTGGAGACTAGGTCTGATGGAAGAGCATGGCAAATAGAACTTCACTTTCACTGCATGTTAAAACTTGTGATGCAAACAATTGAATGTTAATTTTCTCTTTTATCCACAGGGAGTCATCCTGAGTTGCAGAACTCAGAGCAGCTGCAGATCAAAGGTGAGCCAATACAAATGGGTCTGGAGGCAGATCACGCTCAAGACCCTGCATTGAACATAATCTATGTGGACACTTACATTCAACATCCCAGCGAAATCAACAATGTGGAAAGCAGCAGGGAGCATCCTCTTCCTAATTCTTCAACTCAACCTCTGGAAAACCTGCCTGATGGTGGGATTGGTGAAATACAGCAGCCAGCTGGGGAATCTCAGCACATCACTAAAGATGGTGCTCTTGCTAAGAATGGAAGCAGAAGCAAAATCAAGGATTGGAAGAACCATAGACATTGTTTAAATATAAAGCCACTCAATTCAACTAGGAAGAGGCATGTGCAAAGATCTGTACCTCCCTTGAGTTTAAATGTAAAGAAATCCACAGAGTCATCTGCCAGTCAGAATCTCACAGGTCCTCATTGTTGTAAAGCATGTGGAAAGACTTTCCATTACATATACACACTGAGGACACACGCGCAAACACACACAGTGGATAAAATCTATATATGTGGAATTTGTGGAAAACATTTAGAGTCGCCAGAGAGTTTAATCCAGCACCTTAAAAGCCACACAAAAACAAACAAATGTAGTGTATGTGGCAAACAGTTTTCTAATAGTTCCCGTCTGAAACGGCATAGGAGATTTCACAGACCAAAGGGTCTAAATATCATGTCATCAGCTTACAAACCACAGATGGGCGATATCTTACCGATGTCATAAATGCATCAAACTGCTGTTATTACTGGCTTATGATCCACAGCAGTAAACTAAATCTACTAAGTGGAAGATGCTAGTCCAGTGGTGTATTTATGGATAACTGTCCTAGTGCTGGTCAGTATGTTTATTTGTTATCATATTCATGTATAATTTTGTAGACTTTCAATTAAAAAAAGTAATTTCTTCCCTCTGTGTAAATTTATTTTTTCATGGATCATCAGTTTGGAAGTCACACCCAATAGATTACTATTAATTGATGTAAACTCCACACATCAGCCCCAGGACCCAATGAAACCTTTCAGTTAAATACATATTCAGTGAACTGTATTGTGTGTTTGTGAATAAACAAAATATTCAAATTTAAAAAGCTATGTCAAACCCAGATATCGACTCAGTATTTGAAACTACATGACAAGTATACAAGGTGGTTTGTCAGCGAAGTTTGTAGTCCCTTTATGCTACACACAGAACTTAACATTAAATTTATAAGAAATTATAAAACTTTATTTATATACACATACACTGAACATTCATGGCACTAAAAGGAGAAAAGTTTCTGTCAGACTGGGAATTTGCATTACACATACCCACTGTATAATAAATATTTACTGGAAAGTCTAAATGCCACAACAAGAATTGTTGTGGATATGTGAGTCACTGAGTTCAAATATATTTCGGGCTAGTGTCATTTCATTTTCACTGTTATGGGCTATCGGCAATACAATTAAAGAATTTATTAAGTCACAGTAAAGTACGACCGACACATTGAAGTCTAACGTTACATAAGGGCATTACCGACTTAGTGGTAAAATGTTATAATGTTAATTATATAGCGACTTGCTGTTATTGCTATTCCACGGAATGTGAGTCGGTGTGAGGCGTTCAGTTTGTTGGCTGCTGTGTTTTCATCCCAGCTTTCCCCTTTTGTCATGTCTGTACCATGATGTGGTGAGTTTGTCCATGGCAGGAAGGGAAAGGGGGGAAGCTGCACCGTTTGACTCCGCTCCAGAGAGTCAGTCCTCATTCAGTTTCTCCCGGTTTATTGGCAGTAACTCCCGGGCGAGCCACTGCCTCCTTTTGGTTTTACACGGGGAACATGGCTGTGTTGAAGATACAAGACCAGGTAACGTTATGTATCTGAGTTAGCGAACAATGTAACTCATCGGTGTCCCTATTTGGTAAAACTGATCAACGCTAGTTTGCTAATAGCGTTTCTGTGTGTAACATTAGGCAACATCGTGTCACATTGACTGTTCATTTTAAATTGCTAAGTTTATTTATGGTGACTTAAACTAGTCTGGGGAATGACATTTTTAAAATAGATCTAATGGCTAAGTAAATGTTGCTTCGGTTTGCTATCGTTCTTACCGTTAGGTCAACTGACATGTTAGCTAACTAACGTTAGCTAGCGGTAACCAGTTAACAGAAAACGAGTTAACGTAAGTTCAGTACCTTGCCAACGCCATGCCAGCCGTTGCTTCACTTTCACTTAGTTCAGTTAAAACGTTATGTTTCGTGTCAAGTTAGCAGAAACGCGACCGTTTTTCCACTGTCTTCACTTTTTTGACGGTTGTTTGTTGCTTTTATTCTGGTGGTGATGTACTGATGAACACAGCTGGATAGCTACGAGGTTAACAGGGTGGCTAACTCCCTTGTGATGCTAATGTTAGTTAGCAACTTAAACTCAATGCAAAACAAGAACTATGTCATCCTATTGTAAGGTTATTAACGTAAAGTTGGTGAAACGTATTAACTGTTATCTTGAATTTGATTGCATATTTACGACTTAACTGACTGAAGGCCTGTTTTCTACCCAGGGAATTGCTTTGTCAGCTGTCGAGGTCAGCTCCCTGCACATTTTCTCCGGGGTAGCTGCTTTGGTGGGCAGTCACCTGTTGCTCGAGATTAGAAGGCTGTCAGACTAAAATAGCAGGTGGTGCTGGTTACAAAGTCTCCAGCTGTGGTCATGAATTAAGACACTTTCCACAAGCTTAAATCGGTTGTTATGAACACTGCTGGGAACTGATGGCAGTCACACAGTGCATTGTAGGGACACATACATAAGTAAATAAGTCTACAAGGGCTGGCTCAAAGAGTGGATTAAGACTTTGTTTCAGTCAAGAACCTCCCCCCACCACCATTTGGCTGACTTTTGGTGTAGCCAATCACATTGACATGGGGTTGTATGTTGCATGACATATTAAAGAAAGTTCACAAAATACTTTTGTCAGGATATTTTGATTGTGTATGCATGTGATTGGCCAGTAGAGGGAAGTAATTAATTAGGCAAACAATTAAGTCGGCCCGATTACATTTTGTAATCATTTACACTATCAAAGAAATGACTGATACTGATATGTGTGCTTTCCATAAAATGGCTTTCATGTTGAGGTCAGAGAGGTTGGGGGTGGGGAGACCAATTATTTTGGAGGTGTTATTTGTGATTCGTGTAAATTTGTTCTTATTGGTAACAGTGAGTATGTTGAAATAACATTGTACAGTAAAGAAGGATGGGTTGAATTATGCTTTTCAGCAGCAGAAGGTGGGGAGCAATCAAAAGAGATTTAAGTTTACGGATGGCTTTGTTGGCAGTGTTTGAAAGTGTCTGAAAGGCATTTGCCATCATTTATTGCAATTTAAATGAATAATAATAAATTAATGAAAATAATTGTTACTTGCCCCAATTAATTATGGCAGACAATAGAAACCCTCATATCTGTTGGGCCTAAATGGTTATAGTAAGATATAATTTTGTTATTCTTTGGAGTCCGGTAAAAATATGAACTTCAAAGTAAGCCACTGATTGTGTAGCTCTGTGGCCTGGCCTGTCCTGGTCGGACCACTCTTCCAGGCAGTCAAGAGGAGCGCAACAAACGGAAGAGTGTGTGTGATCAGATCCCCCCTCTCTATCCTCCATTGTTCTCCGTAGTGCTTGCTGACAGAGAATTGGACAAAGGGACAAAAATAGTCATGCACTGAGGACAGGACTAGAGACATGAGTGTGTGTCACTTTTGGGAAAGGCGTCTCTTTGTCCTCTAGGGGGCATCCTACCACTTTGTAGCATGCAAGTGTCCTAACCAGGCTATGGTCCTGCCTGAAGAGAGGTGGTAGAGGCATTTAAAAAGACTCACTAAAAACAGAAGGTAAAGCATAGTTTTGTTAATTTGTTTGTTTACTTGCCCTGGGATTTTCAGATGTGTCTGTGATGCATTCATCAGCAATATGCTGTTAATAGCCGGTAGCCAAAGAGCCTCTAAGCACCATATAACCGCTTGTTTGTGCACTTAAATAAAAAAAAATTAAATGTGTACAGTATACATACAGAACAATTGCTTTAGGTCTCCATTTCCCCATACTGTCAGGCTTATCCATTAGATGAGTCATCATGGCTGCGATCCTGCTCGGAGACGGAGTCGATGTGCCAGGCCACCGATACACACTGCCAAGCCAACACTTGGTCTGTGGACATAACCAAAATCAATTTAAAATGTAAATTAAAGGTAAGAACTAAATAGACTATAGTTTATAATTTAAATATGTATAAAAATGAATGAAAAATAGTAACATGAAGGTTTGTCACAGTCAGGCATTAAAACTTTTTTTCACATCCATGCAATGTTAATGACTCATGCTCAGTTTGCATTTTAGTCAGATCATTTAATGGATAGCATGTCGATATGTACATGTAATGTCAGGGCAGGAAATTATATTGTAAAGCTTTGAAATCTAAATGTTTAACATCTTAACTGCTGCTCCCTGTGTGAGTGTGTCCCAGCACACGTACACACACGCACACGTGCTGGCCTTTGTGTTTCGGGACTGCTATTACATTACACACATTGCTTCCTGTCACAGGGTCAGAGCAGAGGTCAAAGCATGCGGAATACTTTCCCGTACACATGCGCAGTGTCACGTTGGGTCTCTCATGAAGTAATGCTCGGAGGTTGTGTTGGAATTTTTATTTGTGAAGGTGTTCTGCCGGCACCCTCTTGTTGCGGTGTTCACCTTGTGCATGTTCTCCTAGTGTCCCATTGCTTTAGGGCATTTGAGCTCTGCCTGCTGCCTCATGAAAGCACACATCCAGCTCATCACAAAATACATTTTTCATTTTGCTTGTAATTAGGAATACTCATCTTAATTTGCTGTTGATCACGCTGTAATGCATTTCCTGCCAATTTCATGTGCTTGCTGTGCTTTTGAGTCCCAATTACAACTTTAAACACACATGAATACACATACAGTTCACAGAAAGACTCTACAACAGGTCTGCTCTGTAAACATCTTTGGGCTACGTTCCTGAGAGCATCCCTACTGTTGAATAGTGTGATAAACAAAACATTGGTTGGTTGTTTATATTCTTTGCTTCCCAAGTATCATTCTTTATTTGTGCCTTTGAGGCAAATCGGTAATGCAAACAGTAGTTGCTGTAGGAGCAGAAAGACTGTGTTAAGCTATGTTTCATATTAAGTGTGTAAGTGGTAAATCCATTAGACTAAAAATTTAAGCCCGTAGAAAAACTCCATCCAACTGAATCTCTCCTCTCATTTGCCCTCCCTCGCTCTGTCCCTCCCTCTGATTTAATGGGGTTGTGTGGCTTGGCAAGATAGCTCTTTTTAGGATCTGTGTTGAATATGAAGGAGACCGAGACACACACACAGACATGCACGCACAGACTGGTCTTGTTAGCTACCCTCACATTCTCTGGCAAAGCCAGTTTGTTCCAGTTTTATAATGAGGAGATGGGGACTTTTGAAGCTATGCCACTGATGCACCAAAGAGAATACTGAAACACACACACACACATACACACACCAATCTGGTATCCATTCTCTTTTATTCCCTCATATTTAGAAGGGAAGGCCATTTTCTATTTTAGCAGCAACTTTATGAAGTTGCAGACCACTAAAATCTTATTTAGCAAGCTAGAAATCAACCCAACAGTGTAGTCCACATGGGTTTATTTTTATCATGCTGTGTGGGGTACAACTTTTTAGATTGCTTCACCCTTGGCCGTTTCATAGAATAGAAAGAGACCTTCAATGCTTCACACCATTACTTTAAAGCAACATTAGGTAGTAATTTTATCTATCTAGTATAAATTAACAGCTTCAAAATCTTTTTCATGGTACACTGACTTGTATAGGGTGAATGGTGTCTCTGTCTCTGTTAGTGCCACTCCGGCCTCGCAGTGCCTGCTGCTGCACTATGTAACATTGGAATCCCGAGCAGGACATTTATTACGACAACGGCGTAATACTTTACGGCACTATGAAGAAAAAAGTATATAAAAATGTAAGTTCCTTGGAAGAAGCTAGCACGGCATTGTCAGTATGGAAATAAAGGCAGAGGCTGCGAAGAGACCGAAGAAGACGGAGGAAGCGAAAAAGGAGAGACCAAGCAAGAGACCGGACAAGATTAAATAGGGGACTGGCTTTTACTCGTTGCAGGACAGATGCTGAGCTGGCCTTCTTGCTGTTGGACTAGTAAGATATAACTTTTTAGCTTTATATGTCTTGTGGTGTTGCACTTGCTTGCATGTTTGCCTGTCTTAGCAAAGTTGTCGAATCAGTCAGAGGTTTCACAAAAACTATAAATCTCGAATTGATGTTGGCAAACTTATAAGGCACTGTAACACAGTCGGACAACTGTAACTGTTTACTGTAAGTACTTTTGCCCGGTTGCTGTCTAGCTTTGTTGGCTAGCTTGCCAGCAGACTCTATGGACATAACATTAGTTAATGGCAGAGGCGAAGAGACTGAAGAGGACGATGACAGTGGAAGCTAAGAAGAGAAAAAGAGATTGACCATGGAAGAGGGTCCAAGGCATTGGCGAGAAAAAAAACAAATCTTACATAATGTTGCTTTAATTTACAATGCCAGAGATCAGAGATTTGTTGAGTGGACTAATAATGAATCTACAAGTCAAGGATCAGAAAGTCATCATCGTGGTTGTAAAACATACAAAGAGTACTGAAGCTCTCAACAAACATGGTATTGGTTGCTGATGATAGCAGGGCTTGAATTAACCAATAAATAGTTCTGCACCATCATACTGTGCTGTAACATCGTTATTCACTTACATTACTTTAGTTTACACTTAAATAAACTGACAGGGATCTGATAACAATCAGGCATTGAAACAGGCCCCTGGCAGTCCTTCAGACCAGCATTTCTCACTTCTGTTGCCATTCATTTGACATTTTTTCTATATATTTGCTTCCTCTTTATCTGAGTTTCTTGACATTATGTATTTTGAGTCATTTTGTTTCTCACTTAACTTGTCTGTACCAAGCCCCCTCGCTGTTCTTTGTTCCTTTCATCTTCAGGTTTCTTTGTGTTTTGTAGTGCTCTATGTACCTGCCTATGATTCCTCTCTCTCTCTCTGCTCTTCTATCCCTACTCCCCTCCCCTTTCCTTTCACTTTCTTTCTCTCTGTCTGTCTGTCTCTCTCTCCCTCTCTCTCCCCTCCCCCTCCTACCCCTCTCTCTGTCTCCTTTTAAAAGAGCTGGCTTCAGCAGTCTGCCTGAAACGAGCGACGCATGCCCACACATACATACTGCCGTGGTCCACGCTAATCACAGGGTCCCTCTGTATTTGTGTGTGTGTGTTTTCAACTGACGTGTGCGTGTGTGTTCCTGGCTGCAGCTCAGCAGTGAGGATATGTAGCTTCCCGTGTGCTGCTAGGCAGCCCAATCTCATTCTGCCGCATGCCGCTTACCGCCACCATTACGCAGAGGAATTCCCTGCTGTCTCCGCTACTGCTGCTCACAGAGAGTGTAAGTGTGGGTTAGGGAGAGGAGAGAGGAGACATGCAGCAAAGCAACACTGACAGATAGAGGACAGAGCTGGATTTCACTTTGGATTTTACGTGAAGATGTGCAGTGTGTGCATGCGAGGAAATCACGCTGTTTATGGGATTTATTGCTGACCTTTGTGCTCCTGAATTGCGCACGTATGTAAGAGGGAACACTGTGTATTTATGTGTGTGAGTGTGAGAGAGAGTGAGTGTGTGAGCGTTCGCGTTGGTGTGTGTGTGAGTGTTCCTCCCTGATGCGGTCAGAGCGAGCTAGCCGTGTGTGTATTGTTGTGCTGGAGGAGGTGGAGGAGGATGAGCCCTCTTCTTCCCCCCCACCTCCTCGGCCCAAATCGTCCCCCGACCGCAGATCCCATCATGCCTCTCGAAGGGCTGGCGCTCAGGAGGACAAGGTGAGATTGAGTCCCTTTCTTTGGTTCTTCATAGGTTGAACGAGAGTTTTCTGAATCAGCTGAGGATTTGCAACGTTTAAGCTTTATGTACAGTTTTTTGTGAGAATGACAGCACTTACCGGGGTTTTGAGCACACCAGTGCATTTTTCACACCTGGCCCGAAGTTTAATCCTGTGCTGAAGTACGTTGTTACACATCCCATTGCATAAAAATACAATGCACTCCCAACACTCGTCACCCAGTGCTAAATATAGTGCCAATATAATCACTAATATAGCCTTGCCATATAAGATGACTGCTGGATTGTATAGGTTATCTGCAAAGCCTCGGCCTTTGTAGTCTCCAGTGTTGGCTGTATAAAGGGCAAGCCTATCATTGAACCAGGGTAGTCTTTTCATCCTATGAAAGGTGTTCTTTGAAGTGTACATGGGGAAGGTGGAAAGCCAGAGGAGATGTGCCAGCTCTGATGACAGGGTTTGTGCTCTCAGTCCGTGGCTACCTTCTCTGATCTCTGACATCATTGCCGTGGCCGTCAGTGTAATAGGCACGAGACAGATGCCGGCATGCCTGACAGCCCCACTTATTTTTAGTTGGGCCGAAATAAGAGAGGGATGGGAAAACAGAGAGAGTGTGTAAAGGAGTAGATCCTCATCGTAGTTACGTAGTAAGCCCTTGCTGGGGAAAAGGTGTGCTTTTGACAAAATCTTATCAATGAGACCCACAGTACTTCACTTGGTAGATTGCAAAGGAGGGAATGTCAATACTCTAATTTAGAAGGGCCTTGGAATGTGAAGCCTCTCCAGACTTCCCACAAATCAACATCATCATGTTAGTGTTCATATGTTTTAGTTTGTCAATGCATTTTCAATAATGCAGCGCAAAGGAAAGCACTGCTTATAGTAAATTGTCAATCAGAACGATTTTCCTAGTGAAAATCCTTCAGCTAATTAAAACATATTCAGACAAGGAAACCGTTTGCTGCTGTAATTATTAGATAAAAGAGAAAAGAGAGAGTAGTCTTACTGTACAGATAATATAATCACTTTGTCTCTTAGATCTTAGTGACAAATACTGATTCATAACCATGGTCAGAGTAACTAGTTTGTCACAGTTGTGCAATTGTTTAGCAATATATTTCAATATCAGCTGTGTAATAAAATGTTTACTTAGTTTGCAGACTTGCATGTAAAATTAAGCTCTTGTGCTTTGTAAGATGATGTAGGGAAAAAATCAAAATGCAGGCCAAAGTCACTCTATTGTAGATGAATTAGTTTTACTTTGATTTTTAACATCAAGGTTTAAGCCCTGACATTAACCATAAATATAAAAACATCACGAGGGTACTGTATTTTGAACCCAGTATCCCGAATTGAATTGTGTGCTTGAATTAGTGTTACTTCCCTTTACCTTTAATCTGAATGGACTCACTGTTTACAAATCCCAGACAGTATCAGACACCATGCTGTCATGATCATGCCAACTGTTCAATCACGCACGCACACACACATGCTTACGTAAATGAAACTAAACTAAGGATAAACTAGAAGTTCCCCCCCTCCTTATCTTTACATTGCTATATACATTCTTCACAAACAACAAACATTTACGTATGTGCACGTGTGTTTATGAGTTTATTGTATGCTGCAGCTGTTGCTGCTGTCATAAACAAATTGGTGATATACTGCCATTTGTGACCTATGGCTTTCTCCCGGCTCAGGATTATAGTGTCTGTGTGTGAGACTCTTCCATTTGTAACTCTCGTAACTCTCACTGATAACACAGTTGTCAGCAGTGAAAATGACTGCCTTGCAAATCAGGTATGTCGTGTACATCTGCATTTCCTCGTCTTTATTTTGTATTTTTTGTCTCTGTAGCCGTCTCTGTTAAGAGCCATCTTCAACGTGGACCCCGATGAAGTTCGCTCCCTCATATTCAAGAAAGAGGATGTCAACATTCAGGTGAGTCACACTCTTCTTTTAATTTCACCAGATTTTCTCCGAGTATATGTGTGTTTGTGTTATAATGGGAACCCTGTGTATTAGTCTTTGACACTGTAGCTTCACGAACACCACTATATATAAAAAAAAAACACACCAAGGAGAGCAGTCAGCCAGCAGGCTACAATTGATCTGAGTTCCTATCGATCCATTGACTGACTGGGAGTGCCTTTTGGCAGCTGTCAGCCAGGGCAGGACACATGAACTGTACATAACACTACCCCCTCCGGTGGTTTTAGGATATAACCTTCACCTGATACCACTTTAGCTCTCTGTCTCTAGTCTTTCTGAATATATTTCCTCAGTTTACACCACATCCTGTTTTCACGTTTTGTGTTTTTCCTCTACGAGCTGTCTGTAGTGCTGGGGTCATCACACTGAGTCTTCTGGAGTCAGCAACACTGGCCCAGGCCTATTGCAGTCACATGACATTTGTTTATAGCCCAACTCTGTTGATTGCTCTTCTACTGCACTGAAAGAGAGAGAGGTGGGGCAGCAGGGTGCGTTGAAATGATTGAGCGAAGTGAGGAACACAAGTGAACACATGAAAGACGTTTTTCTCCTCATGGCTCTAGTCTCATGTTTCTTGTGGTGTGCCACGGTGTGAGGTCTATAGATTTTGTTCGGGGCATGTCAGCCACATTATGATGTGTGTTTGTGTGTGTGTGTGTCTTGAGGCTTATGTTTATATAAAAAAGAGTAATAATACATAACAAGCTTAAATTTGTGTTTTTCTGTGTCATGCCAGGACAATGAGAAGCGGACACCTCTGCATGCTGCAGCCTACTTGGGAGATGCTGAGATCATTGAACTACTCATCCTCTCAGGTAAAACACTACAGCCTGGCTTTGAAAGCTGCATTCTTTCAATCTTTGGAGCCATCCATTCAATTTACACCTTATATCAATCCACCTACAATATCAATTCTACTTGAAGGCTTACTCATCCATCCACACTGGCTGTTAGCAGCCATCCCTGTATGCGTCCATCTGATCCTGTTTTTCGTACACATTAGCTCTCTAAATGTGTCTGTTTATTAGAGGTCGACCGATTAATTGGTCGGCCGATTTTTGGCATTTTTTAACATAATCGGCATCGGCCAATATCCAAGTATATCAAGCCGATTATTAGGCAGGCGCATCTGTGGGCAGCCTAGTGTTGTCGTGGAACACGTGTTTGACGCGCGCTGCCGCTAGAGTCATTTTCCAGCCGAGTGAGCAGCAGACCTCATCCAGTGCGTAAGGAGCTAACGTCAATTCTTATTACTCCTTTATATTTAATTAAAAACTTTTGATATGTTACTGCCAACTTCGAGAAAAAACCTGAATAAGACACATGACATTCGGCTAATTTGGATCGTAGTTGAAGTTGCATTATCACAGAAGAGTTGCTATCATGTCACAATAAGTAAGCAATAATTTTGCAATTACAGAGTGAATCTGAGACTTTTATTTGTTCTGTTTGTGTGTCTTATATTTGAGAGGGTTGTCACTCAATGCAGAGAAATAAGTAATAAAAAAGAGACCAACGCACTATAGGCTAGTGACAGACTGGCTTTGCTTTGCTAACGGGTAGCTACAGACAGACCCGATGCTAATACGGCACTGGAACCTTAACGACCGTTATCCACCGCACCGAATATCAACGCGGATTTCTGTGCTTCAGTTCGGTGCTACTGTTATGCCAGTGCTTCTCTTGGATGCTCAGAAAACGGACGTTAGAATAACAGAAACATCGCTTTACATACCGTTAGCAGTGTTGGAAAAGTTCGCTTTCTACATGAGTAGTTCAAAGTTCAGTTCACACATTTTAAAATGAACTAGTTCAGTTCATAGTTCATGCTTCAAAAAATGAACTAGTTCATTCATAGTTCTTTTTTTCCATATGTTGCGAGCTTTTTTAAATTATTATTATTGCCACAGCCCATATACAAACACAGACAACAATTATTTTATTGACGGGCAAAGTTTGCACATAAATGTAAGATTTTTCCCATCCTCACCGACCTCCTCATAAAATCCGTTTAAATGATCGTACGCGTCCTCGACGCTCGCTGCTTTGTCGACGGCGGACGCGGCGCAACACTGCTGGCTGGTGTTGCCAGATTGGGTGTTTTTTCGCTACATATTAAGAGCTGTTTACATGAGTTTTAGCCGGGTTTTCGCCTGGAAGGCTCTATAGAAATCTGGCACCCTATTGTACGCGCGTTCACAGACACCAGAATGAACGCGTTCACAGTAACGTTCATCAGGCAGTAATACAGTACGTTCAGTTCAAGTTCGCCCAAATTATGAACGCGTTCATTGAAAAGTATATTTGACAGTTTATTTTCTTCTTACCCGTTTTGTTTATTTAATATATTTTTTTTACATTTATACAATTTATTTATATATGTTTTTTTACATTATACATTTTTAATTTATAAGTGCAGAATGCAGATTGTTCATTGTTCAAGTGTTCAATAAATGTTTTTGTTGAGAAAGTTTGTCTATGTTAAGTAATTATCATTTCTTTTAGATTTTATCTTTCAAATAGAGGTTAAAAACCAAGCAAATATTGGCCAAAATAAATCGGCAGCATTAATCGGCCATCGGCCAACCCGGATTTCAAAAGATCGGTATCGACATCGGCGTGAAAAAAACCATATGGGTCGACCTCTACTGTTTATGAATTCACATACTTAGAGAATTTCATTACGCAGTCAGTTGTTTAAAGGAATACTGAACTAATGTATTTGTCTGCTTTATGTTAATCTTTGAACCAGGTAAAACTAAATTGGAAACAAATGTATTGTCTGTTTTTTGACTTGTTTGAAGAAACATGATTTGAGTCGCATCTGTTTACCGCAGCCTCTTTTCCAACCCACCACGCTTTCCCAAACTCTTCAAAGCCACATACTGTTCCTCGTCTCTCTCATCCTCACGTTGCTCCGCACTCCCTCAGTAGTTTCCATGCCAGCGTTACTGCTCACTGCTTGCCCTCTCTTGGTGACTAGTGATTTATCAACCATCTGAATAGGGTCTATGTCGGCTTGACTTTCTGTGAAGTCAGCTGAGCACGTGGGGCTAACCCAATAGTAACAGAAGCGTAGTGTGGAAGGGTGTGCTCGTGTGTGTGTGTGTGTGTATTCTCTGTTTCTCAATAATGTGAAGAGCAAGCAACAGGTGCAGCTTTAGGGCTATTTTAACCCCCAAGCTGTGCCAAAGAGGATCACGGGAGTGTTTTCTCTTCCAGGCACTATTGGCTCACCCCCTTCCCACAAGTCATGTAAAAAAAAAAAAAGCCTTTTAAACTATCAGTTTGTCTTTAAGGTTTTCACTCTTTTTTTTTCTCTCAATTATGTGTCTTGGACCTTTTTTTAATGTATCTTTAAATGATCAGACATTTGTACACGTTTCCACCATGTTTCTCTATTCGATGTCTGCCATTTTTGGCATCTCTCTCTTTCTTTCTCACTCTCACACTCTCTCACTCCCCTTCTCTCATCCAAGGAGCCAGAGTTAATGCCAAAGATAACAAGTGGTTGACTCCTCTTCACCGAGCTGTCGCTTCCTGTAGCGAGGTAACACATTAACAAAACACACATGTTAATGTTCTTTGCGTCTCACATACCTTGGAGAAGCCACTGTTTGATAAGATAAATTTGCCACCGGCAAAATAGCACTGCAACAAAAATGCAGACTACTAATTTCATTTCAGCAAGAGACAAAGCACATGTTAGTGTGGCAACACACATACCAGATAGAAAACCTTGGAGCTGCCTTACTGGCATGAGATTGAGAATTATTGCTGCTGGGATAATGTTTACAGATTTGTACAATCTGGCCTTAAAGGGGCAGTGTGTCGGTTTTGATAAACCTTCAAAATCTCTATACCTATTCCGCTTGGTCCTGGGCAACATGCCCACACTAACACAGCCCCCATGTGTTGTTTCTCCTTCTCAGTGCTATTGTTGGCCCCCTAAGAATAGCAAAGACTTTTATAACCACCCACACACAGCCACCTGCACACGCTGGCATGTACTTTGTTATATCACTGAGGCATATTATAAAATAGACCTTCTGTCTGCACACTCTGACCCATTCACATTCTCCATCCAGGATGCAGTGGCAGTCTTGCTGAAGCACAGTGCAGATGTTAATGCCCGGGACAAGAACTGGCAGACGCCGCTCCATGTCGCTGCTAGCAACAAGGCAGTGCGCTGTGCCGAGGCTTTGGTTCCACTGCTTAGCAACGTCAACGTATCTGACCGTGCTGGACGCACTGCCCTGCACCACGCTGCCTTCAGTGGGCACGTAGAGGTTTGTCTCTTTTAGACACCCACAGTAACACTTAAATCCGTGCGAACATCTAGTGAATTTGCTTTCGTGTGATAGATGGTGAAGTTGCTGCTGTCGAGAGGAGCCAACATTAATGCATTTGACAAGAAGGACAGGAGGGCCATCCACTGGGGAGCCTACATGGGTGAGACTGTGCATGTCTAATCCAAACACATTTTTTTATCAAGCTAGATGAAGCGTCTGTCTCTTCCTGGTCATACACACTGCTTTCTTTAATGGCTTATTCCCCTTGTTGTCAATTCCATAAGCAGGACATGGCAAAACAAAACTTATTTATATTGGACTAATGTCATTTCCTCCCCTCCCTCATTTGTTTCAGGCCACCTTGAGGTGGTGAAATTGTTGGTGGCCAGCGGAGCCGAGGTTGACTGTAAGGACAAAAAAGCTTACACCCCGCTCCACGCAGCCGCCTCCAGTGGCATGAGCAGCACAGTGCACTACCTGCTGAGCCTGGGGGTCCACGTCAGTACAGACACACACATATGCATGCACTAGCAATGTCCTTGATATGTATATAATGTGCCTTGACCTTTTGACCTAGCTACGTCTTTACCTTTAATTATACAAGCTTTAAATAACATTCAACGAAGGTTAAAGTCAAGGGCAACTGGACTTGGTTGAAGATATTGGAAGACGTTTCGTCCCTCATCCAAAGGACTTCTTCAGTTCTGACTGACTGGTAGGGAAACTCAGCTATTTAACCTCAGTGGGGTCGTTTGCCAGGGTCATCGATACCGCTGGTTCGTTAGTGTTCCTAGCTGGCATAACGACAGTCGTTATGGTCGTTAGGACTACCCGAGGCCAAGACCATCATTGGCCAATAGGTTACGTTTGTTGAGTTTCCTGGGAAGTGATGAAAGGACAGCATTGTAAGTGGGGGATAAGTGGTGGCGTAGACCCCCTCCCCTGTTCAATGACGGCTTCTCAACCCTGGTGTAGATGGCTTCATTGACACCTCTTTCAAACCATCCACCTTCTCTGTCTAAAATGTGCACCTGGTGGTCCTCAAACGAGTGTCCTCTGTCCTTCAGATGTAAGTAGACTGCAGAGTCTTGACCTGAGGAGCTGGCCCTTCTGTGTTGAGCCATGCGTTTGTGTAGTGGTTGTTTAGTCTCCCCAATGTACAGGTCTGTGCATTCCTCACTGCATTGGACCACATACACTAGATTGCTTTTCTTGTCTTTGGGGTGGACCAGCATCTGTCTTAGTGTGTTCTTGGGTTTAAAAAACACAGGGATGTTGTGTTTGTTGAAAATCCTCATGAGTTTCTCTGATAATCCAGACACGTATGGAATCACAATGTTGTTGCGTTTGACCTTCTTTTCCTCCTCCCCTGTAGTTTTGTTCTTCTTGGATCTTGTGGCTGTTTTCACAAAGGTCCATTTAGGGTATCCACAGGCTGTAAGTGCCCCCTTCAGGTGGTTCTGTTCCTTCTCTCTGGCTTGGGCGCTTGTTGGTATGTTTTCCGCTCTGTGGTGCAGTGTTCTCATGACCCCTAGCTTGTGCTCCAGTGGGTGGTGTTAATCAAAGAGTAGGTATTGGTCTGTGTGTGTGGGTTTTCTGTACACACCAATTTGCAGGCTCCTGTCCTCTTCAATGTGTACAGCACAGTCCAGGAAGGCCAAACTGTTGTTGTGAACATCTTCTCATGTGAACTTGATGTTACTGTCCACAGAGTTGATGTGTTCTGTGAAGGCTTGCACTTCCTGGCTTTTAATTTTGACCCAGGTGTCATCCACATATCTGTACCAGTGGCTCGGTGCTATTCCTCTGAAGGAGTTGAGGGCTTTGCTCTCCACTTCTTCCATGTAGATGGTTGCCACAATCGGGGATACCGGTGAGCCCATGGCACAGCCATGCTTCTGTCTGTAGAATCCTCCGTTGTACTGGAAATAAGTGGTGTTTAGACAGAGGTTGAGTAATTTACAGATCTGGTCAGGGCTGAGGCTAGTTCGGTTGTCCAGGGTGTTGTCTTGTAGTAGCCTTTTCCTCACGGTTTCTACTGCTTCTATGGTGGGGATGCAGGTGAACAAAGAAGTCACGTCATAGGGTGAGTTCCCTACTTGACAGGTTTTTCACCCATGTGTTGTCTGTTTCATGCGTTGTGGGGTTGTTGTCCTTTTTCCTCCAAGACAATTCTCTCCACTGTCTCTCTCGAGATAACATTAAGTCAAAAAGCCCTACAACTTGTACTCTGTTCCTGAAAAGTCATACACAGCCTTCTCTCCTTGCACAGGTCAACGAGGTGAATGCCTATGGCAACACTCCACTCCATTTGGCTTGTTACAATGGACAGGATGTGGTGGTCAGTGAGCTCATCGATGCAGGGGCCAACGTCAACCAGGTGCGTGCGTGTCTCTCTGCACAAGACTGTATGTGCATGGCAGTTGCGTGTGTTGTAATTGTGTTATTTGGTACCTTGCTTCAGGTGAACGAGAGGGGGTTTTCTGCTCTCCACTTTGCCTCCTCCTCACGCCAGGGGGCGCTGTGCCAGGAGCTGCTGTTGGCCCACGGAGCTCACATCAACACACGGGTGTGTCCATATGCAGATACACAGAAACACACTGCTTTAACTAAGAAACAGCTTTTGCTTTTTATCGATATTGCTGAAGTACTGTACAGCCTGTGTCCTCAGTTCTCATCAATGTATGCTGCTCAGTATCTAGTAGGAAACTGAAATGACAGTGTTGTTAACACTTTGGTAGCAGTGATGGAAACATATATTGGGTTCCCACAGCCTCAAGATGCAAGGCCATATGGGCTGATGAAAGGGGGGTGGTTGGCTCCCCGAGGCTGCAAGCTGCTCACGGAATATGTGTGTGGGTGTGCGTGTGGTCCACGAGGGGGTCTAAGATTGCTTCTGTTCATTTAAAGCTTTCTAACAATAAAGTATTATGCTCACAGTTGAGTCAGGTTTCCATACTGGAACTTTAATGTATGTCTGCATGCACTGCATCACTGAAATATAGAGTTAAAACTTGACAGAAAATCACAATCATCGTTTTTGTCCCTCTTTGCTTCTCTCCACTGTCTCTCCCTCCATCTGTCCAGAGTAAGGATGGTAAGACTCCCCTCCACATGGCAGCTACCCATGGAAGGTTCTCCTGTTCTCAGGCCCTCATTCAAAATGGTGAGACTCTGTCCAGTATGCTTCATGCCTGAATTCAAATTAATGTGGCACAATATGCAAAATTATCTGGGTTTTTTTCACTGAGTAGAAATACATATACCCTTTGTTTACGTGTGTGTGTGTGTGTATGTGTGTGTAGGAGCTGATATTGATTGTGAGGACAAGAGCAGAAGCGCTGCCATTCACATCGCTGCCCGCTATGGCCATGAGCTCATCCTCACAGCACTCATCAAACACGGAGCCAACACAGCCAAGTTAGTAACAATTGACATTTACATTCAACCACCTGTCTATCTTCCCACTATAATCAATGCTTCAGTAATAAGAAGCACAAATAAAAAAGGGACAGATCAATAACTGGAGATGGTTAACCTCAGGAAAAAATATTCTTTCAGCCTCTTTTTGTTTTGTTTCTGTCATTACAAATGCACCCATGCTGTCACACCTTACCCTCCATGTCCTGTGATGACTTGTCTTCTCTGCGTTCAATCCTCTCAGGAGAGGCATTCATGGGATGTTCCCTCTGCACCTGGCAGCTCTCAGCGGCTTCTCAGATTGCTGCAGGAAGCTGCTGTCCTCAGGTAAATTCATGCTGACACCGTTCTTGTCACTAAATCACCTAGTTGACACCCTAAATGATGCCGATTGCATATTTGTGCAGGGTTTGACATAGACACCCCTGACGACATTGGAAGGACCTGTCTACATGCTGCTGCAGCTGGAGGGTGAGTCATCATTCCTGCTTATTTAACAGAATTCACCTTTGTCCATCTATTTAGTATACATTTTGAATTTTGTTTGAATGGATATAGTTGACCATTGTGGTTTTAAAAGAAAATAACAGAAAGCTCATGTGCACTGAAATATTATCTGCGCACTTGTTTACAATAGACTGGTATGCAACTTCACTGTTAAAGCTTTCTCTCCGACCAGGAACCTGGAGTGTCTGAACCTGCTGTTAAACATAGGAGCGGACTTTAACAGGAAAGACAACCATGGAAGGTGAGCCAAGCAGGCAGGTTTTTTCTAGGAATGCCTGGAATAGAAATAATATAAGGTCTGAAGACAGAGGTACACTTTTGACCACGAGAGTAGAGAGAGGGTATGACGTCCTCGCTGATGTGCTCACTCTCTCACCATTCAGGACTCCACTACACTATGCATCTGCAAACTGTAACTACCAGTGTGTGTTTGCCTTGGTGGGCTCTGGGGCAAGTGTCAATGAGCTGGACGAGAGAGGCTGCAGTCCCCTGCACTACGCTGCTGCAGCTGACACTGATGGAAAGTAAGTCCTAATGTTTTAATTGATTTAGTTTATAGCTAACTATCAAAGAATCATCAGTGTCAAAAAAAGTATTTTGTCTGCTAGGTGTGTGGAGTACCTGTTAAGGAATGATGCTGATCCAGGAGTGAGAGACAAACAGGGTTATAGTGCAGTGCACTATGCCTCCGCGTACGGACGCACACTCTGCCTGGAACTGGTGCGTACGTAAAATATATTGTGTGTCCTACAGAAAATATGAAAATCATGCAAATTGAAAGCTGATCTCTTCCTTGTGCTAAAAGTTTTTAGAACTGTTGAGAAATCTACAGTTACAAGTTCTCTTGTCGTGGTATCATAAACAGGCTTTCTCTTTGTTTCTTTCAGATGGCAAGTGATACACCGCTCGATGTGGTAAGAAAGAAATTTCAATCGTACTGTAACACAAGGACCCCTTACAGTGATTCTTTGTACGTAGCTCTCTCTGGTGGACAGATGGGGGAAAACAGTGGTTAGCTCATCTGGTGAGCAGATGAAGCTACTGTAAAACCTCTTCTGTCTTGTTATAGGTTTGATAAAAATGGGCAGGTCAACGTTGTATGCATTTCGCAAAAAAATTGCTTCTTAAATCTAAAACTCCTCGTGGGCACAAAGCTTTGCAAAGCACTCTTAATCACCCGTGCAGCTGCTTATTGCCTGAAATGAGAAAAATGTGAACCATCTCTCTATTTCAGTTATTGGAGACATCAGGAACAGACATGTTGAGTGACTCACAGAGCCAGGCCCCCGTCAGTCCACTCCATCTGGCGGTGAGTTCAAAGATGTTCAGTGTGTCTGTATTTGGCTTTGGGTTTGTTTCGCTCACACCCAGGATTTAACAGTCACTGCCGTGTCTATTACCATTAGACATAAAAGACTTGTATCTATTGGTGTGTGTCTTCCATTGACTTAGGCTTACCACGGACACTGTGGAGCTTTAGAGGTCCTCTTGTCGTCCCTTCTGGAAGTGGACGTTTGCAGCCCAGAGGGCCGGACCCCTCTGAGCCTGGCCTGCTCTAGGGGTCATCAGGAGTGTGTCTCGCTGCTGTTGCACCATGGCTCCTCGCCCATGACCCGTGACTACACTCACAAAAAGACAGCCATACATGCTGCAGGTATACACACAGGCGGTTACACACACAGATGCATACAACCAGAGAAATCTGTTTGGAGGGGGCACCTTCACGTCACATCAATAATGTTTATTTATTTTCTCTAGCTATGAATGGCCACCCAGAGTGCCTGCGCCTGCTCATGACCAACAACGACCAACACATTAATGTGGACGCACAAGACACCAACGGACAGTGAGTGTGTGTGTGTATAGCGTGCATACAAAATGGTTTAGGCTGGAGGCTTTCACTGAAATTATTATGCAACTATTTTGTTTGAGGAGATTACTTTAACTAATTTCACTTGCAAAATAAATCAAACGTGTTATGTCATATTTCCACTCTGTTTGCAGGACTCCGCTGATGTTGGCAGTGCTGAATGGACACACAGAGTGTGTGTTTTCTCTGCTCAGTCAAGGAGCCAGTGTAGAGAATCAAGACCGCTGGGGGAGGACGGCACTACACAGAGGGGTGAGACATTCACACAAACCCAATAACTTAATACTATATTTTATTATAATGTATTAACTTGTGATTTATAATTTAACTAATGATTTCCACTTGGTAAATTTTCACACAGGCAGTGACAGGCCAGGAGGAGTGTGTGGAGGCCCTCCTCCAGCGGGGGGCCAGTGTGTGTGTCAGAGACATCCGGGGCCGCTCCCCTCTTCACCTGGCATCTGCATGTGGCCGTGTGGGTGTCCTGGGTGCCCTACTGCAGGCCACCAACACCTCACACACTCACAGACACCTCACTGACAACCAGGGCTATACACCACTGCACTGGGCATGCTACAACGGTACGAGGACACAACATGACAAACATGTCTGTTCTGTATAAACTTCATATTTACATCCGTTCCTCCCTTTGCACTTGTGTCTTCTCTCTGTTTAGGATATGATGCTTGTGTGGAGGTGTTGTTAGACCAGGAGGTGTTCAAGAAGATTAAGGGCAACTCGTTCAGTCCACTGCACTGTGCTGTGTAAGACAATGTGTCTGTTTGTTCCAATAATTGTTTTTCTGTAGATCGGCACTGGTCTGAGGGTATGTGACGGTGTGTGTTGTGTGTTACAGTATGAACGATAACGAGGGAGTGGCTGAGATGTTATTAGACTCGCTGGGCACAGCTATTGTCAACACCACTGACTCCAAGGGCAGGTGACACATGTTTTTGGTAAAGTTTGTTTTGGGTGAGCACAAGCTCTGCTGGTATATCGTTAACTGTGTTTGTGTCAACGCAGGACCCCCCTTCACGCTGCAGCTTTTTCCGACCACGTAGAGTGTGTTTCCCTTCTGCTGAGCCACGGAGCTCAGGCAAACGTCGTCGACACGCACATGCGCAGGACGCCGCTGATGATGGCAGCTCTCAACGGACAGACCAACACTGTGGGTCAGTACAACCACTGCCACATAGATACACTATGATTTCTAAAACTTTGACATGTAACAGTCTCTGTTAATGTGTTGCAGAGGTGTTGGTGAACAGTGCTAAAGCAGACTTGACACAACAGGATACAAACAGGAACACAGCATTACATCTGGCTTGCAGCAAGGTAACAACCATTCACAGACAGGAAATGCTTTTTTTATTCACTGGCCATGGTGAAATATGGATAGTAACATGTCACCAGGCACATATAAGGATGACTAAAGAGAAGACAAGTAGTTACAGATACAGTGTTATCTGTCAGCTGGTGAAAAGGTTAATTACACATCCAAATAATAGTGATTTTTTTGTTTGTTTTGTTATTGTGAATTTAATAAAGGCTTTCCAAAATTTGTGTATTTGTCCTACATGTAGGAAGAAATAAGCAGGTAGTCTGAGTTCACATTTGAAAAATATACAAAAGAGGTAATAAATTATATAAACACGTCAAAGTGAAGCTTTTCTGTCTTATCACAAGAGGTTTTAATTTGAAAGGCTTAGCAATGGTTAGAATGGGACAACTGGACAATCATATTGTGCAATTCATGATTATACTTGTTCAAAAGTTCAGCATCAGGGCCTTTAATAATCCTTGAGCACCTCCATGTTGACAAATAAAATAGTCTGTTTCAGTAGGTTAATTTCGGCACCATCATGTAGTATTAAGGACTTGGCCAATCATGGAAGGACTAATACCAGTCAGTGTGCTGCTGATAGCGGTTGACTCATTGGCAGGATATAGTTTATATCCTTTCAATAATTCCATCCTGGATTTCTTGTATTAAGAGTCTTTTGTGGACTGACAGATTCTGTGTGTCCATTAAGCTGAGGTTTGAGTATATTACTGTTGTTATTTTATGCCTGTTCAAATCCATGACTATGGTTAAGGTTACGCTCTATGTACAGTTCTCATTTATTTCATTCAGTGTACTCTGCTACAGCTAAAAGGCTTTAATGCAGTAACTTTGCTTTCATATTTGAAGAAGTGCTCTGTTTGCTTAATGTTACTGTTTTTTCAATATTATTCAGTTAAATTTAGTTCTATAGTAGCTTCATGTAGGTGGAATAGTGGTAATATGTGTGTGGTAGTTAATAAAGCACAGTTCTTACCGGACTATCTAAATTCAGGCAAGCAACTACACCTAGGGATTCTTCATCAAATAGGAGGTCTTAAGCTTGGGCTCACACAACCATCGCCTTCTCCATCACAATACTTATTGTCATTTTTCTCTGTTCTTCATTCCTCTCTGTTCTTCTCAGGGTAATGAGACGAGTGCCTTGTTGATTCTGGAGAAAATCAGTGACAGGAACATCATCAACTGCACCAATGCTGCTCTCCAGACGTACGTAGTATTTCTAGGGTGCAGGCAGACACTCTGCTGTACAGCAGGGTAATCTACTAATTTCAGACTGGACATATGTTTTGACAGTGTGTCTCCCTCTACCTTTCTGCAGGCCCTTGCACATAGCAGCCAGGAGGGGATTGACTGTGGTGGTCCAGGAGTTGCTGGGGAAAGGAGCCAGTGTGTTAGCAGTGGACGAGAACGGTGAGCTTTCATTTTAATGCTGTAGCACGCTCCTCACTATTCATGTGTATTTCTAAAGTGAAATGTAATTTTTTTATTTTTTATTTTTATACTCTCTCGCACCTCTCTTAACCCTAGGTTACACTCCAGCTCTGGCCTGCACTCCCAGCCGTGACGTGGCCGACTGCCTGGCGCTCATCCTCAACTCCATGATGCCCACCTCCCCTATGGTCACCATAGCAGCTTTGCCTGCCCTTTCTCTTACTCAGACTGTCATCAACCACCATCCCACCTCCAACCACATCTCCAAAGGCGTGGCCTTTGACACCCCACCTGCCCTGAGGCCTGACCATGCCTCATACTGCAGGGCAGAGCGTCTGCTGTCCTCTGTCACTGGCGACGATGAACTGAATGACTCAGATTCAGAGACATACTGAGAACATACCTGCAGTTAGACAGAGCCCCATAATACTGGCAGGCTAGCCAGCCACTCAGGAGCCTTAAAAGGTCGCTGACCAGGAACAAAAAGAGAGAAGAGAGTGGAAAAAATACAGACAGTGTTCAGGTTTTTTTTAGGTAAGCCTCTTCAAAAATAACCATTGTTGGAAACTAGATGTTTGTTCCCTTGGGGTGGAAAATAATGTACTAAAATATAGAATAAGGTGAATACACACTACATTTGTCTCAAGACACTACCACTGTATGGTCAGTAACATGGCCAGTGTCTTTTTAAATTTAGCCCATATTCTGATACTTTCTGGAGTGTTTTTAAGCCTTTTCACAGGTTTTCCTACTGGACAAAAGGCCAGAGGACTGCTTTTTTTGTTAGCATGATTGTCTTAAGAAACAACAGAGGGACAATCTTACGGGACCAGGAGATTGATTACTGTTTGTGGTATTTATGAATTTTTAGTTGGAGTTCTTCAAGCTATCATGGCTGTCACTAACGCACATTGGTAATGCTGCGTTGTTTTTGAACCACTTTTCAATTCCTAGGAGAGGAAATCATTATTGAATCCTATGAATTTATTCCAAGTGGAGACTGAATCCTTGGGAAGTGATTCTGGCAGCAAGTGAATGGATGTAAGACGCAGAAACTGTATGATTGTATCAGGAGTCAGTTGATTGATGACCAGAATGAGCGGCCCAAGGAACTTTTAACTTGCAATGCTGTAACTACTCAATGTCTGTACTGTAATGGAGACAGGGGAAAGTGGCTGTGTGAGTGTGTGTGTGTGTGTGTGTGTGAGAGGGAGAGAGAGAAATAATATTGCCTTCTTAGGAACAAGCTACTTTCGGGCAGAGGATGCACGCAACTTGGTGCAATGTTTGTATAGATTAAGTAATGAAAGAATGAATAAAGAGATTTGTTTTTGATTTACTGTAGTGTGTATATGACAAAAGACACATGCGCAACAGCTAAATTTTCAGTCTTACACAGAAGAGTTGTTTTGTTACATCAGTTCTTAAATGTATTTGATTTTTTTTCTCCTGAGAGAGAGACACACACACGTACGTCTATTCTGAAGTAGCTCATTCATTGTCCAGGTGATACATTCGTCCGTACAGACAGGCAGTGACCAGCCCACGAGACATGTTTGAGTGTTTCATGGTCACTCTGCCATCTAAAGCCATTTCCAGATGCTCTGGCTGCTCCAAGACCATTCTGCTAGCCAAAACTGATGGGTACACATATCTGGTCTCAAAGTTCCCCTCCAACAGGAAGTCCATTTTAGACTCGGCCTCTTCCACTTCCTGTCCACAGGAACTGACGTCCAACCCCGCACAGCGGACTATTGCACACACCTGCAACAGAGACATGATAAATGTGACAACAGTTTCATTAAGCAGTTTTAAATATCTAAAATTCTGCTGGTTTACACCTGCAGGGCGTAGCGTCCATTCACAGTGTGTGTTCCAGCGAATGCTCCCAATGCGTAGAGCTCTTTACCACTGCCTTGTGGTGACCGCTGGTACTGCAGGTGACAGCAAAAGGTGCCATTACACACATTCACTTCATCCTCTGTCTTCTTTAAGAGGACAAATGTAAAAGCGTCGTACATCATGGTTGAGATGAAGGTGGTGGTGGAGGGAGGGACTGAAGAAGCACTTTCAGGATGAAGAGAATCAAAACAGCTTTCCTGGTGACAGAATCCAGAGCCTGTAGCTGCAGATGATGTTGACTCAGCCCTAACAATCCCCTCCTCCGTGGCCACACTTTGCCCCATCCACAGTGGGTCTAAGACTGGCACCCTGGCCACCAGCAGCCTGCCCTCCTCTGGATCTCCTCTCTGGGCGTGGTGGTATGTGGCAGAAAAGGGGGTGTATATGCCACTTCCTGTCATGATCAGTCGGTCTTTACGAATGTTGGCTGCTAGCAGGGTGACATTGGCACCCAAGCTGAATGCCCACTGGAACTGGATTGTGTCCAGTAGGGGGAGCTGGTTCATCCAGGCTGTGGGAAAGATGAGCTGTCGCACACCCTAAATGTAGTCCAGAGAGAGGCAGATGTTTGGAAAATAGAAGACCAAACAAGAATGTAGAGTTGGGTACAGAATTTAAATGGCTGTATTTCTACCTTCTCCACCAGGGTGACTGTGGGAACCTGGAACAGGATGTCAAAGCAGGTGATGAGGCCAAACCTCCCAGCAAAAGGTGTGTCAAACGTTATGATCTCAGGTTGCGGCGGAGTGTCAAAGGCCTCCTCAAAGTAGAGGTTGTGTTTATGGTAGCGTGCCACCAGCAGGCCATCTGACCTGTGTAAAGGAAAGTACTGTGAACACAGTTCACAGAGACAAGTAGGGAATTATGTTTTGGTGCACTTGGACTTCATCTCAACTACTTCTATTTTAAGGTCTACACTTCACCCAAAAACCACGTTGGTGTTGAACTGCCAGCGTCCGTCAGAGGGACAGGAGGAGGAGGGGTCGGTCTGCAGGGGGCAGGGCTGCAGATCAGCCATGTTGGCCACCAGGTAGAGGTTGTTACGCCGGGCAATACAGCTCAACCGCTGGAGGACCTGTGAAACACAACCATGTCAGTATGCCCGTTCAATAACAACATTGAATCTGTAAATATGATTGTCCACCTCAGTGTTGTTATGTCTGCCCGGCTCCGTGCAGGGGTTCCAGCTCTCCTGCTGGGGGTCAGGAATGGTTTCTAGATAACCAGAGATGGATGAACGGCTGAAGTTGAAACCCTGCAGGCCATCTTCTGGAAACACCAGGATCTGGGCACCCTGACCAATAGAACATGAAGGCAGAGAGACTTAATTACTGTAGTCGTTACCTCTGTGACATTAAATGTACTTCCTAATATGGGTGTAAGGAGAAAGCCAACTTCTCCTGATGACTGAGTTTACTTGGGAACAACACTGACTCCTTTGCAGTAATATCTGCCTGCCATCATGACAATCATGCCATCACAAGGAATTACCTTTTTTATTTAATTATCCTGACTGCTTTTTAGTTATCCACTGATCAAACAGAAACTGATTATTAAATTTACTGTTGTCTGATTATGATACAAGATCAGGTAACTGTTAAATATTTTGCAATGGCAGTGACCGACTTTATTTAAGGGGTCCAAGGACCAACACAATGACAAGTCTGAGATTAAAATGAACAATACTGGGATATTGTTTGACTGTTTCAACAATACATGACAAGAAAAGTCATGACTTACAGGACAAAGCACAATACAACTGTTAATTACGAAGTAAGCAATAAGCAACACTGATTCTTTGACTGAGAAACCAAACGCCTCCCCTGTCCTGACCATACCTGATCAGCGGCCCGTGCAGCCTGCTCCTCGTAGATATCCAGGTTTTTCTGCATATGCTGCAGGGCAACGGAACGGGACAGGGGGACACGAGGCTCCGGGTTCAGGATTACGTTGTGCTCGTACACAGCAGCAACATACGTGGGGTCCACGACGGGCTCTGTTTGAACAACGGCCGACCTTAAGAAAGAAATTATAAAAACGAAAACGAACAAAAACATTGTTTCTTCCCTGAGAGACATGAATGGTGTAACCGTGACAGACTAGTTAGACCAGAGAACCTGTGAGGTCCGAAGTCCTAACTGTTACTGGAGGCAGAGATAAACAGAGCTGACTTGAGTAACGTTAGAGGATAAGAAAACTCCCCTTGCGAAAAAGTGTTGTGTTGACGGTATAAATATGGATCCACATGGTCGTAGTTTGTACAGTAGCTCCGTTTTACATTTTCAAATACTTATCCACTGGACTGCCCTAGACAGATGACAGAAAACGGCCTTTTCACAGCAATAGCGGCAACCTGGCAACTAGACATAAACAACCCCTTTATTTTGAAAATATAAAACAGGAAACGTAGGGTACTTAACCCGGAAGCACTAGAAATCTGAACTTTGTACAACCAGCACAAGCCCTGAGATTAAGAGCTTAGACTGTTTAAAAGGAGTAACTTTGTACTTCATGTGGACTAATTGTTTAAACATATAAAGACGCTGTTTAGAAACGGGCTCTTGCTTATTAGGGGTCCAAGCCCACTCGGGCTATTCTTCCGTACATTTTCGCCTAATTCCGATACTGCAGCCTAGACGGTAACTGCTAGGGACGCGAAAGTCACAGGGTAGGTTCAGGCCCGTGAGACGACGCCATGCGAAAAAAATCACTCACTTCTACCTCTAGGGGGTGCTATAAGCAAGGTCAACGCGTTTGGGCTTGGAACTCCCGCCTAAACTTTTTTTTTTTCTGCTAAATCGCGAAAACTTAAAAACCTATTTTAATTTACTCCTCCGAAGCCACAAGTCCGATCGACACTCCTGATGACTGACTTTACTTGGGAACACTGACTCCTTTGCGGTTATACCTGCCTGCCTTCATAACTATCCTGCCAAAGTGTAAAAAAAATTACCTTTTTATTTAATATTATCCTGACTGTGCTTTTTAGTTACTCACTGCACCTGACCGAATTAGCTACCTTATATTAAGTATATGATGTTGAACGATAGAACTGTTATTTATGAAGTGAGCAATAAGCGACAGACTTTGATTTATAAACCAAACATTTAAAACTCTGACATGACTATATACCTGATGAGTGGCCTGGGCAGCCTGCTCCTCATAGATATCTAGGTTTTTCTGCATCTGTTCCAGAGCTTCAAGGTGGAACTGGGGGACATGAGGGTCTGGGATCAGGTTGTGCTCAAACACAGCAGCAACATCTGAGGAGTCCACACTGTGCACTGTTTGAACAACGACAATCATTACAGAAAAACTGACAAACAAAAAAATAGTTTCTTCGTGGAGAAACATGAGTAGTGAAACCCAGATGGACCAGTTACATGATAGCACCTGAGGTCAGACGTCCTGACAGAGATAAACAGAGCTGACTCTTTTCTGTTTTTTAGAGGTGTTAAGAAGCTCCCCTTGCAAAATAGTGGTGTTTCCTATTTCTGCTGTGACAATGTCTGTGAGAGAGCCCTCGCGCACTTGACGATTTGACAGTGGGAGAGGCCTAAGCTCGATGTCCACACTCACAGACACACAGACTTTGAGAAGCGTTCCAGCTAAGTCTGAGTCTGTCAGCATGAGCGCATCAAGATTGGGCCGAGAATACTATGTTGGAAAACACAAAGACACAGTAAAGTAAAAACTAACACAAGGGGAAGGGTAACACTAAATAAAACAGGAAATAAAAACACACAAACCCAAAACCATGACAGTATTCAGGCTGCCCAAAAAAGTACCTTAAGACGCCACTTGATCCAGAATGCTGCGGCATGTGTACTGACAAAGAAAAAGACATATTTCTCCTGTGTTAGCTCTCTAATATAAATAAATAATAGATTTAAATCATTCTGCTCACATACAAATCCCTTAATGTTCAGGCACCAGCATATCTTAAAGAGCTCGTAGTACCTCGTTACCCGACTAGAACACTGCACTCCTAGAATGCAGGGTTCTCCAAAAGTATAATATAATTTTCACTGATATTTGTATCATTAGCATTATTGCTATTATTTTATATCTCTGTGTTGGGCTACTGTGTGTTCTCCTTCCAGCCTACTTAACGTTACTGGAGTTCCACAACTACTGAAGCCATTGTCTATGAAGATTCTCAGTCATCCAGGTCATAGTTATCCAACGAAGGTTAAAATCAAGGGCAACTGGACTTGGTTGAAGATACTGGAAGCTTCCTGGCTGTCCTTTCATACTCCCGTACCAATCTGAGGGTGTTCATCCCAAAATGATTAGCAAGATGTCTATGAAGATTCTCAGTCATCCAGGTCATCCAGGGGGCACTTACAGCCTGTGGATACCCTAAATGGACCTTTGTGAAGACAGCCACAAGATCCAAGAAGAACAAAACTACAGGGGAGGAGGAAAAGAAGGTCAAACGCAACAACATTGTGATTCCATACATGTCTGGAGTATCAGAGAAACTCAGGAGGATTTTCAACAAACATAACATCCCTGTGTTTTTTAAACCCAAGAACACACTAAGACAGATGCTGGTACACCCCAAAGACCGCACACCCAAACACAAGAAAAGCAATCTAGTGTATGTGGTCCAATGCAGTGAGGAATGCACAGACCTGTATATTGGGGAGACTAAACAACCACTACACAAACGCATGGCTCAACACAGAAGGGCCAACTCCTCAGGTCAAGACTCTGCTGTCTACTTACATCTGAAGGACAGAGGACACTCGTTTGAGGACCACCAGGTGCACATTTTAGACAGAGAAGATGGATGGTTTGAAAGAGGTGTCAAGGAAGCCATCTACACCAGGGTTGAGAAGCCGTCATTGAACAGGGGAGGGGGTCTACGCCACCACTTATCCCCCACTTACAATGCTGTCCTTTCATCACTTCCCAGGAAACTCAACAAACGTAACCCATTGGCCTCAGGTGAAGATACCAACGATGGTCGTTCAGTCTTGGCCACAGGTAGTCTTAACGACTGTAACAACTGTCGTCACAGCAACAAGGAACACTAACGAACCAGCGGTATCGATGACCCGGGCCAACGACCCCACTGAGGTTAAATAGCTGAGTTTCCCTGCCAGTCAGTCAGAACTGAAGAAGTCCTTTGGATGAGGGACGAAACGTCTTCCAGTATCTTCAACCAAGTCCAGTTGCCCTTGATTTTAACCTTCGTTGGATACTGAAGCCATTCAAACTTTGTCCTGTCCCAATGGACTTGTGTGTAGGTGAGGTAAAGTGGTAAAGCAGGAAAACCACTGTGAGGCAAAACAGGTGTGGACATCTAATACTTCCAAACATACAGCACATATTTTTGCCCCATCTGTGTTTGTATAATTTTACAAGGCTACAATATATCATTATAATGATATTTGTAGGGGGAGAACCCTCAGATGGGGTTGTTCCTCACCCCACTGACCCCCACGTTTAAAATGGCTCAAACACGGACTACAAAGTATCGTACAGATGTCCTTGCAACAATATCACACTAAGCACTGCATTCAAGTGAGAAGTTGTTTGGGGGTATGTGTGTGTGAGCGAGAGACAAAAATTCATATGTATTGCCTTTTGAGGAACAAGCTACTTTCGGGCAGAGGAAGAAGCTTGGTACAGTGTTTGTAAAGATTAATAAATGAATGAATAAAGATATTTGTTTTTGTTTTATTGAACTGTGTAAATGACACATGTGCAACAGCTCAATTTTCATTATCAGTCTTGGTCAGAACAGTCGATTTGTTACATTAATTAAAAATAAAATGATGTTTGATGTTTTTCTACTGACACACACGTCTATTTCAAAGCAGTTCATTTATTGTCCAGGTGATACATTCGTCCATACAGACAGGCAGTGACCAGCCCACCAGCCATGTTTGAGTGGTTCATGGTCACTCTGCCATCTAAAGCTTTTTCCAGATGTCTAGGCTGCTCCAAGACATATTTGCTTGCTAAAACTGATGGGTACACGTATCTGGTCCCAAAGTTCCCCTCCAACAGGAAGTCCATTTTAGACTCAGCCTCTTCCACTTCCTGTCCACAGGAACTGACGTCCAACCCCGCACAGCGGACTATTGCACACACCTGCAACAGAGACATGATAAATGTGACAACAGTTTCATTAAGCTTCCACTTCCTGTCCACAGGAACTGAGGTTCAACCCTGGACAACGAACTAGTGCACACACCTGCAACAGAGGTATGATAAAAGTAACAACAGTCTTATTTACGCCATTTTGAATATACAAAATGATTCTCATTCATACCTGCAGAGCGTAACTTCCATTCACCAAGTGTGTTCCAGCAAATACTCCTAATGCATAGAGCTCTTTACGACTGCCTTGTGGTAACTGCTTGTACTGCAGGTGACAGCAAAAAGTGCCGTGACACACGTTCACTTCACCCTCTGTCTTCTTTAAGAGGACAAATGTAAAAGGGTCACCCATCATATCTGTGATAAAAGTGGCAGAGGAGGGAGGGACTGAAGAAGCAGTTTCAGCATGAGGAGAATCAAAACAGCTTTCTTGCTCAGAGTCTGTAGCTGTAGATGGTGTCGACTCAGTCCTAACTACCCCCTCCCCTGCAGCCACGCTCTGCCCCACCCACAGTGGGTCTAAGACTGGCACCCTGGCCACCAGCAGCCTGCCCTCCTCTGGGTCTCCTCTCTGGGCGTGGTGGTAGGTGGCAGAAAAAGGGGTGTAGATACCACTTCCTGTCATGTTGTGTTGGTCGTTACGGAGGTTGGCTGCTAACAGGGTGACATTGGCACCGAAGCTGAACGCCCGCTGGAATTGTACCGAGTCCAGTAGGGGGAGCTTGTTCATCCAGGCAGTGGATAAGATGAGCTGTCGCACACCCTAAATGTAGTCCAGAGAGAGAAGGATGTTAGGAAGAGAGAAGACCAAATGCAGGAATGTAGAGTTAGGTACAGAATTTAATTGGCTGTCTACCCTCTCCACCAGGGTTATTGTGGGCTCATGAAACAGGATGTCAAAGCAGATCATGAGGCCAAACCTCCCAGCAAAAGGAGTCTCAAACGTTATGATCTCAGGTTGCGACGGAGTGTCAAAAGAATCCTCAAAGTAGAGGTTGTGTTTATGGTAGCGTGCCACCAGGAGGCCATCTGACCTGTATGAAAGAAAGTACTATGAAAGGTTCACATGGACAAAGGTATGAGAGGCCGTTTAGGGTAAACATTTAAAGACAGGCAGTCACACACACTGACGATGTGCATGCACACACTGAAAAAACTGAAATACATGCACACATGCACAAGGAGAAAGGGGACGTGCACATTGAAATAGGATACATGCACACTGACAATAAGCTCACTAAACTGAAAACGTGCACATACACACTGAGAAGTTCCACCACCTTCAAAAGCTGTGGGATACAGGCAACATGTTTGTTTGTAGTTGAGCATGTGCATGTAAAAGTATTTCAGTGCACCCAGAAGTTGTTTCACTGTAACAGGAAGTCGTTCAGAGCTGCAACCTGAACCTGCATAGCTCCACGGGGTTGCCCTGTCAAACATGAAGACGCAGTTATTTCTATTAATTGTAGTTGGCCTTTTAGTTGTGACCTGCATTTGTCACTGCTAATATTAACATCATCATCATATTAGCATCACAATATCCACACAGAAAATAAAACAGCAAAAGTAGCATTGGTACAGAAAATGAAAAAATGGTTCTGATAATTACAAGAGAACTTAATAATAGAACTAGTAATAATTGTGGCAGCAGATGTTGTTCAGGAACTGAAGGGCAGCAGGTGACTCGCAGCCAATAACACATGCAGAAATTGATGAGAGGAGAGGGAGAAGAAAGCACACGACTACAGAACAACAACTCTTGAAGAGGCGCTAATGGTCGCTCAAGGTACGATTTGACAGCAGATCAGATTAACCCTTGTTTGGATTTAGAGGAAGAGGAGTTTGCAATCATGGTGGAGGAGTTGCAGCAAGAGGATTCGGGCAACAATTATTGACCATGTCATCAATTATGGCTTGTCCTTTAGAGAGGTTAGATGATGGCGTTCTTTGCCACATACGACTGGTTCCACCCGACGAGAGAGGGGTGTTGAGGCCTGGCATGACTGTGCATGTGACAATTTGGAACAATGTTGCCTTCCACCTCTCCTGCCTTGTGAATTAACAGTTTGCTGCACAGCCCCGCATGATGATACAATTCGTCCCTGCATAGGTTCTATTTCAACTCTATTTTGTTTTTGGAATATTTCAAACAGTTACTTTTGGTTGCTTTTATGTTTACTGTATTCTGTTTTTATTTACAGCATTCAGCATTTGATGCAGTATAATAAAACATTTTGTTTGAGTATTTCTGATTTTGGGTGAAATTCTTTAATGGTTCTTTGAGGACGCAAGAATGCAGTGCAAAAGCTGTACCATAATGAATGTCTGAAATCTGCTAGTCTAGGTATGTACTTTAGGTCTTACGACAGTTATGTCAACGACAGTTCATGGGCACAGAAAGACCTGCACACGAGAATACAGTAAAATGAATGAAGAAAACTTTCTTTGAAAATGTCTCTTTTTAAATTTTTAGTTATTTTTTTTATTTTACAGGGCATCTCAAAAAGTGTAAGCACAGAATAAAAGTGCAGGTGCATTGCCAAGCAGGGTTTGTTAACTCTCGTAAAATCATCTTTGGAGAAAATAATATAAATATAACTATAAATATAATATCATGCTGTGATATTTTTGCTTTACGTTTTTGGCACATACTATAACTATGTAGAGTATGAATAAATTGATAGTTGTATGTTGATAAATTTGCTAGATGAGTTTCAAATAATTTCAAGAAATATGGTGTTGCGCTGAACAAAGACTCAGGGCCTGTGATTCTTATGATACATAATTTCTGTGGAGGCGATGTGTTGCAAGTAGGGTAGCCTACTTAATTTTAGTGAATGTAAAAATACTGTATAGAAATGAATAACACATAATACCCTCATTAGAGTTTAGGAGGTGGTGTAACGTTTTTTGTAGTGCATTTTTAGTATTTTGTCATTTGTTATGACATGTATTTTGTCAGCAAGTCAGATAATGAGATTCTCTGTGTACAAGAAGGAAACAAAGTGATATTTCATATTGCCTAAACAGCCTTTCATACTAGGAATTTATGTTTTGATGCACTTGCTGGACTTCAGCTTTACTACTTCTGTTTCATGATGTACACTTCACCTGAAAACCACGTTGGTGTTGAACTGCCAGCGTCCATCAGATGGACAGGAGGAGGAGGAAGAGTCGGTCTTGAGGGGGCAGGGCTGCAGGTCAGCAACATTGGCCACCAGGTAGAGGTTGTTATGACGTGCCATACAGCTCAAGCGCCGGAGAATCTGTGAAACACAACGATGTCAGTATGCCCGTTCAATAACAACATTGAATCTAAAAGTATGATTGTGCACCTCAGTGTTGTTGTGTTTGTCCGGCTCCGTGCAGGGGTTCCAGCTCTCCTGCTGGGGGTCAGGAATGGTTTCTAGGTAGCCAGAGATGGATGAACGGTTGAAGTTGTAACCTTGAAGACCGTCTTCTGGAAACACCAGGATCTGGGCACCCTGACCAAGAGGAGATGAAGACAGAGTATAGAGACTAAAATTCTGACATTAAATGTACTTTCGTATGTGAGAATCCAGAGAAATACAACCACTTCTGATGACTGAGTTTACTTGACTTCTTTGCAGTAATATCTGCCTGCCATCACGACAATCCTGCCATCACAAGTTTAAGGAATGACCTTTTTATTTAATTATCCTGACTGCTTTTTAGTTATTAAACTGCACCTGTCAGAATGAGCTACCTTATTTAAAGTTTTTAAGTTTTGAATTTGAAAGGATTGAAACACTATATAAACAGAACGGTTATTTATGAAGTGAGCAATCTGCAGCATGGTTTCTTTGATTAAAAAAAACTAAATAACTTAGGCATACTGACTCCTTTGCAGAAACGCTTCCTGCATTCATAAATATCCTGCCATCACAAGATTTTATTCAATATTATCCTGCTTTTTAGTTATTCACTTCACTTGACAGAATGAGCTACCTTATTTTAAGTTTATAAGTTTGAAGGATATGGACACTAGATCAACAGAACTGCTATTTATGAAGTGATCAATGAGCAACACGGTTTCTTTGATTAAACAAACATACATTTAAAACTCTCCCCTGTTCTGACCATACCTGCTGGGCAGCTCGGGCAGCCTGCTCCTCATAGATATCCAGGTTTTTCTGCATGTGCTGCAGGGCAGCAAGTCGGGAACGGGTGACATTAGGCTCCGGGTTCAGGATTAAGTTGTGCTCGTAGACAGCAGCAACATACGAGGAGTCCACAATGGGCTTTGTTTGAACAACGGCCAACATTATAGAAAAACTGAAGACAACAAACAAAAACATTGTTTCTTTGTGGAGAGACATGAATAGTGAAACCCAGATGGATTAGTTATATGATAGCACCTGCTAGGTCAGAAGTCCTACGTGAGGTAAAGGTAAACAGAGCTTTCTATCTTTTAGAGGTGATAAGAAGCTCCTGTTGCGAAATAGTGGTGTTTTTTTGTGGTGAACTGTGGATCAACAGGGTCGTAGTACAGCAACTCCATGTTTTAATTTGTCTTGTTCAAAAACTTGTACTGGACTGTTACAATACAACCTTGATTCTCAAAAATATATTCTCTCTACAATAGTCCATACTCCATTATGTACTGGGAATGATCCCCCTGCTGTCAGGGTACATGGATTCTTCTTTAAGACAAAATGGGTTGCTCAGCCACACCCTATGGTATACTTATAAAACACCTTTGCAGCGTTAAATCATAGACAGTTTGGTTGGAACACGTCCTAGAGGCTTAAAAGCTGGAGTCTCTCTTTACTCAGAAAATCAATGTTACAATGAAACGCTGTAGTTTTCATTTTAACATTGGAGGGGGACACAAATTAGACTGGAGGTATGGGGGTTAATATTTTTAGTGTCATTTCCTGCATTCTTGTACATTTTTCTGTACCAATTCCTGCGTTTTATGCATCTATTTAGGGTGGCAGGTGACAATTCAAAATATGAAAATACAATGGAATATAATGCAGTAAGTCTATCAGGCAGTCTGTATTGCTTTCAAATCTATATTCTACTCTAGATCTACCATTCCCATTTATTGTCATCCAGCAGAGTCAACACACATGTAGGCATGATTTAGGCCCCATCCACAACAGAGTTTAAAAATGAATACAATCTCCATCTACACCAGCGTTTCAGAGTTGACCTCTGTCTACATTAAAACAACTGAAAAAGCACATCTGGTGGACGTTCACGTACACTGGGCATGTGCGTGCCGGTGTAAACATGAAGCAGATGGTCTATTCCGTAGTTACAGAAGATTTGGCGAAAGAATAAAGTGAAGCAGAGGAGGAATCAGACCAGATTTTTTTTTTTGCATGGACCAAGAACAAGCTGGGACTGTTACTGAATGTAACACGGGCGGCAGAAAACAGACTGGGAGTCGTCGCAAAGTAAATGGCGACCTGCACACTAACTTACAAGTGTAGGCTGTAAATGTTCTTTGCACAAGATATTTTAATAAAAATACTAAATCCAAATTCTTGTCAGTAGCATTGTGTTTCTGCTTTGCATGACTTATGAGACCCAGTCAGAGAGCCAAACTTGAGCATCTACGTCATCGTTTCTGAAGCACTCCGTTTTTGCCTGTCCCCACTAAAAGGCTACCCCGGAGTTTTAAAATGAAAAGGGGCTCCGCAGCGTTATCAGACTTCTCTGTTTTAGGTCTTCGTTTTCGCCATTTGCGCAATCGTGTGGATGGGGTTTTAGTCTTCCCTGCTCTTTTGTGTCTTGTCAGGTTTAGTGAAGAGGCAGAGTAAAAGCAGGACACCATGCATATACATTTTGGTGTTTATTAATGATTAAACAGAAAGGAGAACTGGCTTACGCAGGAATTAGGCAGCCATAGTCAAAACACTGGAGGAAAATCCATGCAGAAGGCAAACAAATCCAGTGTTAAAAAAAATCCAGAAAGTCAGGCAACAGGTAATTGCAGAGGAACACTGGGACACTTGACAAACTCATGAAGATTAATGGAAAGACACTTACTCATATACAACGAGGGAGGTGATAACCAGACACAGGTGACGCTAATCAGGGAGGAGCAAATAATCAAACAAGCAGAAGAACCCAGACATGAAGTTGACTAAACAGAAATGAGAGGGAAAGAAAATAACTCAGTAAAACAGGAAACACAGAAAAACATAGACGCACAGTGGGGGCCTTTCTCACTTCCCAAATTTGTGCCTCCTGGAGCCTGAGACCCGGAAATTGATCTCAGCGCACCATCTTGAAGGAATTCCTAAAATGAACATTGAGGAGCGAGGATCGAGGAGGCGAGGAGGCACAAATTTGGGAAATGAGAAAGGCCCTGGGAAGACACAAAGACAGGAAATTTTGTAAATACAAACACAGAAGGAAGCATTTAACCTTGCCTGAATAAAATATAATAAATCAAATATAATATTGAGAAAAACTTAATATTATGAGAATAAAGTCATAATTGTTTAACAATTAACAAAATTGTTTAATACCTGCCCTGTACTCTGCTGTGCATTAGCCTATGTTATTGCTCTGCTGATATGATAGTATCCCCTTCAGACCATCTGACACACAAAAACATGTTTGGGGCTGTGCTGCATGAGACAAATGTGCTGCTCTTCATTGGAGGTGAAAAACCGGGCCAACTTAGAACACTTCCGATCGGGCATAAATTTTACCACAAAACCACACAAATGTTAACTTCAGCCCCTTCGATTTCAATATCCATGTGAATAAGAAGATTGAAGCTAAAGCCATTGCATTCCTCAATACTTTTGGACAGCCTTGAGTTAAAACAGCTTGTAACGGAGTCCAACCATAACCTTGGCAACACTCTAGCCATCTCCAGAGTGAAAGACATCATTTATGGGTAAATTATATTAATGTGTCTGATCATCATTGTGTATTTCTATTCTAATACCTTAACAATTCACTCGAAACCGCAATTTAAATCACCTCACCAGGACATTAGGACAGAGCACTAGCAGATTCCATTGATTTAAATATTTTCAATGATTCTATTAACTGAACTGTTGAGGCCTTCAATAGTGAACTAGGTGACATGCTTAGCAAAGTAGGTCCTTTAAGGTCTAAAAAAAAGGTCCTATAGCAAATTGTCACCTTGGATAACTAAAATGTCCGTGACCTAAGAGGGTCATGTAGGAAAGCTTAGAGAATGTGGAGGAAAACTAAGTTACAGGTTCATTGTGACAATCTAGATAAAATAACTACATATAAAACAGTTGTTCAAAGTAAGAGAAGGATTTACTTCTCAAAGCAAATTGCTAAAAACAGTGAAACCCTAGGTTCCTGTCCTCAACCACTGATACGCTTCTGTGTCAAACACCTTATTCAGGCATCTGCTCTGAAATGTGAAGAATTTGCAAGCTTCATTATAAATAAAGTCACCTCTAAAAGGGCAACCATTGCAAACACAAGTATTTATTTTGATAATGAATCTATTCCCCAGGCCCCCAAAGTTTCAAACACTTCAAAATGCCTGATGAAGGTCTACCACGGAAACATTGCCATCAATGTAATTCTGTTCTGAAGAATGCTATATTCCTATTTATGAAATCAAAATACAACAGCGGGAAAAATAGACACATAAAGGTTAAATGCTAAATTTGTGCAACTGAAATAAACATGTCCATACTTTTCTTTTTAATGTCAAAATTACTATGGTGGATGCATTAATTAATAATGTACATTAAGATGTGTGCTATACAAGGAGAGATTCAGAATCACAATTTATGTCTTAAGGACACTGTTTAAAGGTGACTTAACCTCACTGTAAAAACATTTATTGTGTGTGTACAGTAATGTGAAAAAATGCTGTAAAGCAAGAATACTTTTAAATATAGGCTCGTTAATAGATTAGAATAGATTATATTTATCAATTAACAAACTACAAAGTTAATGGACCGAAGAAAAATCTAAATCAAATCAACAGTTGGTGCGATCACCCTTTAATACAGCATAAATTCTTTTAGGTTCACTTGAGTTGGCCCAAACATGTTGGATAACTACTTGCAGTTCTTCTGTGGAAGGACAGGCAGCGTCAGTTTGACACATTCTGCCTGTCGGCCATGTTTATGTTTAGTCCTCTGTGAGCTTTCGTTATATTTGATCAGTTCAGTATCTGTTATTTAGTCTGTTGTGCTTTGGGGTTCAGTCCTGTCTGCTGTCCTGTGTCCAGTAACCTAGTTTGTATCTGTGTATAGTGTTTTCCTGTTTCCCAGTTAGTTCCGTCTCTGTTCCCTACTTCATTCTGTAAGTCAGTTGTTTCTTGTTTTGAGGTTTGGTTTCTGCTCTTGTGTTCTCTGTGTAGCCTTGTTTATTATGTTATTCATCCGCATCTTTAAGGTTACTTAGTATCTGTCTTGTCTCTCAGGTTTAGCTCTGCATCTCAGCCCTGTGTCCTAGTTCTGTGTCTCAGTTCATGTCTTAGTGTTTACTTCTGGTCTGTGTACTTATGTGTTTTGGATTAACTGTCTCTCTGCCAGTTTTCCTGCTGTCTCTCTGCCTGCCTCGTTAACCTGATCCCGGTCACCTGTGTTGCTCCCTCCCAGCTCGTTAACCCAAGTGTGTATATATACTTGTTTGTTTCCTCAGTCTGTGTCTGGTTATGTTGTGTGAATTCACTCTGTTGTGTCATGTGTGAAGCATCCTGTCTGTTTCTCTGCTGTCTTGGATTATGGATTAATCTACTACCTATAAACCTTGTATATTGCTGTTGTTTGGATTAAAATCCCTGAATTGCATCTCTGCTCTGGTGTCTTGTGTTTGGGCTCACACACCTCCTCTGCGCTCACCCACGAATCCTGAGTTCTTCTCTCTGTTCATGCAATTCAAGACAGACTCGATAATGTTGAGATCATGGCTCTGTCGGGTCACTTCCAGGACTCCTTGTTCTTCTTTAAACTGAAGATAGTTTTTAATAATCTTCTGATTGCAAAGAAAGTAAGCATGATGTGTCTTTCATCTGCTACAGTAAGTTTCTTTGGCCAACCACTTCATCTACGGTCATTGCCTGTTTCTTTATGGTTCTTCAAAAGAGCTTGGACAGCACATCTGGAAACCCAGAAATGTCTGCCTGTGAGAGACCTAGCTGATGCACTATAACTACTTTGAGTCTTGTTGCGGTGCTCAGTCTTGCCGTGATGTATGACTTTTAACAGTAAACTTAGTAAACTGACTTAGTCAAAAGTGTCAATAGTGATTGTATATATTTCCAGTTGTTAGTCATAGAAACAAATGCAGGTTCACAAAGGATTTCCTAAATAATTCTTTATACTTTGTGGGACTGTAATGAACCAACAAACTTTTCAGCATAAACCCTACTGCTGACCACTGGGAAGATATCCTAACTAATTTTCCTGTCTTAAAAATAGTGTTTATCTTGGAAAACACTAGGAACATTAAAAACATACATTTCCCCAAACTGAGTGTTGTAGCATAATCAACAGGAAACCATTTATTTGTGATGTTATTTTAGAAAACATACACTGTAAAAGACACATATGCAACAACCTATTCTGAAGTAGCTCATTCATTATCCAGGTGATACATTCGTCCGTACAGACAGGCAGTGACCAGCCCACCAGACATGTTAGAGTGTTTCATGGTCACTCTGCCATCTAAAGCCATTTCCAGATGCTCTGGCTGCTCCAGCACAAACTTGCTAGCCAAAACTGATGGGTACACATATCTGGTCTCAAAGTTCCCCTCCAACAGGAAGTCCATTTTAGACTCGGCCTCTTCCACTTCCTGTCCACAGGAACTGACGTCCAACCCCGCACAGCGGACTATTGCACACACCTGCAACAGAGACATGATAAATGTGACAACAGTTTCATTAAGCTGTTCTGAACATGCAAAATGATTCTTGTTGATACCTGCAGGGCATAGCGTCCGTCCACAATGTGTGTTCCAGCAAATGCTCCCAATGCGTAGAGCTCTTTACCACTGCCTTGTAGTGACCGCTGGTACTGCAGGTGACAGCAAAAGGTGCCATTGCATACATTGACTTCATCTGCTGTCTTGTTTAGGAGGACAAATGTAAAAGGGTCGTACATCATGGATGAGATGAAGGTGGCGGTAGAGGGAGGGACTGATGAAGCAGTTTCAGGACGAGGATATGCAAAACAGCTTTCATGCTGAGAGAATCCAGAACCTGTAGGTACAGATGATGTTGACTCAGTCCTAACAACCCCCTCCTCTGTGGCCACACTCTGTCCAACCCACAGTGGGTCTAAAACTGGCACCCTGGCTACCAGCAGCCTGCCCTCCTCTGGGTCTCCTCTCTGGGCATGGTAGTAGGTGGCAGAAAAAGGAGTGTAGATACCACTTCCTCTCATGTTGTGTTGGTCTTTACGAAGGTTGGCTGCTAGCAGGGTGACATTGGCCCCCAAGCTGAACGCCCGCTGGAATTGTACCGAGTCCAGTAGAGGGAGCAAGTTCATCCAGGCAGTGGGAAAGATCAGCTGTCGCACACCCTAAAAGTAGTCCAAAGAGAGGCAGATTTTAGGAAAAAAGGGAACCAAACACAGGAATGTTGAGTTGGGTACAGAATTTTAATGGCTGTTTATACCCTCTCCACCAGAGCAATTGTGGGCTCGTGGAACAGGATGTCAAAGCAGATCATGAGGCCAAACCTCCCAGCAAAAGGTGTATCAAACGTTATGATCTCGGGTTGCGGCGGAGTGTCAAAGGCCTCCTCAAAGAAGAGGTTTTGTTTGTGGTAGCGTGCCACCAGCAGGCCATCTGACCTGTATGAACACAGTTCATATAGACAAATAGGAAATTGTGTTTTGGTGCACTTGCTGGACTTCAGCTTAACTAACAAAGTCCTACACTTCACCTGAAAACCACGTTGGTGTTGAACTGCCAGCGTCCATCAGAGGGACAGGAGGAGGAGGGGTCGGTCTGCAGGGGGCAGGGCTGCAGGTCAGCAACATTGGCCACCAGGTAGAGGTTGTTACGACGGGCCATACAGCTCAACTGCTGGAGAACCTGTGAAACACAACCAAATGCAAATGTGATTTATTTTCACACACTGGTGTTGCATGAATGAAGACTCTTGGCCTCCTAGTAGTGTCACCACATCAGAATGCCCATTCAATTACATCCAAACTATAAGTATGATTGTGCACCTCAGTATTGTTGTGTTTGTCCGGCTCCGTGCAGGGGTTCCAGCTCTCCTGCTGGGGGTCAGGAATGGTTTCCAGGTAGCCAAAGATGGATGAACGGGTGAAGTTGTAACCCTGAAGACCAACTTCTGGAAACACCAGGATCTGGGCACCCTGACCAAGAGAAGGTGAAAACCAGAGACAAACTTCATTACCCTGCTGTAGTCATGAACTCTGTGACATTAAATGTACAGGTGCATCTCAGAAAATCTGAATACCGTGAAAAGGTTTTTGTTTCTTCTGTAATTTGAGTCAAAAAGTGAAACTTTCATACATTCTAGATTCATTACATACAAAGTGAAATATTTCAGGCCATTTGTTTAATCTTGATGATTATGGCTTACAGCTCCAGGAAATCAAAAATCCATACCTCCCATTAGAATATTAGAATCAAAAATTAAATGTCCACGTGAGAAAAGCCATTAATCTCTTAGTCTGGTTCAGTACACACAACCACAATCATGGAGAGGATTTCTGACTTGACAGTTGTCCAAAAGACACTCACTGACACCCTCCACAAGCAGGGTAAGCACAGAAGGTCATTGTTGAAAGGGCTGGCTGTTCACAGAGTGCTGGATCAAAGCATATTCATAGAAAGTTGACAGGAAGGTTAAAGTGTGGTAGGAAAAGGTGCACAAGCAACAGTCATTTCCACAGCATTGAGAGGATTGCAAGCAAACACACAAGGAGTGGACTGAGGCCAGAGTCAGTGCATCAAGAGCCACCAGACACAGACGGGTCCAGGAAATAAGCTCCAAGTGTCGCATTGCTAGTGTCAAGCCACTCCTGAACCAGAGACAACGTCAGAAGTGTCTCACCTGGGCTACGGAGAAAAAGAACTGGACCGTTGCTCAGTGGTCCAAAGTCCTCTTTTCAGATGAAAGTAAATTCTGCATTTCATTTGGAAATCCAGGTCCCAGAGTCTTCTAGCTTTCAGAAGGTCTAGATTTCTGTATTATACATTCTTTATTCTACAATTTTACAATTTGAAATATCGATTTTTGATTTCTGTGAGCTGTAAGCCATAATCATCAAGATTAAAACAACAAAAGGCTTGAAATATTTCACTTTATATGTAATGAATCTAGAATGTATGAAAGTTTCACTTTTTGACTTAAATATATATTTTGAGATGCACTTGTACTTCCTTATGTGGCAGTACAGAGAAATACAACCACTCCTGTTAACTGAAATAACTTAGGCATACTGACTCCTTTGCAGAAACGCTTCCTGCATTCATAAATATCCTGCCATCACAAGTTTTTATTCAATATTATCCTGCTTTTTAGTTATTCACTTCACTTGACAGAATGAGCTACCTTATTTTAAGTTTATAAGTTTGAAGGATATGGACACTAGATCAACAGAACTGCTATTTATGAAGTGATCAATGAGCAACACGGTTTCTTTGATTAAACAAACATACATTTAAAACTCTCCCCTGTTCTGACCATACCTGCTGGGCAGCTCGGGCAGCCTGCTCCTCATAGATATCCAGGTTTTTCTGCATATGTTGCAGGGCAGCAGGTCGGGACAGGGGGACACGAGGCTCCGGGTTCAGGATTAAGTTATGCTCGTAGACAGCAGCAACATACGTGGAGTCCACGCTGGGCCCTGTTCGAACAACGGGCAACATTATAGAAAAACTGACAACAATGAACGAAAACATTGTTTCTTTGTGGAGAGACATGAATAGTTTAACCCAGACGGACCAGTTACATAACAGCACCTGTGAGGTCAGAAGTCCTACTTTTGTATGTTTAGAGGTGATAAGAAGCTCCCCTTGCGAAATATTGGTGTGTCAACAGAGTCCTAATGTAGCAGCTCCATGTCTTGATTTGTCTTATTAAAATAATTGTATTGGACTGCTCTTGACAGATCACATAAGATGCCTGGCTACATTATAACCTTAGTTCTCAAAGAGACTATCTCTTTGCCATATTACATATTACATATGTACGGGGATTAATCCCCCTGCTGTCAGGGTACTGGATATTTCTTTAAGACAAAACTGCTTGCTTGGACACGCCCTACGGTTTACTTATAAACCACCTACGCAGCATGAAATCAATGATAGTTTTATTTAAACGCATGTCCTAGAGGCCTAAAAGATGGAGAGAATCTCTTCAGTTCCCTCTTCTCAGACAGCCAAGTTCACAAATAAAGGGTGTAGGTTTTATTTCAATATTGGAGGGGGGACACATCGGGTTGGGTCTGGGATCCATCCCCATAACATTTTCAGGGTTAAACATTTCATCTTCTGCATTCTTGTAAATTATTCTGATCCAATTTCTGCCTTTTCTGCATCCATTTAGGGTGGGGATGTCTTTATGTAAAGGGGAACAACATTTAGGCGGCAATTCAAAATATGAAAATACAGTCAAATATTGTGCAGTAAGGCTCTTGGGAATACTTAGCTTTCAAATATGTATTCTCCTGTTGATCAACTTTTCCAATTTAAGGTCTTCCCCCTAAGTCAACACACATGTAGGCATGACTTAGTCTTTCCTCCTCTTGTCATGTTTAGTCAAACAGGAAGCAGGTGAAGCAGGGATTTGGCCTCAAAAGCAGGACACCATTCAGCTCTCATCATTACACAGTTTTGATATATGTTAGATAACTGATGTGGTGAAACAAAGTTTTAAGAATGTAATGAAGTTCTAAGGAAGCGCAGAATATCTAGCAGTATCTCCTCCATTGTCGTGTTGATTCAGTATAGTTAATGCTGTAGGTGACACACAAGAACCCGTTTGGGCCTGTACTGGATGAGACTGAAACCAAGTGAAAACACTTCTTATCAGGCACAAATCTCACCACAAATGTTAACACCTTTGACAAAGTGTAGCTTTCAGTAACCTATTCTATTCTTTTTCTCCCCCTAATAGTGGCCCAAAATCTTGTTGTAGTTGGTATATTTGTGTACCAAATACATTGTGAATGTCAAGAGTTACATTTAAATGTTTGATCAATAGTATTTCTAGGGACAATTCGGTCCATCTTACATAATAATACTTGCCAAAACAATTAAAAAATCTGAGAAATAATTGTAAATACAGAATGAGATGGTTTAGTTCAATGGCAGCTTACTCTACCAAGAAAGTAGAATTTGTATCCAGGGACATAAAATGGAGGGTTTACAAATGCTATAAGATTTTAAAACAGTTTTACTGTTTACATCCTTGCAGGTCGACGCTCTTTGCACATGCAAACCATCTGAAGATGTTGTGGCTGTTGTAAGACATGCTGAACAGGCACCGCAAACATCAGAGTTTGAGGCCAGATGAATTTCTCATAGGCAAGGCAAGTTTCTTATTAAAATGGTTATTTTACGAGAGTGATTCTCAAATTAATCCAACTGTTGATGCATAATCCTTAAACAAGATAGAAGGTGAACAGTCAAGAGTTAAGCTGCATAAAGTGATATTCTTGTCAGTCGAAAAAGGTCTAGTGTGACTTTAGATAAGTCTTGAGGCTTGCATAAATGATCCATTCTCAAACATGTTGACAGAAAATTATTTAAAATGTGTTAACTTTAGCCTCTATATTAGCAGACATTTTCCAACAGCAATTAGATTTTTTAAATGAACATTTCTGACTATATTTTAAGGTCTTCAACTGCCCATATTTGTGGCAACCTGTCAACTCTAATAATGATTCAGAAGGCTTTTAATTGTATGTTGTGTGATGTGAGCTGGTGGCAACTGAGTTTGAGTTTTGTTTAATTTACTGTGTCACAACTCATCAAAAAGTTGTTTCAGAGTCCCAATTCATGTCATAAGACTCTGATTTTAGTCACTTAACTGCATTGTAGAAACATGTGTGTTTGTGTGTGGTTTCTTGAAGATTAAATGAGTGAGTTTTGATGGTGGTTCTCTTGATGTATGTGATACTGCAGTTTAATTCAAGACACATGTACCAGTTTCACCAAAATATACTTTATACCAGTGTATGGTGGATTCTCACCACTTAGAGAACTGGAAAATTCATGTCAAAAGTGAGTGACTGATAACTAAAAATATATACAGAGAAACAAATGGAGGTTCAAATCATTTCCTAAAAAATTATTTTTACTTTTTGGGACTGTAACGAACCAATAAACTATTCAGCATAAACATCACTTTTTGACTACTGACCAGTGGGTTCCTAACTAATTTTCCTAAAAATGGTATATCTTGAAAAACATTAAGACCATTCAAAAGAGGCAAAGGCATAACATATGTCGTGTAGTATAGCCAAAAGGAAACCCTTGGTGGTTGAACTTAAATATGATGGAACTACACTAAATAATTGTGAAGTTATTGAAAATTTTAATTCCCTAAAGTTATGCAGAAGCACATTTCTCCAAAATAAGTGTTGTAGTAGAACCAACAGTGATTTTTGGTGATGCTACACTGTATAAGAGTGAAGTTATTGACTATTTCTGTAGTATGTCTTTTCGGTGTCACACATTTTATCCTTTCCTTGTATACAGCCGTCTGTACACAGATACCAATTTTATTTTTCCAGCTCGGAGGATGACTCATTTTGGTGAAAAATAACTTGTAGCTCGTATCTTACTACAATAGGAAAGAGGCGCTATTTGAAATGGCTCAAACATGGACTGCTAGATGTTGTGCAGACGTCCTTGTAACAATATGACACCAAGCACTGCGATCAAGTGAGCTGTTAAAGCGGGTAAATGTGTGCATGAGTGGGAGAGGAAAATGTTTATGTATTTACTTTTAAGGAACAAGCTACTATCAGACAGATGATGCATGCTACTTGGTGCAATGTTTGTAAAGAATTAGTAATGAATGAATAAAGATATTTGTTTGTAATATATTGCAGTGTGTATGTGACAGAAAACACAGCATCAGTCTAGGTCAGAACAATTGTTTTGTTTCATCAGTTTTTTTAAATATATCTGATATTGTTCTGACACATCTATTCTAAAACAATTCATTCATTATCCAGGTGATACATTCGTCCGTACAGACAGGCAGTGACCAGCCCACCAGACATGTTAGAGTGTTTCATGGTCACTCTGCCATCTGCAGCTCTTTCCAGATGCTCTGGCTGCTCCAGCACAAACTTGCTAGCCAAAACTGATGGGTACACATATCTGGTCCCAAAGTTCCCCTCCAACAGGAAGTCCATTTTAGACTCAGCCTCTTCCACTTCCTGTCCACAGGAACTGACGTCCAACCCCGCACAGCGGACTATTGCACACACCTGCAACAGAGACATGATAAATGTGACAACAGTTTCATTAAGCAGTTTAGAATATCCAAAATTCTTGTTTATACCTGCAGGGCAAAGCGTCCAAGCGTAGTGTGTGTTCCAGCAAATGCTCCCAATGCGTAGAGCTCTTTACCACTGCCTTGTGGTGACCACCGGTACTGCAGGTGACAGCAAAAGGTGCCATTGCACACGTTTACCTCACCCTCTGTCTTGTTTAGGAGGACAAATGTAAAATGGTCGTAAACCATGGTTGAGAAGAAGGTGGGGGAGAAGGGAGGGTCTGATGAAGCAGTTTCTGGATGATGAGAATCAAAACTGCTTTCCTGCTGACAGAATCCAGAGCCTGTAGCTGCAGATGATGTTGACTCAGCCCTAACAACCCCCTCCTCCGTGGCCACACTTTGCCCCATCCACAGTGGGTCTAAAACTGGCACCCTGGCCACCAGCAGCCTGCCCTCCTCTGGGTCTCCTCTCTGGGCGTGGTAGTAGGTGGCAGAAAAAGGAGTGTAGATACCACTTCCTGTGGAGCCATGTGTCAGTTTGTCTTTACGAATGTTGGCTGCTAGCAGGGTGACATTGGCACCCAAGCTGAACGCCCGCTGGAATTGGATCGAGCCCAGTAGGGGGAGGTGGTTAAACCAGGCAGTGGGATAGACGAGCTGTCGCACACCCTAAATGTAGTCCAAAGAGAGGCAGATGTTTGGAAGACAGAAAACCAAAGAGTTGGGTACAGAATTTAAATGTCTGTTTTCCTACCTTCTCCACCAGAGTAATTGTAGGATCGTGGAACAGGATGTCAAAGCAGATCATGATGCCAAACCTCCCAGCAAAAGGTGTCTCAAACGTTATGATCTCGGGTTGCGGCGGAGTGTCAAAGGCCTCCTCAAAGAAGAGGTTTTGTTTGTGGTAGCGCACCACCAGCAGGCCATCTGACCTGTATGAAAGAAGGTAATGTGTAGAGTTCACATAGACAAGTAGGTAATTATGTTTTGGTGCACTTGCTGGACTTCAGCTCAACTACTTATATTTTAAGGTCTACACTTCACCTGAAAACCACGTTGGTGTTGAACTGCCAGCGTCCGTCAGAGGGACAGGAGGAGGAGGGGTCGGTCTGCAGGGGACAGGGCTGCAGATCAGCCATGTTGGCCACCAGGTAGAGGTTGTTACGCCGGGCAATACAGCTCAACTGCTGGAGGACCTGTGAAACACAACCATGTCAGTATGCCCGTTCAATAACAACATTGAATCTGTAAATATGATTGTGCACCTCAGTGTTGTTGTGTCTGCCCGGCTCCGTGCAGGGGTTCCAGCTCTCCTGCTGGGGGTCAGGAATGGTTTCTAGGTAGCCAGAGATGGATGAACGGCTGAAGTCGAAACCCTGAATACCATCTTCTGGAAACACCAGGATCTGGGCACCCTGACCAAGAGTAGATGAAAGCTGAGTATAGTGACTCAAACTCTGTTGTGGACATGAAGCCAACCAAACTTGCTTTGAAATGAAGGGTGCTGCATATGAATTGCCTTCTACAATAGGCATTATTCCTAAAGCATATAAACATTACTTTACAACATAGAGAATGATTGTGGCAGTAACAGGGGTGCAGCCCCTGGGGCCAGTCTACATAGCCTACCTTATATGGTAACCCAACAAAACTATTTTTTCCATTTACTCTCACCTATTTTCTCAAAAATTATTGTTTCCTGAATAAATAACAAATACAACTGGTTGCTTATTAAACCAAGATCAGCGGAGACATTTATTTCACCATCAACCAGCAACCAATGCCAATTAGAGAAAATAAACTAAATGAATAAGCTGATTTCCAACGACATGATTCTGGTAATATGTCAGAATAAATCCCCTGATCACCGGACTTAGATGTTTATAAAGTGTGTAGCCCACATTTGTTCTGCATTAACACTGTCAGTACGCCATTAATGGAGACTTAAGTATTTCTGTCTGCTTGTGAAAGGGCATTGCGATGCTTGGTAGGCCTCCATATGTACGTACTGGATTTGAGTTACATTAGTAGAACAACCAAAACCTTAAATTTAAAAAGGTGTTTGCTTGAGATTCTAAGTTTTTGCATCTGCCCAGCTCATTTATATCTGGCACAAGCGTGCCGGTTAACGCTCTTCTGCGTAACCGAGCGCGCACAGCTTGGATGACCATTTCTGTTACTGTAGTAAAATGCAGTAAACAGAGTAGTTGTGAAGAAGGTAGGCTATAGATGGCAAATAATGCGAAGTTCAAAGTAGATTACTTGCCCCAAAAATACTCAAGTAGGCCTAAATGTAGCTACAATTTAAAAAAGGAACGTGAAAGGCTATTGTTCCTAAAAAACCTTTTGCGTTACTTGTTACTACCCACCCCTGATTATCCGCTGCACCTGACAGAACCAAACATTTACAACTCTCTCCTGGCCGGACCATACCTGCTGAGCGGCCCGGGCAGCCTGCTCCTCGTAGATATCCAGGCTTTTCTGCATGTGTTGCAGGGCAGCGAGGCGGGACAAGGGCCCAAGAGGCCCCGGGATTAGATTGTGCTCGTACACAGCAGCAACATACGTGGAGTCCACAACCGGCCGTGTGTGAACAACGGCCAGTGTTATAGAAAAACTGACGACAACGAACAAAAGCATTGTTTCTTACCTGAGAGTGTGTTGTAGGGGAGTGTTAGTTAGGCTATTTACGAGAGAAAACCGTGGGAGGCACGTCAAACCTTTAAAGCTCTGGGGAGGGACTTATGTTTTATGCAATAGGGGAGTGACCTTATTACATTATAAATAGCCTACGTTTTTCCTTTTTAAAAATAATTATTTTAAACTTCCTATCTCCCACCTCTACATAAACCTCATTGGACCTTACGCCCCACTAACCCCACAGTGCTGCTGGACGATCCTCTCCATCACAGAATTCTCAGAATACCCCATTTACACCTGGTAGGATGATTTCAGCTATATTGGGACAGTTTTTGTGATTCTATGTTGTGATCTGGTTCTTGTCAAACATTTTAAAAATTAACCCAAATAATAGGCCTACATTTCTGTTATCTAAATCCTTAGTTATGTTTGTGTCCCCTCTTGTAAACTCTGCAAAGGTAAAATAATAAGTTATTGGTTTCTTTGTAAACAATATTGTGTCTGTTTGTTCCGGTGTGTTGCCAGAGGTGGGTTGCCGAGTCAAGTCTTAGCACTCAAGTCCCAAGTCCAGACCGATCGTGACTGGCAAGTCCGACTCAAGTCGCAAGTCAATGACCAAAAAGTCCAAGTCTTAAACTTTGAGTTTCGAGTCCTAAACAAGTCATAATGCGCTCTTCACCAAATTTAAAAACCATTTCCAAGTTAAATATAATAAATATATATAATAATATATAAAATAAAATAAAAATGTAGCCTATTGAATGAAGCATTAGCCTGTACAGAAAGACAGAAGAGGTGCAGTTTCACACAACAAATGTTCTATAATTTCATGAATTAAATTAAATGTTCATGTAGGGCTGCTAATTATTTTGGTCAATATTGAATTCACAATTATTTAACAGGATTACTCATTGCCTTAGGAAACATTAAACTATTGAACTTCTAAAATGTAATAACCTATTTTCTTTTTAAAAACTATTAGCCTATAGCCTATATGCATTACTCCAAAATCTAATGCAGCCCATGAAATAAGAAACAATAATCCAACATTATTAACTTAAGCAGCATCTAGTGTGCAAGAGGACGACAGCAGCACAGTTTCACCCAAGTTGACAGCTTTGGGTGACGGATGGGTCACTGAGGGGGCTCTGTGTGTGTGTGTGTGTGTGTGTGTGTGTGTGTGTGTGTGTGTGTGTGTACACGGAGGGGAGCAGAGCAGGTGACAGGTGAACTACTCGAGTTGACGAAGTCACGTTACAGAACGCTGAAATCAAACCATGGTGTTTTTTCGGGAGATGCAGTGACAGAAACCAGTGGTGAGAAAACTATAAGTCTCTATGACGTTAGAAGACGCAGACACAGTGGATATTTACAAGCACCGATCAGGTAAAACAACACTGAACACACCTTTTAGACAGGGACGAGCGGCTCAGCTGTAGCCTAACGGAAAGAGGTGCGCTGGATTTATAAAACAAAACGAGTGTCGTTGTGAAACAGCCCCCGACGCTATTATCATTTTATCTTAATTAACTTGTTTTTATAATTGGTGGAAGCAGCTTCACACAACAGCTGCAGCAGTTTCTCTACACTGTTTCGACCTGACCTTTCTTTTCTCCGTGAGCCAGAGGGTCCAATCACGAACGGCGTACAGGGCCAGGGATAGGAGCCACACGCTCCAGTCTAATTGAGCACCGCGTTATGTTGATGCGCTGCGAAAGTTTATATCATAATTTATATTTGGGCATGGGTGTCAAGACAGCTCAAGCTCAATATTGCTTTCCTTTTTCATGTAGTTCTGTTCTGTATATTTTGGCTCCATAGCACAGAGTAGATGCGTAGATCTATCTACCGTATCTATCTATCTATCTATCAGCTACATCTGGGGTCTCTAAACTGAATGATTTTTGGGCTGCAGTTAAATTAGTCAAATTAAATGCACTCAGCAAAACACTCAAAGTAAAACTGATTGACTGCACTTGCCATTTTTACTTCGACTTTGTTTTTGCCTGAATGTTTAGTGTTGAATTTTAAAATGGCATTAACTGTGTTTGCCCCATGAACCATGTACAAAGAGGCAGCTCCAAACCTGCTGTATTAAAACATACAGGCCTACTCTTAATGTAGCAGAAAGATTAAAGATTCTAGAAATGATTCTAGTTTAAATTTATGATCTATACAAGATAACAATTCGGCAAAGTATGACAAACCATGAATACCCATGTAAAGTGCAAAACAACCTCAATACAACACGAATCACTACTGTACACAATAAATGTAATTGGCAACACTGCGTGCAAATTTTGAAGTCTATTGGTTTCAAGCGTGAGCTTGATCATTAATTTACCAGTGGCAACAGATAATTAACTTACAAGCAACATTATCTGTTGTGGTATCCTCTGTACTTTAACCAGGAGTTGGAGTAGAGTCATCTCCAGCTGCTGTGTGAATGAATTATAATTTAGTCATGAAACATGCATAACATGCAAAGTAGCTAAACCAAGATAAATATACAGTACATGAAGACAAGACAGTGTACTATGATTTAGTGGAAAATTGTAAATTTAAGTGTAAATTAATGTAAATCCAGGGATAAAGACCTTATTTACTTATACAGCTTTAGCTTAGTATGTATTTGTTGAATTTGCTAATCTAACTATATGTAATTTGTTTGTCTTGTTGTTCACATGGACACACAATGTTGTGATGCATTGTGTACGTGTGTCATTAGTTGCCAGTTTTTGAATCAAACAAACGTGATGATCCTCACTTGCTGCTACAGACTACTTTCAGATGTGGTCAGGCATGTAAATCATGACGGATTTACACCTTCCATTTACATGCGGTTTTCCTTAATATGTCAGGATATAGATTGCATTTTAATTCCAGCTGTAAATGTAAATATGTAGTGTCTTAAAATAACATCAGAGACTATGCACAGGATATTGATCACCTCCAACTGATGAAGTGAAAGCGATCTGCATAGTCAGAGGATACATTTGTCTTTCATTGGCCAGAGTGCACATACAAAAGGGGAAGCATATAAGGCCTATTCTAAATAATAGGCCTTATATTTATAAAGTCATTAAACTTAATCATTAGTAAGTGTGAATATAAAAAAATATGGTTATTTAAGGCATAGGGTGGGTCATGCATTGTCCCCCAGTCCCTTAGGGAGGCTCAAGGAGAAGTATTTGTTGCTCCAGGAGCAAGATAATTACAAAAAGTCACACCCCAGTCACCTGAAATATAAGGAACAGTTACACGACAGCACCTGAGAAGTCAGAAATGCTACTAGAGGCAACGGTAAACAGAGCTGACTTTCGTTTGTTTAGAGGTGATAAAAAGCTTCCCTTCTAAACAGTGGTCGTAGCACAGCAGCTTCATGTCTTTATTTGTTAGGACTAATTAGCTAGGCTGAGCTGTAAACCGTCGGGGCCTTAAGCTAATAATGGTGACTAACAAGTTATAGCAGTTATAACCCGTGGCTATTTTGGCTTGAGCAGAACTAAACATGGAAAAGAGACGACCAAACACATTAATGTAGAGTCAGGTACAGAATTTAAATGACTGTTTTGCCAAACCTCCCAGCAAAAGGCATGTCAAATGTTATGATCTCTGGTTGGGGCGGACTGTCAAAGGACTCCTCAAAGAAGAGGTTTTGTTTGTGGTAGCGTGCCACCAGCAGGATGTCTGACCTGTATGAAAGAAAGTACAGTGAACAGTTCACACAAACTAGGGAATTGTGTTTGGGTGCACTTGCTGGACTACTTCTATTTTAAAGGCCTACACTTCACCTGGACATTGGTGTTGAATTGTCAGCGTCCATCAGAGGGAGAGGATGGGAAGGGGTTGGTCTTCAGGGGGCAGGGATGCAGGTCAGCCATGTTGGGTAGATGTTATTGCAACAGGCCATTCAGCTCAACCGCTGCAGAACACAACCAGGTCAGTAGGCTTTACCAACATCAAATGTAAAAGTATGATTGTGCACCTCCGTGTTGTTGTGTGTGCCCGGCTCCGTGCAGAGGTTCCAGCTCCCCCGCTGGGCGTCAGGAATGGTTTCTAGGTAGCCAGAGATGGATGAACAGCTGAAGTCTTAACCTTGAAGACCAACTTCTGGAAAGACCAGGATCTGGACACCCTGAGAGAAGGTGAAGGCAGAGTATAGAGATGGGACAGGAGACGAGCTTCTGTAGTCATGAACGTGACATTAAATGTACTTCCTTACATGTGCATACAGAGAAATACTACAACCACTCCTGATGACTGACTTTACTTGGGAACAGTGACTGCTTTGCAGTAATTTCTTAAACACAGGTTTATGGAATTACCTTTTTATTTAATATTATCCAGATTGTACTTTTTTTTAGTTATTCCACTGATCAAACCGAAATTATCCCTTTTATATAACCCTAACCCTACTGTTTTGTTCAAACAAACGGCTGACGTTAAGGTAAAACAAAGAAAAACACTGTTTCTTCCCCGAGGGGTACATTAATGGTGTAATTAAGAAGGACCACATGATAGCACTTGAGGCAGAGGTAAACAGAGATGACACTTTTCTTTTTGTTGAGCTCCCTTGCAAAACCCTGGCGAAACAGTGGTGTATGCATGTGGATCAACAGGGTGTTAGTGCAGCAGCTCCTTGTCTTTATTTGTCTTTTCAAATAGAGTACAGTCAGTCATAGGCCACAGTATAGCAGCAGCAGTAAACATGGCTTTACTGAGTAAAAGGCCCATAAAATTGATTTAATAGTTAAGTACAGACGCGTGTTATGATGTGAGATTTATCCCTCTTGTTATCTTAAAATTTACTAATATCCTTTATCCTGGGGTCAATTAAACCCCAGCAATTTTAAACATCCAGAAGATGATTATAATTAAAATTGTTACCAAAGTTTATTAATCTTGTACTTTCTGTTTTTTTTGTTGATGACCTAAATAGAGATTTAAATAATATATATAATCCCCTTCCCATCCTCCCTTAGGCCTATACATCCAGAGTACCTATTACACAAGTATGGAAAAGGCAGAGGAAGATCTTTTTGTTGTTTTAATGGTCATTATTTTTATAACCTACAGATTAATAACATTTGGAAAGGATAGGATAGTAACACGTGTTATATTATGAGCATTGTGTCAGGGTTTGTTCCACTGTCAGTGCCATGTATGCAAATATGTCAGATAGTAAAAGGAACAATCATCAAAATGAGTTGACAAAATATGAACGGCATATTCATTTTCCTACAACCCACCATAATAAATTTCCATTTTTGGAAGGCAACATGTCTGCTGGTGGTTGAGAAACAACAGGATGGTCAGCAGTAAGGGTCTCATTCTTCCCAGAGGAGGATGCTTCATAATCCGGGTCCTCAAAGAACTGAGACATAACCTCACTGACAGAATACCTTTGCTTAGAGGTGATCTTTAGTTGAGAGAGAGCACACAGAGCACCAAAAGAAATGGTTAAGAAGGCTGCTGCAAATGTTTGCTCCTCCCCTGTGTTGTGTGAGCTATCACTGTCCTCTCGGAAACCATATTTCCCCTCCCCAATGGCACAGGAAATGTCTAATTTCTAATGTAAACTAGAAGGTAGGTTTATTTGTCACATTACAACAGCTTTAAACGTGAAATTGATTTTTTAACTCCCTTCTGCTACGTAGCAGTAATACAAAAGCAATTATAAAATGGTAAACAGAAATAATATTATAATATATTCAGTGTAACAGTCCTGAGGATGAATTTGGGGTTGGGTTTTTTTTTTTTGGTGGTTCTCACACTCTTACAGGTATAGGTATAGGGCCTTAAAGAGTGAAGTTTTTTAAAGATAAAATTGCATGTTATAGTGACCTCAATATCATCAAAAACAACAAAAACAAATGTGTGTTAAATGTTATATTCGTAAACGGGTCAAGTTGACCCCAAAGAACTCAGATGCATACAAAATGTGTACAGGACGTTGAAAACATATTATCATGTTACTTTTATGTTTACCAGATTGTCCCCATTAAATTAGGAAAAGTCATTAAAGAAAAAAAAGATGTCGGTCATAAATATATTTAGAGACGTTAAACATTGAAAGGAGTCAGATTGACAGTCAAATTGAATTATATTTAAATGTTGGAAAATGCCTGTAATCTGCATCCTTGATAACATTTGGCTGTTGTGCCATTGATGATGATTGATTATTGATCAGTTGTTAATGCAAGTGATTGTATGATCAGATGTCGTCATCCATTCATTCATACTGTTTAGGCTATGTTGCTGTGCGGCAGGTTTGCATTTGCGTGGAGTCGTTGTGTGTCCGTCCCACAGGACTGTACACCTGTCTGTACACCATAGACTGTATATATAAAAAGGTGTACACCAGGGTGCTTTTTGGGGGCAGGGGGGTGGGGGAAACAAAATACTTAGTTATCTAGACTTATCCAGTCTGCTAATTCTGAGATAATGAAGTCGTTATTTCAGAAAAACAAAGCAGGGTTTTTTTCTCTCAAGTAAATGCAGTAAGCCCTTTAAAGGGCTCTGTATAAGATACCACAAAGAGGCTTTTTATTTTACAGGAGGTAGAAGCAACCTGGCAACTAGACGTAAACAAAACTTTTAATTTGAAAATATGTGACAGGAAACATAAGGCACATAACCCGGAACCATTTTATAAATGTGACCTTTTTGTTTTTTAATTTTAAGTCCAGCATGAGCTAGACCTGTGATAAAACTTAGAGATAACTTTGTACTTCTTGCGGACGAATAGTTGTAACCATAAAAGGATAACCTCTAAAAAGGGACTCTTGGTTGTCTGACGTCTGAATACGTTTTTAACCAGGACGTGTATTAGCATTAGCATTAGCACGTGTACCCTGTATTGCAATGTCAACAGCACCAGAAGCACCTACAGGAGGAGCAGATGCCCCAGTGTCAAAACCCAGCCAGATGTTTAAGAACTGCTGGAGCTGTCGGCTCATCTCTGGTGGGGGTTTGATCCTGTCTGGAGCTTATGTGTTCAGTGCAGCCCGGAGAGTGATGCGACAAGGTGGACCTACTTCTATGGGGACTGTTGCACAGATTACATTTGCCGCTAGTAAGTCATGCAATACTCTGGCTTTTTAGGCGTTACATCACTTGTTTTCGTCTTTTAAAATAATAAATGCACACCTGGGTTTATCTTTCAGGTTTGGCTGCATGGGGAATTGTTGTCATCGCTGACCCGGTTGGAAAAGCGCAGAGGAAGACGTGAAGGCTGTTTTTGAAATTCGTGTCAGCATGAAGAGACGTTTAAAATGGACTGCAAGGTGTTCTGCAGATATTCATAGACAATATGACACAAAGCCGAAGGAGCTGCTCTTGAATCTGTAGAAAAGTTATTTTGTGTTTGCGCTGTAGAGTAACACAGGCATCCATTGCTATTATGTGGATGGACCAAGCGTAATGCAAAATTGAAAGCAATATTGGTTTAATTAAAAAATAAAGATCATGAAATTAAAAGGCTTTAAAAGTTACGCATAAAAACATTTGTCATTTTAATGCAAAACCACTTCATTAATATATATATATATATATATATTAGGGAGTATTTGACAATAGAAGAATTATTTGAGTGAAATTTAATTGAATGCATTCTGAGCATAACTGCATTAAATAAAGGATAGCCTAGTAGTGTCAGTTAAGACATTTGCCCACAGCCATCCTGACTAAGAGAATTAAGTAGTCCTCCTGACCACCACATAAGCTTTACAAATATAATAATACAACATTTTCAGTGTTATTTTCCACAGTTTTACAGTTTTTTACAGTTTTATGCAGTGTGGCATTTATTAAATAGCATGGTGTGGGCCCCCAATTCATTAGAATACTTGAGGATCTATCCACAGAAATGCAATATAAGATCCATAACTGTGTTTTCAGTGGTGTATAAAGACCTTACATAATGAACCGTTTTGTTTTTATTACCTTAGAATGAGCCATTTACATCTACAAAACCGCAGCACCCCCTCCGGCAAATAAGTTTTGCATTGGAGCAATTTATTCGAATATAAGAGGTAATATTAGCCTTTATTCACATGGTGTTTAGTTAGTAAAGCGCAGGACTTGCACTTCAACGGTTGTGTGTTTGATCTTGCTGTGGGACAATTTTTTTTTTCCCTCTTCAACAAATGGATTATGCAGCGTTTCTCATGCTCACATTACAGGAAGTGCTGCAGTGTGTGTATTTCAGTGTTTGATCCACATCCATCAACATTTTTTCATTTCACCAGTATGTCCAGGCATAGTACATTTAGGGGAATCCCATTTTCTGATGGCTCTTCCAGATGTGTCAAGCAGCCTACAGTATCTTTAACGTCGTACAAGCTCAGTTCAACTACAAATAAAGCACGACAGTAAACAAGATTCTCGCACTTTTATTTTTTAGGCAAAACCAGTAAAGAGGAAGTGAATAGCACCTCTATTAAAGCATTTATTTATATTCTTGCCACCATCAAAGCACCATCATCTGGCAGCGGGCCAGATATTATTGTTGGCAGGCAGTTTTGGTCCATAATCAGAGAGAATTAATGTGTTTCCCTTGTCAATGTTTGTATAAACTTTATTTAATGTGTGGTTTATAATGGACTGGGGTGCAGAAACAGTGACAGTGTTTCACATTCTTGGCTTACATTTTCCATGTTATCGGTCAGTGGCCAAGTCACAATAACATATGGTTTTACTGAATAATTAAGTACATAATTTCTTTATCTATCTAAAGAAACGTCATTTCTTAACTGGCTACTCTCTGTCTCAGAAGACGACACCTTTTGTGGTAGACTGGACAGTTGGTTGGTATTCGCAACCTCGCCCCTAGATGCCACAAAATGTTACACACTGAACCTTTAAACTAATTTCTCAGTTTTTACTCTGGGCTGCAAACTGACTTTGGCTGGCACTGCTTTTACTTCAGACAGAGAGCCGTCATTAGCAGAAAAGGAACTGCTATGAATGTAAGCACTCAAATTAAAGCCAGCTGTCTTCTGACTTCAGTCTTAGTTACAGATTTAATTTTATATCTAATGTGCTGGACCACAGACCCAACACTGTCCACATACTTACAGACTGCACTGTAGACAGCCAGGAGCAAGGCTATTATCTTATGTCAGTTAGGGGTCTGTCTAATTTTTTTTTTTTTTTAAACTGGGAAACTTCAGCTGCATCAGTAGTGTTTTCATTAATAGAGCACCTACGTAGCACCCATTCACAGAACCTACAAATCACAAATGCAGCAAGCAAACCTACTGAAGACAGCATACACACTGTGGGTCAGTTAGTCTGAGTTACCTTTTTATTAGTGTTATACTGATCTGAGCACAATTGCTCACAAGGAAGAGTTTGATAAGCATGATGCAAAAAAACACCCTAAAGTCATTTTCTGTCGTGTAAAACGATCATGACATTCTGATTGATTTTTTTTAGGTTAAAGAAAAATATGAAAATAGAGTTGACAGTACATTTAGGCACACTATTAACACATACTGTACACATATATGGACAATTTTCATTATCATAGATTATCATAAATACTGGGGTTAAAAAAAAAAAAATACAAGCCTTCCTGTATGGAGAGGTGTGCAGAAGGTTGAAGGTGGCACCTCCTCCATGGGGACAAAATATTCACCTCTTAGTATGAGGCTCCAGTTCATGTCCTCCTACTCAGCCAATCAGAGTCCACCAGGGCTGCTCAGGCCAAGTGAATCAAAGCGGACGAGGAAGTTACGTCCAATGACTGCAGCAGAATGTGGCTCCGTCCAGCCAATGAGAGAGGCCCTCCCACAGTAGCTACGGTAAGTGCTCATTAGCAGTGATTCCATTGGTCATACGGCATGGCTCTCCTGTGAGCCTATTGGACAGGTGGACAAGGGGCAACAACGATCTAAACAATAGAACAGGCTTGAATGCATAAAACGCCACTCATGAGTTAAAAAGAAGCAGTTGTTTGAGGCCGCTTCTGACCTAGCTATAGCGCATTGGGCTGCGACAAGGAAAACCCCCTACCACTGCCCAACTGATACCCAAAACACAGAGTCTGTACTGAGTGGGCGAGGGATAAGTGAAAAATATCCCCCACACACCAAAAACAAAACAAAAAACCCCTCAGACTTATAAAACAAGTCTGTTAAAATAAACAACGTACTTTTACAACAACGGAATGTTAAGTTGTTGGGAAAAGACGACATTTCTGGGGAAACCTCTCATGTTTTCAACTATTAAAACAATATGAATTACTCTTTTCAGTTAACAATGATTCAAAATGCACATGCATTAAAGAAAAAAAATATATTGCACACAATTAAAGACATGTTCTCTGAATAAAAGTGATTAGGGATATATCTCCATATCTCTATCTTGATTCCTTGTAACGTTCAGTCTTGTGAAGGAGAGCTACTAGCGTGCGTCTCTTGGTCAGTATATACTGTATATAGTGTTAAGGCTGGTTCACTAACTCGCACTGGCACAGTTTCTGACTGAAGAGGGTTGCGTCTTCATGCTAAACACACAAACACACACACACACACACACACACACTTCTACACGAGCCGAATACAGAATAGACCAGAGTACATTCTTTGATGATGCGCTCTGACAGCCAGTGTCTCCTAGAGCTGAGCCTCCCAGTGTGTCCTCCCAGTCTCACCTTTCAGGTTGTTGAAAGGTCAACTTTGCATTCTCTTTGCTCACACGTCAACGATATGAAGCACAGTAATGTTCAGAGTATCCCAACATCAAACCAGTGCACACACACGTAACAGTATGAGCTTTGGTCGTCACTGGTTTTGACAGTAGCATTAAAGGGGATGGGAACACTTCAGATAGAAAAAAGCCTCAAAATGTCTCAAGAGAAGCATAGAGGCTAGAAAAAATGTGGACAATAAAAATAAAAATCATCCTTTCGGCCCATGTTTGTTCAATCACATTTTAAAAACAGCGCCTTTGTAACCCAGTGCTATTGATGTATTTGGTTGCTATGAAAACAAAATTTGTATGTTAGCAAGTGTGCAGCTTTTGCAGATAAAATGTCTACAGCGTGAGGGTAAGTTTGACTACAGCTGGTCACTGAGATGGTAGACTGTGCCGGCCAAAAGACAGAAGCGGAAGGTAAGGCAAGGTGTGGGTCTACGCTATCTACGCCTGCAGTTTAAAAATCAATACAGCATTTGTGGTCTGCTCTCTGGACCGCAGGAAAGCAGCATCAACTGGCCCAGGATAAAGCTAAACACACCGTGAAAGTCCAAAAAAGGAGGAGGAAACAATACATACTAAAAGAAAAAGACTGCAATGTTCAGTCTTGGTGCAAATTACAGGATTTATGTTTGCGCATGTGTGTGTGTCTCAGAGTGAGAGGAGGGCAGAGTGTGTCTTCATCCTTCAGTTCTGTCATGACAGAAATAATCAGCTGGATAATTGGAGTGTTTTCACTAAAAAGAGTGTGTGAGGAAAGTGGAAGGGCAGAAATCACACACACCCACCCCTCACCGTTCACATTAAGCCCCCCCACTCTCACTCTCAAGTCTGTGTGTGTCTAGTCGGCCCATGTCCCGTTCCATCTGTCCTCTCTTGTCACCTCTTGAGGGATGACGATTTGACTTTCTGGCCATATCTGTGGATGCGTGGCGAGCGGGAGTGCAGCTTGACAAAGAGCTCAGGGAATTTGTACTGGGGGAACATCGTCTCCAAGAAGCCCTCCAGGAAAACGTAGACCAGCCGGCGGTTCATGGGTTGGTACTGAAACATGTCGAAGACGCGGAGAATGCCCTTTCTTGTGGTGTCCGCTCCAATGATGTGCTTCAGCTCATCTGAGGTAGGGAGAGAAAGAGTCAGGAGTGTGTGCAAAATGAAAAAGAGGAGCGTTTTCCATGTGGGTTCATTTTTGCCCCGAGCTCACACCAGTGCAGGACTTGAGCTGACCAGAGGAGCACTTAGATCACTTAAATGCACCTTTGGTGTGGCATTAGTGCAAGAATGAAGCACCGAACTTGGGGAAAATGAACATACCACCTGAACCTTTTACAAAATGAAATGTTCAAAAGGACAGATGAAATGATTATACTGCCTTACAGATGTAACATGACATGTTTTCTGTGTGTCCTCTTCCTATCAGGCTCAGATACACCCCTGTAGATAGATGCCTGTTAACACAGAAGCTGAACTCATCTGTGTGAGGGGACACTCAATACTCAGCCACCTAGGACCATTGAAGAGTTTAGGGTAGTGGCTGTGTGCTGCTCAGTCTTTTGTTTGATTTTTAGCTTTGTTTCAGTATTTGTGGTTTTACTTACTCAACACTATATTACTGTCTGCTTCACTGAGTAACTGTTTTTGGCCCATACTGCCCCCTGATGCCACAGGGTGAAAACACGCTGTGCAACTGAACAACAGTTGCAGTGGGTGCTTCCCCACCATCTGGCACACGGGGGAACAATAAATGCCCATTCAACAATAAAAAATAAACCTGGACAAGCCACACAAAGTAGGGCTTCTTGATTATGACAAAAATCATTGTCATAATCAAGTGATTATTTTGCTCAATACTGAGATCACAATTATTTAATTCCATTACTCACTGACATAGGACATTTATTAACTTTAAAAATGTAATGCTTCATTCATATATACATATCTATATCTTTCTATCTTTTTTTATTAACTTTAACAGCATCTTAGAGCACAGGAGAATGACAGCAACACAGTTTTTCCCCTAGGTTGACTGCTTTGGGGTAGTGATAAGCTAACTGATTAATAACACCTGCACTCACAAGGCCGATATATCATCCTAATTGACATCAGATCTAATCTAAAACCATTACTGGCTGGCTTCAAATATATATATTGTTCTACTGCAGAGAATAATACAGTTGAATGACATCACTTCTGACAAACTGTACTCCACTCTCCCTTAGACACCAATCACGTTCTGAAATCTACAGCATAACCCAATGTATTTTATTAATTCATAAAAACTACATGTTACTGGCCAAGATAACCATACATATTAGAGTGTGCTGTGCATGGAATAATAGAATTATACATGACTTTTCTTTGTTTTGATATCAGCCACCCTGCTCTCAAAATATTGGAATCAGCCAAAATTGGTCAACCACTACTTTGGCGGGCGGATAGGCCGGTAAGGGGGTGGGGGTGTGTGTGTGTGTGTGTGTGTGTGTGTGTGTGTGTGTGTGTGTGTGAGTGTGTGTGTGTGTGTGAGTGTGTGTGTGAGTGAGTGAGTGAGTGAGAGAGAGAGGAGACAGGTGAACTCATGAGTTGACGACTACTCGTTACATTATACAACGCTGTTCAATTCAACTGTGGTGTTACTTAAAACACTTGGAAACCTCCAGCTATTTGACCCCATTTCTAGGAATAGCGCCTAAAATAACATACCCAAATTCATTAATAACTCCTCAACCATTAGGCCTAGATGCATAATTCTCCTTTGATAGGGGCTTTTTCCAAAGCAGCACTTCTCTCCTTCATTTTGACGAGAGAAAGGAAACCTAAGAGCTCAGGTATTGTGCAATACCAAGATGGCGGCCTGGGGCGATTTTTGTACACACAGAAAACAGCTGCTTTTGGACTGAAAACAGCGAAAATGGAAAAAGTAAGTCAGCAGTTATAACTGTATATGTATATTGGTGTGTTTGTTATTATATTCATCATCATCCGGCTAATAACTCTGAATTTTGTGATTGAAACTGAAACTGAATTTTGTGATTTGAGTGATACGAGTTATCAGTGCTGGAGCTGAGCTTTCTTTAGAGTGGTCGGACTGCGGTGTAGGATGAGATGAGAGATATCTGGACGCTTATAACTGCAGCCATGTACAGTGATTACAGAGCGATTTATATTGTATTGTAAGTTCATTTAGATAATTGGTGTTTGATGTGGCTATAAATGGTCGGTTTGGGATACTAGCCGAGCCTCCTAGCTTCACAGAGGTGTGTAGCACGCATAGGGGGACAAAATATTAGGATTGTCCACGGATTTCCTTTTGCATTTTGTGCGAAAATCGCGTGCTGCCCCCGGTACCGGGGGTGTCGGTGCTCAGCTGGCTGAGTAAGAAAAGTATAAATAATATGTAATATATTAAGCTATGAGAAGAGGAAAAGTCAGATAGCCGTTGATTTATGAAGTATAAAATGCCATTGTTAGCTAATAATGATGACTGACAAGTTATAGCAGTTACAACCTCTGGTCATCTTGGCTTGAGCTGAACTAAACATGCCACAGCCTGGCTGAGAGTGAATTTGGGCTTTTAGGGAGGGGCGAGAGCCACTGCTGTAAAGGAAAGTGGTGAGCTGGATTTATAACACAAGACAAAACGAGAGCATCACTGTGAAAGGGAATGCAGCACAATAAATGTTTTCTCTCAGTTTTATTGTTTCATAATTATTGGAAGAGAAATCATAATTGAAAATAAAATTTGATTAATTTCACATCCCTCACAAAAGGAGAGACTTATGCGTCTTAAGTGTTTTCCAACGGTATTTTTCAGTTGTACAGGGCCTCAAGGATGAGGAGTAAGTGGATGCAGCAGTCCCAAACGAGGGCTGGGTACCAACTAGATAATGTGGGTCTGTGTTTTCACCTGGCATGATGCCCAGCAGGCTGGTCTTGGCAGCTACTCGTGTCCTCATGCGGATACTCTTGTCCCTACGAGGGGGCGTCTCAGCCAGAATACCGTTGGGCCAGTAGGAATCCCTACACGGAGACAGAGCCACTGAGGGTTATTCATGACTCTGACAATCAAGAGGCATTTGAAAGAAAAGGGGAAGGGTTACCTGAACTTCTTGACATAGTCTGCAACCTGCTCTGGCGAGGTCAAGTAGTCCACATGATCCACAATTTTCCTACAGAGACAAAGGACAGATGAGTCAGGTTGTGCTCTGTGTGAAGTTATTTACTGCTTTGTTTTGTCACAAGACTTCTGAGTGAGAGATTTTCTAGAGCTCAGAACATGGGTGTACTTCAGTTTAAGTATGCACACTTTTGCAGTTTGTTTGCAGTTCCAGTGGAACTGGTTTTGCAGTAAAGACAGTGACTTCATAGGTCATTACATATTTATATGAAATTCTGTATTTTGGTTAAATGTTCAAATACCCAGCCATCTCTTTTCATGTCACCAAAACAGCTCAACTCTATGGTTTGGTTGTGTTTATAGACAAGTTTCTAGTAGGTGCAGAAACCTATTTAGTAACTTATAACTAGGTTATAAACATCAATTAAATATAATATTAAGTAGTGCCTATTTTTGCCAGTCTGACCTGTTGATGGTGTCTCCATATGTGGCCCTGATGAGCTGCTGCAGCAGGTTCTTGATGTTCCTGCGAAGCCACTGGTTTTTCTCCTTGAGGTCAAACACCTCGTCCATCAGCAGCAGCATTACCCTCAGCGGGATGTTATCATCCACCTAGTCACGCAAATAAAACCGTATTGGCCATTTTACCAGAATAAATTATTTATAAAAGAAATAAAACAAACACCAAGAACACATCATGCCCACTGACTCACATTGTCATCAAGCTGAGCAGAGACTCGACAGTGTTCAGGGTCGATGTCAGTCTTGGGGAGGAGTGGAGGCACCTGGGAAAAAAAAGAAGACGACACTAGATAGTCAGAAGCTGGATGAAGTAACTTGTCAGAAGGAGGATGATTGTGGGCTAATTACAGTTAATTACAGGCTAGTGGGACATGATTTGTGAGGACTGGTGCTTTGAAAGGAGTCCACTCATTATAACCACAGCCCCGCCAGTAGGTTCTACGCTAACACACCATGATAGTATCACACAGAAAAAGACACATTACACTAATTAAAAAGTTAAACTAGAACAAAAACAGTTGCTTTGCTTTCCTTTTTTAGTATGTAACGAACTATGTGATGGTGTTACCTTGAGTATGGATTGTTTAATGTCCTGGCCCAGTCTTTCTGACATGCGGCCCATGTTATCAGAGACCTTGGTCATGCCCTCAGCCAGACTGTCTGGCAGGGCCTTCACTGCGTTGGACACATTTCTCATGGAGCTCTTCAGAGGATTTACAAATGTGTCTATCTGATGGGTGGATAAAACAAAAGCAAAAAATGTATTTTATAACCAGTTACAAATTAGTAATCTGTACAGTGAGTCATTTTATTGTGATTAAGAGTATGCATTCATATGTTTGACCCACTAAAATCCTTACTATATCAATTATATATTTGCAGTTATTTGGTAGCAAATAAATGACACTGAAACACTTATTGACCTTGCGTGCAAACTCTCCCTTGCCCTTGCTGTAAGCCTTGTTCTCTAGGAAGTCATAAACATAAGGAATCAGAGTTGGACAGGCCTTCACCATCTCTGGATTCAGCAGCAACTGGAACGCACATACAAAAGTCATTAACATACACTCCACAAAATGATGCAAGGCAACAAAGGCATTCAAAATGTATTTGACTAGTCAACAATACCATACAAGACTGTTACCTGTAGGTAAGCATTGAGGTCTTTTTTTCTCTTCTCCAAGAAATCTCTGTCCATGTTGTTGAAGGTCTTTTTCCCTGGCAGCTTGAGGATCGACGCCAGGTTCTCAAACTAAACAGAATGAACCATTTATCACACTCAGGAGGAGACAACCGAGTTCATGAGTTTTTGCTCCATGTTTTAACAATAATGTTAACTTTCTTCTGGGATAGAAATGTTGCTGACTTCAGAGCAACTGATTCACAAATACCATAATTTACACACACACACACACACCTGTTCTGTGATCCTCATATGGAAGTCGTGGAAGTCAGAGTAGCGGCGATAGGTCTTCCAGCAGTCCTCACTGCCGTCCTGGGTGCGTCTGAACACAGTGATGGCGTACAGCGCATAGGTTTTACCGTGGTCGTTGCAAACCCCTGCGGCACCCCAGAAGCCGGGGAGACAAGCGTCAGCTACCACGCCCGGTAATACATCCAAAATGGGAATGGAGGGGCGGATGAAAGCAGAAATGAAAGAAGGGGAAAGAAAAGTATGCGCAGGTTCAAAGTGTGTGTGTGTGTGTGTGTGTGTGTGTGTGTGTGTGTGTGTAGGGAGCAAGCAAAAGAGCACAGAGCAGAGGGTGTAGAAATGTGATAAAACAGGAAAATATGACAGAATGACAGGAAAGGGAAGGAGGGAAGAAAAAGGAAGAACAGAAAAACAATGAAGGTGAAGGAATGAAAGAAATAAAGAATACTGGAACAGTATGAAGTGACAGCAGAAATAATGAATGGAGCTAGGAGGTGAAACGTTGAAAGAAAAAACATGCAGGGAGGGCCAAATAGGGGCTAACAGATATCCAATATACTCAAACAATTCACACACTCAACATAACCATTTCCAACACCCAAATTCCACATCAAGTGAAGTGAGTCAAATTACATGTTTTTTTAACCTGACATGCATACACAAGTTGCCAGAATCTAGCATAAACCCATAACCATTATATTCACAACGCTTCATTAAAGAATGACAGATAAAAATATAACATTGAGCAAAAAGCACCATTGTGATATTAAAGAAAACACACAGCCTCACTCTTTATAGACTTGATGGCAATAATGCTCACAAAAGGACTCTGTGTGTGTGTGTGTGTACCTGTGTCGGAGATGAAGGCATGTAGGTGCATAGATTCATCATGGCAGGAGTTGGCCCAGTCATCCAAAGACTGAAAATGACAAGGAGTCATCATTTAAGTACACAGTTTGCCAACAGTAACACAGTGTAGTGCTGCTTACAATGTATATGATGGGCGACAAAAACAATACCAGGCATGTATCTACGTCAGCATTTTTTCTGAGCCCTGCAACAGGAAGTGAAGAAGACTTACTAGGTTTATGCTTCCTGTGGGAGAGCCGTTGAAGGATTCTCCATCGCCATCATCAGATCCCCGGTAGCTGGGCTCTTTCAACATGTCCAGCTCTGCTAGCATGCGGACGTAGAGAGGACTCTGCTTGAAGGAGGGGTAGAAGCGCTCATCACGTAGCATCATGTCATATACCTGGAGTAAAATTAGAAGAAAAGACTTCTGCAAACAGAGATACCAAAATCTATGCAAATAAGTGAAATGAAATGTTGTCATGGTTCATGTAATTCCCTCAAATACAGATAAAACTTTTTTGTACATTTCTCTGGATTTCATCAAATATCTCTGGCGTGGGGTCATCTTTCTGTAGCTTCTCCCCTAGCTTTGTTATAGACGCCTCGTCCACCTGCACCCTGGGAGACGCCTGATGTGGAAGAAAAAAAGAGCAGATTTACATCATTAGATGTTTTCATAAAATATTAACCCACACAGGCTGAAGAAAGCAAAGCTTTAAAGCAAGTGTATTTGTATGTAATTTACAAAATTGTGACAGTTAATAAGTATAATATGATCTTCTGAAGGACCAAAACATTTTTATTTAGTTTTAATGTCCTTCATGGCTGAAATGGCTTTTGGCTTAAAAACACCTGTGTGATTGTAACGCCTCCTACCTTGTCAGAGAGGTACTGTTCGTAGACACCCAGTGCAGCAGCTTTCAGCAGCCCCTTGGTGGCGCTGGGCTGCTTCTTGCCATCTTTCTGCCAGCCCTGCATGGCCTCCAGCTGCTGCTGTGCCGTCACCCTGTAGCCCTCCACAGTGAGCCAGAAGAACAGCTCTGCCTGGGCCCCCGCTGCCTGCATGAAGTCTGGATCAACAGACACACAAGAGTTGGTCCAAATGGTGTCTGTCTTCTATGACACTTTGGTTACACATACATACACATAGTGAGTGGACCAGTGGCTTACAAATTTAGCACTTTGGCTGCTTGCGGTGTCTAGTGATCTTGTAAGTAAAGATCCATCTACTGTTAGACACTTAATTAACTCCTTTAGACAAGATAAAAATAAGTTACAAGGTTATGATACCATGGCCTTGCTCCTTCCAGTTTGTTTTTTGTTTTTTTAACAACTTAACTGATCTAAACATACTGTATGTCTTTTTAAAAATGTGTTTTTAACTTAAACATTCATTCTCCATAAGTGCTACAATGACAGAGCCAGGAACAACGTTTAGGGATGTTACTCATTTTCCACACCAGATCTGACGGAACTTGGTTTGCACACACACGCACAAACACTCTTTGGTAATCTGATCTGTAAAGTGGAGTGACCTTTTATAAGCTCTGACGAGGTCATGTGGGACTGAAAAGGAGTTTGAGAGATGGAATAACTTATGGATTATAAAGATGATTAACAGAAATGTTATAGGAGTAAGGCTGTGAGGGGACTACAGTGATGTTTGGCATCCGTGGTATGTGATGATGCATTTCCAGAATTACCCATGAAGAACTGCAGGGCTATGTTGTGGACGAGGATGTGTTCCAGTGGGATAACACACAGCTTGCCAAAATTGGCTGCCAGCTTCAAGGCATCCACCTCCTACACGGCAAAGGAAAAAACATAGGCAAAGTCTGGTACACAGAGCAGAAACGATAAAACTGAATTCTTAATCTGGCTGACACCAAAAGATAAAACTCAACTAACAAACTGACTTTGAGCAACTGCAGTTGGTACTTGCAGAAAATGTTTTACCATCAAACTAACAAATAGTATTGTATGTTTTTACTGGATGGTCCAGTGGCAGCACTACAAGGCTGTGCTGTTACTCACTTTGCCAGACTGTAGTCTCTGGATCCTGGTCTCACACACCTTCTTCACAAACAGAAGACTGTTAATCTGGTTCTTGATCACATTGATGTCTAAAGGACAGAGAGACAAACACATAAAAGGGAGGAGAGGAAAGTGGTGCATTTAGTTAGCCAAACATTACGTATGTGCTTGTGCTCAAATGACAAATTATCAAGGAGTAGAGTCAATGAGGAAAAAGTGAGTGCCCACCGTCTCCAGCGGTGTCCAGGGAGCGGAGGTACTGCAGCTCCTCCAGCACCTTGTCCTTGACAGCCTCCAGCTCTGGAGGCTTGTCTGTCAGCTTCAGGATGTTCATGAAGGCTTCATAGTTACAGCTGGTGTCCCGTATCTATGCAAAATCATATACATTTATACATTAACATACATACATCCATCCCAGGTCCCAAAAGCTCTTTCTGTCCCAATTTTATGTTCCTGGAAAACTTTATATTATATACACAAGTAGCAGCTTATAAGTAGGGGGTATGGGTGAGTGTGAGTGTCAGCTCTCACCATCCAGATGACAAACTGGTTGATGTAGTCTGGGTCACTCAGCTGGTTGATCAGAGGAAGTAGCACACCACGCGCCAGCACCTCCTAAAAAAACCCACGCCACTGCATTTCAAGGCACACTCAACAATTTACACTACAAACATGCCATCACATGGTCTGGTACAGCAGTGCAGCCTATTCCGGTTGTTGGGAAGTAATATTAGCAGCATTTGGCTGGTGGCTTAACAATGACAAATTAACAGGTTATATATGACATACAGTGGGGAGAACAAGTATTTGATACACTGCGGATTTTGCAGGTTTTCCTACTGACAAAGCATGAAGAGGTCTGTAATTTTTATCATAGGTACACTTCAACTGTGAGAGACGGAATCTAAAACAAAAATCCAAAAAAATCACATTGTATGATTTTTAAATAATTAATTTGCATTTTATTGCATGACATAAGTACTTGATACATCAGAAAAGCAGAACTTAATATTTGGTACAGAAACCTTTGTTTGCAATTACAGAGATCATACATTTCCTGTAGTTCTTGACCAGGGATTTTGGTCCATTCCTCCTCCTACCTTCTCCAGATCCTTCAGGTTTCGAGGTTGTCGCTGGGCAATACGGACTTTCAGCTCCCTCCAAAGTTTTTCTATTGGGTTCAGGTCTGGAGACTGGCTAGGCCACTCCAGGATCTTGAGATGCTTCTTACAGAGACACTCCTTAATTGCCCTGGCTGTGTGTTTCGGGTCGTTGTCATGCTGGAAGACCCAGCCACGACCCATCTTCAATGCTCTTACTGAGGGAAGGAGGTTGTTGGCCAAGATCTCGCAATACATGGCCCCATCCATCCTCCCCTCAATACGGTGCAGTCGTCCTGTCCCCTTTGCAGAAAAGCATCCCCAAAGAATGATGTTTCCACCTCCATGCTTCACAGTTGGGATGGTGTTCTTGGGGTTGTACTCATCCTTATTCTTCCTCCAAACACAGCAAGTGGAGTTTAGACCATAAATCTCTATTTTTGTCTCATCAGACCACATGACCTTCTCCCATTCCTCCTCTGGATCATCCAGATGGTCAATGGCAAACTTCAGACGGGCCTGGACATGCGCTGGCTTAAGCAGGGGGACCTTGCGTGCGCTGCAGGATTTTAATCCATGACGGTGTAGTGTGTTACTAATGGTTTTCTTTGAGACTGTGGTCCCAGCTCTCTTGAGGTCGTTGACCAGGTCCTGCCGTGTAGTTCTGGGCTGATCCCTCACCTTCCTCATGATCACATATGTCCCACGAGGTGAGATCTTGCATGGAGCCCCAGACCGAGGGAGACTGACCGTCATCTTGAACGTCTTCCATTTTCTAATAATTGCGCCAACAGTTGTTGCCTTCTCACCAAGCTGCTTGCCTACTGTCCTGCAGCCCATCCGAGCCTTGTGCAGTTCTACAATTTTATCCATGATGTCCTTACACAGCTCTATGGTCTTGGCCATTGTGGAGAGGTTGGATTCTGTTTGAGTGTGTGGATAGGTGTCTTTTATACAGGTGACGAGTTCAAACAGGTGCAGTTAATACAGGTAATGAGTGGAGAACAGGAGGGCTTCTTAAAGAAGAACTAACAGGTCTGTGAGAGCCGGAATTCTTACTGGCTGGTAGGTGATCAAATACTTATGTCATACAATAAAATGCAAATTAATTATTTAAAAATCATACAATGTGATTGTCTGGATTTTTGTTTTAGATTCTGTCTCACAGTTGAAGTGTACCTATGATAAAAATTACAGACCTCTACATGCTTTGTCAGTAGGAAAACCTGCAAAATCCGCAGTGTATCAAATACTTGTTCTCCCCACTGTATTGTGTGACCGAATGTGATTTTACACCATACATTCGCATCTCAGGCCGATGATGTCGTGTGTTGTGATAGTTTGACAGACAGTGAGTGAGAGCGAGCTTTTGTGTTTGTTTATCTTAGATGCACTCACCCTTAAGAAGTATCTCATGTTCTTGTTGTGGAAATCTCCAGGAGGTAGTAACAGATACAGGAGCAACTCACACAAGTCGCGAAGAAAACCTGAGACACACACACACACACACAGCGTATGTTTAGTTTTTAATAGCCACAGCCCTAAACGGCAAGACATTTGTGGGTGAGTTCTTCATGACAGTGTGAAGTGTAAGTGTAGCCACATTGCAGAAGTGTGTTTACCTTCTTCATCCTTGTGTGAAGTGCACACCACGTCTCGACAAATCTTCCTTTCCATTTCCACCTCGGCCTCAAAGAAGGACTCCACCAGCTCCTCCGTTATGTCCCCTGTTCAGACATCACTCTTCTTTATTGTCATCACCACCACCCCAAAATCTCATCATCTAACTTTATCAAACACTTTACGGAATAATTTTTTTGCGGCACAATTGTAATCAAATCTTATTGTGTAGTCCATCATAGGATCACCAAACTCTGATTAAAGCTCAGAACTACATAATCACAATCATCGTTAAAGACAGGCTGAATCAACTCAGGAGACATGACAAACATACTAATGACTACTGCTAGTGAGAGCGCAGGTGTGCATGAAATGTGTTTGCTTACTTTGCTTGTCTTCTCTGTCAGTGAGGCGATCCTGGGCTTTTCTAAAGACACGTAAATGGGTGGCAAAGTCGTCCACCAGGCGAGTAGTAAAGTAAGGCTGCCAGTCCACCTCTTTGGACCTTGGCGCACACACACACACACACACACACACACACACACTAAGGTAAAAAAAATTGAAAAATCAAAGTAAACAAAAATACACACGTATGTGCGACTATGTGTCTTGTACTTTGTAGAGAACTGGACGAGGGCGTTCTGCAGCGTCTGTCTGATCTCCAATAAGAAGGACTCATCCTCGCTCAGAGTGTAGTACCAGTACTGGATATAGTCTCTCAGAGCAAACTGGATCACCTACAGGGACAGAGAAATATGGAGGAGTAGGAGGGGAGAGGAGGAAAGGAGAAAATAGAAACAATATTCTGTTACTGGACTGAGGAGGAGACGGAAAGTAAACAGATGGCTGTGCAAGAGTAAATACAATTCAATCTGTACTAGACGCTGACAATCAACAAACATCTAGCCTGGCATCACCAAATTTCCAAAGGTGCCAAAATGCCTCTCAACCAATCAGAGCAATGAAACGCATGTGACGCAGAGCTGAGAGAAACATGCAAGTTAGTGCGGCGCTTGGTCTTTTTTCAGGCAGGAAAACAAATTGCTGTCTGCTCACAGACCTTCTCAAATTACAGCTAAATAGTGCACTAAAATGTGTAAAAACATTTGAGGCAGGAAATGGCAATTCAGTAACAGAATCTTGATTCATATTTGATCAGCACTGCCCAGTCTGATCTGAGCCTTGAGACCCTGGTGCATTGCGCTGCATGGACCTACAACCAATCAGATCAGCGAAGCGTGCGACATGTGACTTTTTAAAATCTGGATCGGTGACTCTCCTCTGTCAGTCGTTGTATCAAACCTGCCCCATATTAGATAAACGTTTGTGACTGGCCCGACCGGATCCACTATGTGTAGAACTTTGGGGTGGTGATGGGGCAGTGGATAAAACACATGCCTTTGGTGTGAGAGATCTGGGTTCAATTCCCAACTGTGACACCCACCAAAGTGTTCCTGAGCAACACACTTAACCCCTAGTTGATCCAGAGGCGTGTGACCTCTGATACATAGCAATTGTAAGTCGCTTTGGATAAAAGTGTCAGCTAAATGAGTAATTGTAATGTAATGTAACTCTGTCTCAATGGCCAGACGTATCTGCCTGAGCAAATGAAACATGAGCTCGGCAGATTCATCTGGCTCCCAGGCTAACAAACATCCAGAGAACAAATTACTGGGCTTTGAGTCCTATGAAACCTGGGTAAATCAATCACTTAATTGTTCTCCATTGCATACAGTAGGGATGATGAAATCAAGCCAACACATGAATCAATGGAACTGTTAGTAAATGCTGTATGAGAAAGAGAATGTGCCAGAAAAATAGTTTTTCAGAGAGCATCATGCAGGTTTACATGATGTCATGTTCAGCGGTGCACGACCTCAAGGGTCACATGCTGCTGAAATGATTAGTGTGCATTCCCAGGGAAGAAGGGAGAACAGAAGCACCACAGTAGAGCAAATTCAGTGTCATCTGACCATCACAAACTGCTGTGTCTGTACTTAACTCTGCCGGCCACGCTGCTTTAATGAGGACAACATGCTGAAAGCTTGTACCCGTTTATTACATGTCAGTTTTCCTTGTACTTATGCTCAGTGTAACAAGTGTTTTAGTTACCTTAGAATAAGCACTTTATATCTACAGGGTGCTCTTCCACAGAGTTTGCCAAGTTGCACTGTCACGTTTCTACAGTAGCTCATAATGGACAAACTAAATACTGGCTCTGGAGAGGGCCTGGAATGGGAGGATGAGGTTTCAGGGTTTGTTGCAATCTGCAACGTCACCACTAGATGCCACTAAATCCTACACACTGGTCCTTTGCGTCACATGATGAAAAGAGCAACAGTGCAACACTTCCAGTGTAACAGCACAGAAACTTTCAGTTCTACTTTCTGTAAAGACAGAGTTTGTCAGCCAAGACACACTGTTTTCGGGACAGTGTCACATAAGATTTTAGAGGGCAACATAAGTGCTTTATCTTATTACATGCATTAAGTACAAATGGAAATGCTTTTCTTCTGGGCCTTGTAGTGGTAAAAAAAACAGGTCAGTGTGTGGTCCTCTACTTATTCATAAGTCAAATCAATAAAATAGATTTTTTGATGTCTACAGAGAAAGTACTGATACTTACAGAGATAATTTACCATCATGAGCACAAAAATAATAAATTATCCAATGTCAAACACTATGTAATAAGTGACCCTAATGTACCTCTCAACCTCATATAGAAGCAGAACTGAAATGAATTCAGTATTACGTCAAGACGAGTTTCTGGTTAATTATATTTTCATTTGCTGGGGGGGGGGTTCTCTACTAGACAAAAGCCTGCATTTATCAGCCTACATACATCCTGCACGAGACTAATCCAATGACACAAAACACAAGGAACCAACTTCCTGTGAACATGAGTCGCTGACGCGTTAGGGGGTCATGCAGTGTTTGACAGTGATGACTACTTTAAGGCTCGAGGCCACGAAGTTGCTGACCTGACCCAGCTGATGGGTCAGACAGTGACATAAGTGGGCCAGTGTCCAAAAAGTCTAGAGTGTTAGTATTTGTCATCCAGTCATAATCCTGTTATCTTTTCTCCTTATCTGTTGTCCCATTTCCATCTGTGCAACGCTTCTAGACTTTAGACTTTATTGTCCCAAAGGGGAAGTTCCTTTCCACAACACTGTACAACTCAGACAACAACAGTAATAACAAAGACAGAAAACAGTACACACTCAGGCCTGTTAAGTGAGGCTTATTATTAAGGCGGCTATGTCTGTGGGGATAAGGCTTTTCCCAAAGTGAGACCTTCTGAACCTTAGTGTTCTGTAACTGTGCCCCGAGGTTGCAATGTGTGTAAGCCTTATTGTTTAGCTCTGTGAGGTCAGGTTAGATCACAAATCACTCAGCTGTGCCACCTCATAGCTGAGTGAAGAGTGCAGTGGACTCTTCAAAGCAAAAAGGAAAGACTTTCTTGCACAGTAAGTGCTATACAGTTCATTACATTTGTACCATTACATAGTAACTACAGTTTGCAATACAGTTCAACACCACAACAAAATGCAGGCTGCAAAAGTCCAGAAAGTTACTCTTAAACAAAAACTGCACATAACAACCTTCATGAAGGTAGAATATATTGCAGGACTGTATTAGACTGCAACAGTTTTAGCTAGGTGTATGTAATAAACAACTGCAAATGAAAAATAACTTTTCGCTGATGTGGTGATACAAAGAGCAAGCACTGGTCATATGTAATATTGTCATGTTATAAAACTTTACAATTCTGTGTTTCCCCAGCTTTGTCAAAAGTGCTGGCACATTGCTGGTGTGGCTTTGACACAGGTGCTAAATGCACAGGAAGTCACGCAGACAGACACACACACACACACCTGTTGTAGTGGTTCATCTATAAAGCTGGAGCCAGTCAGTCTCCTGTCAATCTTTATAGGCTTCATCTCCAGCTTCATCTCATCCAATGTCTGAAGGAGACAAAAAGACAAGAGACGTAGTGAAATGTAAGCAATCACATCAATGAAATAATTTGCATGGTAACTGGCAAGCAGACTTCATCAACAAAGAGACTTGATTAACAACTAATTCATTTGTTTGTTTAGGCGAGGTCAAAATGTGCAAATGTTAGGCATGCTCTTACCTTCAGTATACCAATTTGTGTGGGTGGCAAGTAAGAATGCTCGCACTTTTCCAGGTGTTTCTCTGAATTGATCTTTCCATAGAGCAGAGTGACCGCGAAGCCCCTGGAAAACAGAAGTGAGAGTGAGAGAACAGCGTATCGTGGTTATTGTGAAAGACCAAGCTTTTGTAAAGACATGATGTGTGGTTTCCTGCTCACCCTCCAATGAAGCAGAAGATATAAAAGGCCAGGTAGAATATGGCAAAGGGTCCAAAGGTGACAAGGAACAGCACGACTCCAAGACCCCCCCATCCCCAGATGGACAGACTGGCCTAAAACACACACAGACGCAAAACACAAGTTAAATACTCCCTGCACTTCAGCTTATACTTTAACCAGTCTGAAGGTCATTAGAGCTGGTGAGAAGAAAGACTACCACCCTAATGCTTGATCAAGATATTTACTTTCTATCACAGACAGACTGAATGAGAGATCATTTAATAAGCACACTAGTACTAGATGCCAAATATATCTTCTTTATTATTTTTAATTAAGGCACTGAACGGTACGGTTTGTCGTTCTGGTGTTACTGCATAAACTGCACTTTACTGTATGCAGTAAACAGTCCTATATTTTCATTCAAACAGTTTGGGCTCGACAGCTCACTCCATTGTGAAAGAAAAAAAGAGAACAATAAATCAGCAGCAATTCAATACAGACTAAATGAGATGATTAGACTGATATTAGAATTTTACTGCACAATGTCATCCACAGAGCAGAAAAAACACTGTTCTACACTTTAGATGTCAGCAGAGGAAAAGATTATTTAAACAAAAAAAGACAGCCACTGTGGTGTGATGCGTTGTTAGAGTGTATCGGGCTTAGACTGCGTGTGCACACTCGTGTGTCATATCCTATGGTTTTTCCTGTTATTGTCAGTGAAGGAAGCCAAGCTCTCATTTCCAGCGTCCCAATGTGTTCCACGTAAGTTACTCTCGTTAGCTCTATTTATGTTTTCAGTCCCATACAATGCCAATGCTGTAGATGCAATTATTGCAATTATAAAAACACCAGAAAGCATGTGCGTGATTTATACCCACTCACTATGCGAGTGTGGGAAAGCAAGGCCGGGCTGGCAGGGATTACACTCACTTAGGTCAGCTCAACGCACTGGACGTGACCTCCATCATGACTGCTGATGCTTTCACATTACATATGATAAGATAAACTAATGAATCCCCATGAATACTCTTATGCCATCTGCACCCACAACAGCAAGTGTTTTGCTCAGTGGTACACACTAAAGTATGACTGGGTTCTTGTCACTCAAAGATAAGTAACTAGAAATTGTAGTAGCCTACTGACAAGCCAAACTAGTTTTGAGGTAGTTTAGCAACTTTGTCATCATTGTATAGTACAGAGTCCACTGAAGTTGACTTTTCAACACAAGATTGTTTGTTTATATACGTTACTATCGGCCGATATACCGTATTGAAGGATGACCCTGCCATAGCTCTCCACAAACCTAAAAGCTCCTGCAGGTGCAAGAATTAATGAAACCAGGCCATGCAATCCTTAGAAAAAGTAATGTGACAATGCAGTTATCTACACAAAGCTGGTTAAACGCTAAAACTCTCACACTGTATATACCTCAGACTCTGACCAGGGAGCCATCAGATAAAGTCACTGACCGAGATCATCACTACTGATCTTCTGCTGCCCTACTTTCACACTAGTTTGCACGAGTTCCTTAGATAAGCAGGTCCACTGCTGGAGCCAGATAGGGACAGACAGAGCGTCTTCAGGACACTGAGACATTGTTCTCTTCGCCACAACCTGCTATGGACAATCGGATGACACACATTAGACTGGCTGTCAACTGTATTGCAATCGGGAAACATGGGCCTGTGTGCTATGCCTAGCATGACAAGTGGCTGAATGATTTTGAAAAAAGAAAAAAAAAAAAAAACTTAGTTGTGATTATTTTGACTAATACTGCAATTGCAGTATGATTAGTGTTACTAGGTGAATAGTCATTTTTACATCATTATTCTCATTTTCATTGAAAAACATTAAAATGAATTATGGTGCGATTTTTGCCAGGATCTGTAACAAACAAAGATGTTTTCTCAAGTCACTAGAATATGTTGTGCAGGCCAGGACATCTCTGCAGCACGACAATATTTAATTAAAAATGTTTTTTGACACACCTTTAACAAATATTGTGCCTCTTCCGTTTTGAAAATTTCAGTAGGCCACATTACGGTGTCAATACATTTTCGATTAAATTGAAAGCAAGCTACTGTTGAGGAATATGGTCAGTATAACAAAAATGTGTGAACCAGGCCAAGTGCAGCCTGTGGCTCTGATATGCCAATCCACAATTTTACCTATTACCTATAGAAAATGCCTCTAATAATTCAGGAGAAAGGGCCACTGATCACGGGCTGCTGCATAGGACAGTGTTTAAGAATAATACAACATGTTTTGTTCAACTTCTATTTTAAGCATTCCATGAAAATCATGAGGCATGCATGTGCGCGCCATTGTACACATGCATGCCTCATGATTAGGATGTCCTGAAGTTTTCTTTTGTTTTAACACCAAATCTGGGGCCATTTACATGTCTGCTCATACCAAGTATCAGTTCCAAAAAGATTAGTGGTTGGCCCACCAACTGCTCGGAGTATGGCAGTAGGCAGGCTGAACATAGTACAGCATGACACAGGTATCTTGAATATATGAAAATCTGCATATGCGGGTACATCATGTTGTGATAATAGACAAAGTAAATGCATTCCCAGCATCTCATCATTAAATACTTTAATGCAAAGGAAAAACTACATTCTGAACTGTGTATTTTTGTTTAGCCTATTTAACACATGCAGTTGTCTGACATTGGTGGCTGCCGGCTTTGCTTGCTGACAGTCCCTGTCAGTGTGGTGCTCTGTAGTGCATCCAGAGCATAAGGGTTACAATAAATGAACACACAATCTTAATCAGATCAGGCTTCATACAGCTGATACTAGACAATTTAAAAATAAAATCCCTTGATTGGCTCCAGTTCAGACCTTGCAGATCAGCTTGTGACATCCCGTCACCACACCAGCTGAGGACCAGCTGATTACACAGCACACTGGAAGAATGAAAACCTGACTTCAATGTAAACCAAACGACTAACAGACAGGCTCAGTCCTGTCAGAGCGAAGCCCAAGACACGACAGCTGAACTGGTTTTAAACATATGGGTCATTACATTAATGAAGCAACAGCATAGTTGAGCACGCCTTGGAATATATGACTCACAGAACACATTTCATTTATGAACCCGGTGAAAGGGACAAACCAGGTTAGGGCAGGAAACATTACAACATGTTTACACCTGCTGCACTTACTCTAAAACCCTCATTTACAATGAGTGAAAGCATCTGAAACCAGCTTATCATTTATTTTAATTTCAGTTTTAAATTAAATAGTTTTCATAAAAGGAAGCAAAAAACAAACAAACAGTATACACTAAGTGTCCTAGATAAGATCTCCCAGCTAAATGTAGCTGTGTTAGCAAGGTTCAACCAAACAGTTTATGGACTTTTAAGTGATACAAACAATTTAAGTAGTACAAATTAAGTACAATTTAATTATATCATTGAAGTGGGGGTAGGACAAGAAAAGTTATTCTAACTTCTTCCTACCCCCTTTGAACATGACTGTTATTTGGATCATCTGCTGATGATCTTTTTTGTTGATTGTTTTTATTTTGCTCTTTCGTTGTTGTCTTTTAACATGTTCAATAACGAGTTTAAAAAAAATAAGTCTCTAAATCATGTACCCATATTAAGAAACCAGGATACTTTTCTATATGTATAAATCAGCTTATTGTAAAAGTGCACGTGAACAAACCGACGTCTGGGCTGCAGAATGTGTCTAAACTGGCTAAACTACCTCCTCTTTTTCGAGTCTGGCTGTGAAAAGTCACAAATAGCAGGGTTAGAATAAAGCTGGTCACAGAAGAGGACTATTATCACAGATGAGCTAGAAGTGGTAGAACTACTATCTTGTGCTACTAAGTCACAGAGCAGTTTCTATGCTACTAACTTTGACTTAGTATCCCAAATGAACTGCAGTGTCCTGAACTTTGACACTTTCAGGGCAACCATAACACCTTTTTCATCCACAATATTGCTGCCATTTACATGAAAAACCAAATCAAACTCTCGGTAATGACTTTAATGCAAACATCAATGAACAGCTTGACCTGCAGTAACACATTTACTCTGTTTACATTTCACCCACACAGTAATCACAGAAAAGGCGATTGTTCCATGGTTGTCAATGTTCACAAGCTTTCAGCAGCTCACTGCAGTTATCGTTGCCACATTTATTAGCTCCAGGCCTGAAGCAGCAACTACTCATTGAACCCATCTAGTGAACAACAAACCTTGGTACGCAGGATCCATGAGCACACGCACTGCTAGAGACATCAGTCAGAGCTGGACAAATTATTTAGAAAAACATCTTAATTACATCAAGACTGATGTAGTGGTTGTGGGCTGGGTTTGTGCCAGAACAAACTACAAGCAGTGTTTTTTTCCAAGAGTTTCTGTAAATATGAGGGCTGGTGTAGTTTTAGCACTGATACCCTGGTTAGGTAGATAAATTCACTTTAATAAAAATAAAAAAATTAAACAAAACAGCCATAACAGATTTTGTTTGAATAGAATAATCAAGGAAAGTCAGTTTGGACATACACCATGTTTTTGGTGTGAAGGCAACTGTCCAACATAAAATAAATACTGTCCAAGTTCATCTTACTACATGCAATGCCTCCCTGAGAAAGTCTTTAAATGTAGATCAAATTAGTAACGTAAATCCGGTGTGATGGCAATGGTACCATCGAGCAGCAGTGATTGTGGAGGCCATCGGCAGGGCCATGTCATGAGGCTGCGGAGGTTTGGCTCCGTAGGAGAAATGATAACCGACACTCTTGAGTCATTACAGCTTACACAGGGTTTTAAACATGAACCATCTGTTCCAGTGATTAACACCCAAGCCCATTGGGAACGCACACATCTAGACGTCAAGGCAATTCCTTACGCAAGCCGTACACTCGACTGACAGACACAAACACGAGCGTAACAATATTTAGAGTCTCTGAACAAGATGTCAGCACATGCAAATGTCGGTGTGTCTGTTGTTCAAAAAGCATACATAAATGCACTTAATACGACTGATTACCCTACCCCAGTGATATAATGGGTGAGGATAAAGTAGAGAAATATTCACTGTTTACTTCACTACAACACTAAATTATTATCAGAAATGTGTGTGACTTTGCTATTTCTTAACTTTATGATAACCAAAATCAGAAGTCTAGTCTTATATTAAGATATCCATACATATTTTGGCTGTATCTCTTTCTTGCTTTCTCTCTAAAACATAAACTTACAATAACTAGTAGCAACATGAACTGTGCATAATCTGAATGTTTTTTGAGGACCGCTACACTACTGGACGTCCTTGACTCCAGGCACATTCTGACATACAAACACAGCCTCTTATCAGTGACTTGAAGATTATCATTTCCCAGATTTTCCGGCGCAACTTGAAAACAAATCCACATACACAAGACGCTGTGCGTACTGTGGGGAGAACTGCTCATGGGAGGATATTGCTATTTTTGCAACTCCAAGTTCACAAGCGCTTAGCTGCAGCACCGATCAGTATGGCCATTGGGATAGAGGTTAACTCAGCCCATTAAAGCTCTCCTGTGGGAGATCCATGGTTAATGCCTGAGAGGGAGTGAAAGTGAGTGGGGCCTAATCCGCCAGGACCACCATGATAGAAACCACTATACCATACTACCACATTAGTCTAAGGATAAAATCTCTAGAATAAGAGAAGAGTATAAAGGTGAAAACTAAGAATTTAGGATTATAAGGAAATGCAAACAAATCTTTCACATGTTTAAAAAGCATTATTAAATAGAGTTGTTGTTGTGTCTAGTCTGTCACCTCTCCAGTAGCATTCCAGAAAGTTGTACAATCTGCGCAAAGGAGCACTGATGCTTTTCTGGCACCAGTGCTCATTTGCATTTGTGACCCTGCTGTAGCACATACATCCCACAAAAACGGTCTGTGGCCAAGGCGAGGTACCAGTTAGCCATCTACTCTCTAGATGTATGGCCAAGCACTATTTTCTTCCCCCATTTTTCTGTCCAACTTGGTACTACCAGCTGCCTTGAGCTGTAGCTTGACACCCTTGGGAGGGTGAAGTCAGCCACATGCCTCCTCTGATCATACAGAGTCCCTCTGCTACTTCTGTTCACCTTCTAGTGAGAAGCTTCACCAGGAGGGCTTGTTTAGTGGTTTATGTTATTCCCCACACACAATCAAGCCAGAGGTGCACCTACTGGGAAATGATCCCCAGCCTCTGCAATAGTAGTGACAGTGTCACATGTGTTGCCTCACATTTGTTTTTGTGTTTTTGTTAAGCAGCTGTAGCAGTTAAAGGCAAATAACACATAAAAAAAAAGTGAAATCCAATCACAAATAGTGACACAAGTCTAATTCTGACGCCAAATGCGAAGTGCAGGCTTTGTCTCAGCATGATGTAGACATAAGTCTGAACAGGGCTTATATCTTGAGAGGAGTCGGCTTGTTTGGCGGGGCAACCACTTCTACTGACTGAAGGAAGGAGGGAGAGGTGAACTAGAAGACAAGCAGACCTGATGTGACAGCGTGCTGGCCTTAATGTCGACCAAGCTTTGATTAAGACACCTTAATGAGATTTAGCCAGAGGTGAAAAGCACTGCGATAACTTTATGTGCCTGTGGACGAACACACTATGCACTCACAACCTCTCCACCAACACACTAACTCGGTGTGCAGGGGTGTTTTCATCAAACTATGTGGGAGTTCATCACAGTCAACAGCCAAAGCTGATTATACTATCAAATGTGCAACAGGACTACAAAACACAACATGCATTACAACATACTGTGCAAATATCTGACTATATGTTATTTCTGGGACAAAACCCAGGAGGTGAAGAGGTCAATCAAATGGACTAAAGGTTTATTATTAGCGGAGAGGCAACAACCTCTTATGTAAGATCCATGATGACAATGGCGATGACTCAAAGGGCCCCGTGTGTATTAAAGGTGCAAGTGAGTTGCTACATCTACTGTAGTATCTCTGACCGCACCTTACATCTTAAATCTACAATAAAAAAATGACACTACAAAGCTGGTGAAAAGCCGAAACTTATCTCAAGAAGGCCCAACAAAAGCCCATCAATGAATTCAGACTAAAGGTTACAAGGCAGGAACATTTACACCATAAAGTGCTACAGACATGCATATTTGCAATAGTGCAGTGGCGGATAAAGCCTCCTTGCCAGAGGATAAACCTGTACTTATACTGCTGGAGAGGTGCCTGGATGTGGTTAGGTCACTTGCCGCTCAGGTGAGGCAGGCAGTGCAGTTTGGTTGTTTGTCAGCAGGTGTCATGGTCACTAATCTATCTATTTGAAGCCTGGAAATCAGCCTGTGTTGAGAAACGGCATCACGTGAGAACCATAGCAAATCTTCAATGTCATCACAAGTCACACTAAAAAGCAGCTTGTCAGGCTGAGTGATCACAAAGCCATGGCGTAATCTCTGTAACCACTGACCAGCAGCAATGGACTCAAGACACCTTATTAATATTTTAAGGAAAGCCTGTGTTAGGCCAGTTGTTTGTCTGACAGGAGAAGGGAGCTATTCGGACAGACAGTCAGGCTACCGAATGCCACTGCAAACACCTCCATCGGACAGCTGTGTATAGATGTCCCAGACTTTCCCTGAAGGAAAAGTGAATTGAGAAGGAAATACAGCCGCATTCTTATCATCCCGGCAATCAGCTGTTACCGCTTAATATGCTTGTAACCAACTTACATGTTAACTAATAGAGAAAACAGTGCGGGAAGCAGCAGTCCACAACAGTGCTTTTAACCAACCTTGCTGATACCAATTTGGTGACTTTCTTTCGCCTTTATGTGTTAGACCCTCTAGCCGTTCAATCAGCTAACGCCCAGCTCACCTGTGTTTGTTGTGATGCAGAAATTCGCTGTTGAGGGACGGTACTCATAATCTAAACGCATACTCCTGACAATGCCTGTGTCGAGCTAATTTCAGCACGGTGATGAGAGTGCGGATATCCTAAACCCATCGTATTAACCTAGCGTTAACTGTGTAATCCCGGGCTGACCGCCGCTTATAGCAGACAGACAGCCTATCTGGGAGCACAGCGGCTGTGTGCCTTCCTCTCCTTGTCAATCTGTGTGTTTACCTGCGGGGATAACGCTGAGGCGCTAGCTGCTAGTACAAGCTAACTAGCCATATCTATCACTGGACAACAAAACTACTGTAACCGTACACGCGTCTATGTCATCGGCGCTAACTCACCTCTGCAAACATCGTCTAAAATGCTGTGCGTGCGGTGGCTCCGGCTAACCCCACCACATTGTAACATGCGAAGAGGAGGTTATTTTCTCGGTTAAAAACGGTCGTATTTCCAATCTCCGTACTCTCTTCGGAGCGTCGCCATGTTTGTAAGGTTTACGTCTCGGGTGCCCCGTTTCGGGACGTCGCCCTGCGATTGGCTGGAAGGCGATGACGCAGAAACACACCGTGACTGATTGACGGACACAAATGCAGCGACAATCACGACTGACTTACTTACAAGAATAATTTAACAATTCATGATGTAACTGTGCAGTGGACATATAAAAGTGTTTTTTTTATCTTACTTGGAACAATGATTGGCTGATAAGTTATAATATATTAAATATAATAATTAAAGCCACTTTATTTTCGATGATATCTCTATTTCAGATTTACTACAGTAAAAAAAAAAAAAAAATCATAAACTACACCTATATAGGTTTTATCACTAAATATAACCTCTAGCTCAATTTAACACAATGTTGATAAAAAAAAAAAAGCTATATACATCTGTTATCTATGAGAGGATTGCACAAGACCTGCGCAGTCTGATCACATGATTGACAAGTGGCTACCTGCAAACCTGGTGATAATGCATAATTAATTGCCCCAGTGGCACATTCATTAACCTGAGCTATACCTTACACTACCTGGCAAAGAGAACGCAGGGAGGAGACATGGTGGCAGTGACTTACTGTGCATTCAGACCAAGCGCGAGATCTGTGTGATCGATGTGTTGTTCTAAGTTGTGATAGCTGTCTTCAGGTGGACAAAGCCCTAGCTCTGCATGGATGAGGCAAAATTAAGTCTCTGGCGCCTCTATGTCCAGCAGAACAGTGATGATTACCAGGTGAACACAAAAGGGACCTCCCGTGGCCTCACGTTTCTTGAGTCTCTATTTCCCACTGTCTTTCTTTCTCAGTCAGTCTACACTTACAGAAACACACAAGCAAGTTACAACACCCACGCTTTATGAGTGGCAAGCCTGTTAGGAGCAAAACATGTGTTTTGCATCCAGTTCTGCAAACACATCAAGGCTAAGTTGAAGTGGTTTCCCATACACTGTAAACCTGAATAAGTTCAGAATACTCAGACTTTTTAAGTAGTGGTAATATTTTTGAGTAAACCTTAACTTAAATATAATACATTTTTAAAAGCCTTTAATTTCTGCACACAAAATTCCACTGATTCTCTCTCTCTTACACTCTGAGGGAAATACTAAAATTGTGTAGTGCTAGACTCAAATACTAATGGAACCTCGCTCAACAAAATTACTACTAGTAAACTTAAAATTTACAAAATACCCATTTTCACATCAGATAATAGTCCTCAAAAATACAACTCCATTATTACAATTCAAGTTCTCTTTATTAGTATGATCTTCTCACATCGTCTGTCATTTCTACATTTAACAGACACAAAATAAGGCACATCTTGCATAAAGTTAAATAGACAAAGTAAGTGACTGCTTGATCAGATAATTAACGAGCAACAATTTTGATAATCAGTTTGTTTTCACTCTTTTTTGCAATAATGTTGAACATTCTCTATTTCTAGATTCTTAATGAGATCTTTTGGTGTTAAGTGATAATAACTTGAATCTCTTGAGTTAAATAAAATTTTCTTTTACTACTTACTTTACTGTGTTTTGTGTAAAAAGCAACTATGCGTAATTTTATTCCATCAGCAGCACTTTTACTTAAAAAATATAAAGGGAGCTTAAAATGTGGAGTTTCATGGAATCATAAGCAAATAAAGATGGCTAATAAAGATTGTTTAAAATAAGAAGTCTCACACTATGCAAATATTTAAGTCAGTAGACGTGGTAATGGAACAATCAGGGTTTCTGCAGGTTTCAGGGGGGAAAGAATTCTGTGTCTTTTCGGTGACTTTATAAAACATAAGTACTGCTGATGGATAAACTCCGGGGAGCAGACAGGGAGACATAGAGAAGCAGGGAAAGCCGGTGTGTTTGCAGTGAGAGACAAGAGGTAAAGGTGTGTGTGTGCGTGTGTGTGTGAGTGCAGGGAGAAGTTGAGGCAGGCGCGAGGCAGGCGCAATGCAGGTACATTTACAAATAATAATAATAGAAATAATGTCCATGGGGATTAAAACATGCTTTCACGGGGCCTTATATTGTAAAAAGATTAAGATGGTATGTTTGTGTGGGGGATTGGGGGTCCTCCCCCAAGAAAATTATGTTTTCCAACAAAGAAATATGCAATTCCACACAATTTTGTAACATTGTTATTACCACATCTGTGAATATGTAGGAAATTCTACAGCTGATTTGGAATAAACGACACCCCAAAAGCTAAACTTGCTAAATAAGTCTACTGGGGTTGAATTCTAACCAGTAGATCTGGGAAAATTCATTTGGTTAGTCTTGATGCTCTCCAGTGATTTTATATTCATTGCGCAGCACCAAGCTATTTTCAGCCTCACCACCTTATAATGGCAGGAAAACACATGACCTCAGAATCATTACAGATGGGATTATTCATGTTTGCCTTGTCTTAATTTGCCACTTTATACATTTGTAGAAATTAAGGTTGCACTTCCCCATAGCTGAAGAATAAATCCGTTTTATATCTGTGGTATATTCCGAAAGAGACTTGCAGCAATAACACCAAAGCTGCCTGTTAGTCTATGTATTCAAAATATAGTGAATTATATTTGTACCGATTTGGACTAGCAACAGAAAGAACTACACCACCACGGGAGGAAAACATTCTTGAGCGCTGCGGGGGCATTTCAATGAGGCAGCGTTACATGGATGTTGGAAAATAAATACCCATTTAAAATTATTTAAGACCTAGAACAGAAACTTCAGCGAATATAAGACTTTAAGACCCTGCCGAAAAAAAGTGCAGGACGTCTATCTGACAGGTGCTGTTATCAGAGCAGCTCCTTTAATCTGGGAGGTCTTAGAGTGTTTGATTGTCCGAGTGACAGAAAGTGACAGTGAATCTCAGAGAAGAAAATATTCTGGCAGTAAAAGTACGGTGTCTGTGTGTCAGGCAATAAATGCTTCAGCTTCTCCAGACCAACAAAAGTCTGGAGAAGCCAAAGGGTGAAAGAAGTGAAGCAGGTTAACAAACATCTCCCCTTCAGACTGGAAGCTGACCAGGAAGCTAACAGAATGTCTTTGATTTCAATTTATAGAAAATAATGAGCAGCTGTATTTTATTCCAGCCTACCTGTCCAGCTTGGAGAAAAGAGGTGTTCAGCTCCGTCCTGAACACAGACTGAACATCCATGGGGTACCATATTTCACACATAGCGACTTGTCAATCACAAGGTAGCCCCGCCCTAAAGCCTCCCCTGCTTTCTGGTTTATTTTCCTCTAAATGGGACCATAATTTAATACTATAAATTATAGTTATAATGTTGTGTTGAAGAACACTTGAAACTAGCGACTGAGACCATAAACTCATTAGGAAAGTGTTTACTGAGGTAATAAATCAGCTGAGAAGTAGCCACATTTTCTCATTGACTTCTATATGATCCAGTGGAGTCGCCCCCTGCTGGCTGTTAGAGAGTATGCAGGTTTGAGGCGTAACTTTTCAAACCTGGAGGTTCCTGCTTGGTGAAGACACAAAGCTGCTTCCTGGTTTCACAAATCAGACACATTAAATATCAGATTTCTGTGTGGTTTTGAAACGGACCAATCAAACAACGAGACGCAGATTCCGGTTGTCCTCGCATAGAGGAGCAGGTGGAGGTGGGGCTACGTACTGAGGCACTGCTCTCCTCCTCATTGTTGGTGGGCGGAAGTGAGGCGTGGAGGGTGGACTTGGGAGACTTGGTCTGGGAATCCTCATACTCCTCAGCCAACGCGAACAGGTCACTGAACCTGTAGGAGGAGGAAGTGATCAGAGGTCACAAACCCCTGGAGCAAATAGGTGTGAAGTGTCCTGCTCAGGCACACATTGGTGGACGTGTCACAATGGGAAATTAAACCACTGTTCCATCACCACCCCCAGAGAAGAGACAAATCCATCCACAGCCACCTTTCACTTTGAGCTGAAGTGGACTGCACCAGGAGAATCAGTGTCAGTGACCACAATGAGGAGTGTCAGCAATGTCTGGTTCATCTTTGCACTGCAAAACGCAAACAATCCAATTATGAGGATAATTATAAAAGAAAGCTTGCACTGCATGCTCATCGGTCCCCCCCACACACTTAAAAGCATATTTTTTATTTTTTCCAAGCCTGTCTGGATACAATAATCAAAATGTTAAGAGTTAATGGTGGCTGTTATGATTCCTTCTGTCTATACTGACTCTACAATGCTTTCTTAATCTGACTCAACTGTAAGAGACAGTGTTGTAGTCAAGACCGCCCAAAGCGAGACCAAGTCCAGACCAAGACCAGTTCACCACATTACATGACACACAATAAAATGTGAAACGAGATCAGAGGTACGTCTCAAATTGATCTGAAAGATCCACATTCTCATTAAAACACCCACATACAAACACTAAGAACTGAAATCAACGTAAGCATCGCAATCGCCGGGAGGGGTGACAGTTGTTAACGGTAAAAACACATTTTAATTAGGGTTACTGGTTGCATTTGAAGCAGTACGTTTTACATCCAATCAAAGTTAGGATGTTAAAAAATAAATCGGACAATGCAAAAGCAATTTATTGATATTCCCAAAGTTATGGTCTTGAAATAAAATCCTCAATGTCCAAGACAAGACCGAGTAAAAATGCGGTCGAGTCCGAGACGAGACCAAGACCATTAAAAAGTGGTCTTAAGACCAAGACCAGTCTCGAGTAAATGACCTATGACCAATGACCTAACAACAATATATCCATTTAATATTTTAACTAGACTGCTTAAGCCTTAGCTTCAACTAAACTTAGCATCCTAAAATCCTGTGTCCTCATAGGGGGGATTTAGGTTTTGAGATCCATGCACCATATACTTCATTCGGCTCAATTTAGACCTATTTAGGGCTGTACATAGATTATTTTTCAATTAGTCAATTAATCTAACGATTATTTTTTCAATTAGTCAATTAATCTAACGATTATTTTTTCAATTAGTCAATTAATCTAACGACTAATTTTGTTTATTCTAAAGAAAGAAAAGTTGCCTATTACTCGACTAACATACCAGTTTATCCAAAATAAATATCAAAAACATGTCTAATCAATAAATCTATATTTTATTCAATCATCCTGATGAAGCACATTAGAATAATGACAATAGCAGCAAATCTTAAAATGAATAAAATTTTCACGCTACTGATGTGTTGTGATAATAACAATGACATTAATTAGGATGGATGGATGGATTCATTTCAATATTGAGTAATGCAGTATGATAATAAAATGTATTTCTGCATCAGTGAACACCTGAAAGGACTCAGACTGTACAGACTGTCACAGATTGTCTGTAATTAGATTCAGCTGTTTTCTCGCTCATACGTGGCCGTTAAATAAACAGAAAATATGAAACAGCCGATCGTTACATGACTCACGGTGTAACGTTACGTTACCATGACAGCAGCGGAGCAGAAATTATTTTTAACATGAAGGCAATGAAGAAATACTACGTGTCCTCGTGCTGATAATGTGCCATGCTTGTGTGGCGACAGAAAGTAAACACGATTTGCAGTGCTACCATCTAGACAAGTGCTGCGGGATACTTTTGTTTCACATGTTCGTGCTGCTTCACGTATTCGTGGACAGCAGTTGTGCTGCAGTGAAGCAGCAGTTTACACTTCACAGAGCTCACGGAGCAGCACGTTGTTGAGTGTCTGTCTGAAATACTCCAAACTTTAGACGGTCAAAGGCGGAGCTTGTCCGGGATAATCCCACATTGGATGCAGCGACGCGTCGTGTATTTATGTAATCAATTACGTCGTTTCTTCTTTGTTACACATTGGGTACCCATACTCATTTCTTTCTTAAAGTACTGTTCAAAGACAGCGCTACTAATATAAATACACACAGAATCAAAGCCCAGGTCTTGAGACGTTTGGGAAACATTTTTTCATGAAAGGAGAAGAGTGGATTTGTCCCTAATTTCTAACAATTTGGCCATGCCTATGAAGGAGATGCTAATAGCCAACAATAACCTTTTCACTGTATACATCATATTTTAGCATTGTTTTGAGATAGTCTACAAAAAAACACACAAACCTATTGTTGTGGTGGCAGCCCGGCTTATGGTGAGTGTCCTGGTTATTTCTCCTTTTTTTTGTCTGTGATTCTGTTTTCCCTGGTTTTCTCTATACTCTGCCTGCCTCCCTGTGTCTCCTCCCCTGTGTGTGTGTGTGTGCGCGCGTGCTCTCGCTCTCTCTCTCTCTTTCTCTCTCTCTCTCTCTGCTCCTGAGCCCAGCCAACGACCTGCACCTCATCAGCCACCTCCTCTGCCTGCCACACCTGCCAGCAATCAGCCTCATCTCCAACAGTACTTCTACCCCGGTTCTCCACTCCATCACTGCTTGATCATCGTTGCTCCTAACCTGGTGCTACTGATCACTCAAGCCCTCTTATAACCTGCATGACCGCTGTTTCCCTGTTCTTGAGTTTCCCTGAGTTGCTAACCCTGTTTATCTGTCTGTCTCTCCCCAGGTTCACTCACCCTCGTCCTCTGTCAGCTGGGCTCGCTCACCTGCCCTCTCCCCTCGGACTTCCCCCACAGCGTCCTCCCAGCTCTCGTGCCTCCCTAGTCAGCCTGCCACCACACTCCTCCACCAACCCCCAGATCAGTTCTCCCGTGCCTCCTCTCTTCCTCAGCCCCCCTCGGCTCTCTGGTCTGTCTCCTCGGTTTCCCGTGCCTGCGTTTCCCCAGCGTCCACCTCTCCCTCAACTCCAGTCCCTTAACCCCTTTTTTCCCTAATAAAGCCATTTAATCTTGAGCACTGCGTTTGGGTCCACTCTGTCCATTTCACAACACCTATTCTTTCATTTCTTTAAACCTCTCAGTTGCTGGAAGAGGTATTCCAGTTAGTTTTCTGTAGTACATTTTAAAACATTATACTTACATTTCATACTACTTGTTTGTTGACATTTCTGTGAGTACACCGAGTACTTGCATTGCAGGTTTTGAAGATGTCAGTCATCCACTAGCAGGTTCACTGGGAGGTCACAGAAGGTTGGCTTGCATCTCGTGGTGTTCCTAGATTGACAATCAAAATAATTATACAAATATTTTTATAGCACACCAAGCCATAAAGTGACAGTTCTACCAATGTAATTCTAAAATAATAATATTGATAGCAATAACAAATCCATCCAGCTGCAATTACTAAAAGAAAAGTCAAATTTAAACAAACACAGTGACTCAAACCATGGGTGAGAAATAGAAGCCAACTATAACCTTAAACATGACAATAGAAGAGATTTGGAAGCCAGTGCAGTAGGGCTGGACCCAAATATTCGACTATTCCTTCACTGGGTTGGTATTCAGTTTTCAATTTTGGGATGTGGAGATTTGCACAAGCACCTACAGTTCTGTCCCGCACAATGCTGCGCACACACACCAGCTTGCACCGCAAGTGTTTTCAGTTTCTTTCTTGCTGTATCATGCAATGACAGACACATACTGGCTGCTGTCTGTTCGCTTTCGACTTTCATTGTCAGCCGTATGTTTTACTGCCCAAAAACACAGCTCGCGTTGTGAACTTTTTCAGCCACGAGTCTGTGGTAACCACTGCAGGTGAGCTGCTTGTGGAGAAGGCCTATAGTACATCTCTTTGTTTGTGTCTCTGCACCTGTCCGTAGACGACCGATCATGGATGGAGTTGGTCTCTTGGACGGATAGAAAAATAAAATGCTCAGCACATAAAATCTCAGCAAAATTGAGGATTTTCTGTCTTGGGTTATGTGTTCAGGGCAGCCCAAGAATTTAAAAATAAGCTTGTAAATGGCTTTTAAAGTGATCATGTACCGGAAAGCTTACAAAAATAAATACAACAAGAAAAGAAAATGCAGATTTCTTTAACCTAACTTAGGTTTTGCTGCATCAAAATTAAAGATTATGTGGCTAAGAATTGAGTTAGCCAATCAAATATATTTTAAACTAGACTAATTGTATAATATTTCATCATTTAGCTTCTATCTGAAGCAACATTCCCACACCAACACACACCCTTGTGTTTTTTCTCAACAGTGTCATTTTTGGTCTGAAAAGGGTTGAGACAGAATTTCAGTCAGGTACTAAATAGTTTAAGAACCATTAAGGAGTCATTCAACCATCTCATCATAAGTTTATAACAGCCTTTAACAGAGCCTACAGTGAAAAATGTTTACACTTAATGCTGTAATAGATTTTAGACTAGACTTTTGATCACTGCCAATCATTTGTGAAAGAAATCTATGAGAATTTTAAATTGCTAAATATACATATTCATTATAAAACCTCAGTCACAGCTGGACTAATGCACATTTCTAAAACAGTACAATATAAGATTTCCCATTCAACAAGAACATCATCAAATGCTGATTTTCTTAAAAAATTCAATATTTTATCACCAATATCAGAGCTGCTTTCGCAAGTCAGGTGATTATGGGCATGATGAAATTCCTTCAGCAGCACTCTCTAGAGTCCTTAATGGACACACAATATATGAACACCAACTTTTGATTAGTTTACAAAATAAAGGCCATGTAAACACTTCTCACAAACATGTGATATGGGCAGAGTTTATGTTTTGATAAATGTATTTAGTCTTTAAGACTTAGTTACCAGTTTATTTGGTACATCTAGCTAAATTTAATGCAGTCTAATTCAACATTTCTGCAATAAATCCTCCCTTCATAAAAATGATATTGTTCAGTTTTTGTTGCAACTGTATGATCATTCTGGATCACATGGACCGGTGTTTCTGATATTTTGTCTATCCCATTTATATCAGTGAGGCCATGATAAATAAAAGGGACTCCGCTGTGTATAACACAATACAGTTCACCAGACCACAAACTACATCTACCAAAATGAACAAATAATAATATTAAATTTAAATAAAAACTGAACATTCCTCACCAACTTTCATTACCACAGTGGAAAAATATTCTTTTACAAATACATATTACAGCCACTTCAGATGAGGCAACTTGTGTCTACAATTGAAGGGCTGAGGGGTTTATTAGGTTCACCGCTGATAAAATGAAATCAACACTATTTCAGGATACATCTTATCATAATGTCTTTGAAGCTCGAGGAAACTCCGCCCTCAGGTTCACTTGAAAGGAAAATTAAAACAGATTACAACAGTAATAAGTTAAATATAAACATATTAAATACTTATTATACAAACTAGGGCTGAACAATTTTAGAAAATAATCTAATTGTGATTATCTTTTACCAATATTGCGATTTAAAATGTGATAAATTAAATAAAGCTCTTTACCTTCTGTATTATTCAAAACGGATAGGCAGTAAATCAGTGTATAGTATGACCAACACAATATTAGATAGATTAAACATACACTGTTCTTTCTTGTGGGTCAGGCCTGTGTTATGATGAAATTAGGTGATGACTGAGACAGGCAGCAGAGACGCAGCACGTCTGTCAACACAGTCGCTCGTGTGCCTGAATTTTAACATTTAAAATAGTAATTCTTTAATAAATCAACAATGAACTATAACTGAATTGATTGTGATGTTGTTTCATAGCCACCTTTTCATAAAAACTAATTATTATGATAGTGTTAAAACAATGATAGGATCTTCACACATAATGCTATTATTTAACTTAATAAAATGTCATACATCAAATGATGCAACTCCACATGCCAGGTTTTCTTTGATATGTATGAAGCCTTATTCATCCGTCACAGTTTGGAGGACAAGCCCAATCTAGTCTTCAACTGTGACGAAACTGGCTTTGGGAGACAAACCTAGGACCAGGGAGAAGGTGCTCTGCCAGACTGGCAGGAAGCACGTCTACCACCACCAGCAGACCACCAGGGAGCACATTACAGTGCACTGATGCGTGAATGCAGCCAGGGAAAGCATTCCACCCTTCATCATCTACCCTGGCTGCCTCCCAAGTAAAGCCTATAGGCTGGATGGGCCTCCCAACGCCCTCTCTGGGAATCCAGGAGAAGGTGTACATGGACTCTGAGCTATTCCTCCGGCATTTTGTGCAGTATGCTCCGGAGGACAGACCTCTCATTCTAATCATGGACCAACACGAGACATGTCTCAAAAAATGGTATAATGTACTGCTGGGAAAAATAAATTCTCTGCCTACCTGCCCACACCACACACATCCTACCTCCTGGATATTGCTGTCTTTAATCCCCTCAAGACTGCTTTCTCCACCATGGCTTCCAGGATGGGTCTAGTGCGAGGGGATCTTGTGGTCGGGAAGAAGCAGTTTTCTTCTCTGCTGAGGAATGCCTACCCCACTGCTGTCAATGCCCAAAATATTAAGGCTGGGTTCCGCAAGGCAGGCATCTATCCTCTGTCCAGGGGGGCTGTGGACACAACCCAGGTAATTTTAATATTAATACAATGATAATTCATACTCTAAGTTACTTGCATTTCTTTGTGGTATGCTAATGAGTTTTAAATATGCTTTACTTGTGGTGGTGAGAGTGGTGAGAGTGCTCCCATCTGCTGACCGAAGGGATGCCACGCCATCCATCACTCCCTCAGCCACGCCATCCAGTGCAACTGCTACTCACACACACACAACCAGCGATCCACCTACTGACACACAGACATCAGCCACTCCCTCCACCACTCCAACACCTTGTCCCACTTGTAAAATGGTCAGTCCACAAAATTACCTGGTGGCAGCAGGTGTCATTCCGGAAAGTCTGGCCAACGTACTCATGAGCCCAGCCTTGGACAGGAAGGAGAAGGTAAGGCGTCGCCTTCTGCTGCCAGCCCGTGTCATCACCAGTGACCAGTACGTTAACCTGCTAGAGGAGAAAGAAGCAGAGGAGAAAGAGAAGGAAGAAGAGAAGAGAAAGCGCCAGGAAGATATGGCAAAGAAGGAGGAAAACAGACAAGCACAGGAGACCAAAAGGCAGAAGAAACAGGCACCATCTCCAACCGAGGAAGATGGGGAACACTGCGCTGTCTGCAGTAGAGTGGTCCCACCTGGCTCAGGAGATGGGGCCATTGACGAATGGGTGCAGTGTGACCTTTGCCAACTGTGGTTCCACTTCGAGTGCGCTGGGGTGGAGGAAGTGACACTTTGCCATAAATGTTGTCTGTCCACATAATCACACACACACAATGTAAATAGTTTTTAAATAGTGCAAAAATGAACACATCCTACTGGTTATATACTGACTATTTCTAGTTGTAATTTTTAATTAGTTTAGTGTAAATGGTGCACACACTCGCACAAACACGTAGTATCCTAATCATTTAATTTTTAAGTTCATGGTTTGCACATTAGTTAGTTTCAATTATTAAATTTTTTAAATAAATGCTAATTGTTTCCCCTCCTTCTTGTTCTTCAGAAAGATGTGGTAACGTTGTTGACTAACGTTTCACATGGTTCATGCTTAACTCACGAGCTATAATTAATGTCACGACACAAGCCTAACACAGGCCTAACTCGCATGGTCGTCTAGCTTATTAAGCAGTAAAGTTAGCCTAATTAACCCACGTTTTAACAAAAATAAATGTACTCACCTTTCTTATAGATTTCAATAGTATACTCTTCCGTTAAAAGAAATAAACTCAAAAATTATCCGTTTAAAGTAAATTTTCGCAGTTGTAATCAAGGTATGAGATCTGTACGGATTACCGCTGGCAGCCTGCCAGAGAATGCGCACACAGACGTGCTTGTCTGGCTCTCACTAACAGAGGAGTGGGCGTTGACGTGCGGTGAAAGGCGAAAAGTGTACGGAACATGGTTAGTTTAGATTATCTTAAATGTGCCATGTAATTGAGAAGTGAAGTTGCATTACTAGTTAATGTCAAATTAAACCGTGTTGGCAAGAGGTAACGTTAACATTGTCACCGTGGAAGAGTAATTCTGTTGTAATATTTGGAATCTTCCATATATCAGTTAAAATGTCAGAGTCCATGTCTGAGGAGTTGGTTAATGTTGAACAAGCTTACTTTAGCTTGATGTACAAATTAGTGTTCCATGAATAAGTAACTGCCTATTTAGTAGTAAGTAGTGGTACCTTACTGATTTACTTTCACAGCCCTTTCAAAAGTGTGTTTGGCTGTTATGTTAGCTAACTTAGTAAAATTAATCTTGCTTTCATAATGCTTTTAGTTCCTGAAATGTAGGTTGCTTTAAAAGCATCTACCAAATGAGTAAATGTAAAATTGACAGTCTTGTCTCAGTATTGTTAAGTTAAAGAAACATTGCTATAGGTGGTGGTCTTGACAAACTGTTATGTTTCTTTTAGGGATGGGTATAAAATGAGCCCCACGGCTAAATTATTAAAGATTGTAATGTTGGTATTGATAAGCTGCAACGTTACTGGCTCGTTTATCTCTGCTTTTTTGGTGTAAATTAGTTTAATATATTGCTGCAGCATCTTCCTCATACACACCAAGCAAAGTCAGCAGACCTTAGCAATGAAAGGGCGTTGGAGCCAGTAAAGTGAACCAGGTGGAGTGTATTTCACTTATATAATAAATACATTTAGTCATTTAACTGATGCTTTTATCCAAAGCGACTTACAATTGCAATATATGTTAAAGGTGGCACGCCTCTGGAACAACTAGGAGTTAAGTGTCTTGGTCAGGGACACAATGATGGATGTGTCACAGTTGAAATTGAACGCAGGTCTCTCACACCAAAGGCATGTGTCTTATCCACTGCTCCACAACCAAAAATCATTAACTTACTGTATGTAGACATATTTAGTAAGTTTAGCTTTTGGGTGTAGTTTATTCAAAATCTTACTCTACTTGTGATTCACAGATGTGGTAATAACAATGTTCCAAAATTATGTGGAATTGCATATTTCTTTATTGGAAAACTTTTACACTTTACATCCTCCGAAAGGCTGTTTTAATCCCCACGGACATTATTTTTATTATTTCTAATTGTACCTCCTTTGCACCTGCATCGACTTCTCCCTGCACTCACCACACCAGCTTTCCCTCCTCTCTCTCCCTGTCTGCACCCCTGAGTTTTTCCATAAGCAGTAGGTTATCAATTAATCAATCAAAATTTATTTATAGAGCACTTTAACAACAATCACGAAGTTGCACAAAGTGCTGTACAGAGATTTAAAAAAAGCAAACATCAATTTACAGGTTATCACATACATATAATGTATATGCTTAAAACAGTAAAAAATGAGTTACTCCTCAAAAGTCAAAACCCAGATGGAAGAGATGGGTTTTAAGACTAGTTTTAAAATCAGACAGTGAGGAAGCCTGTCTGAATGTAAGAGGAAGGGCATTCCACAATTTCAGAGCTGCCACCGCAAAAGCACGGTCCCCTTTGAGTTTGCAATGGGTTTTAGACACTCTCAGGAGAAGTTTGTCAACTGACCTGAGCGAACGGGTGGGTGTATAAGGATGAAGCACCTCAGATAAATAAGGGCGGGCAAGGCCATTCAAGGATTTAAAAGTCAGTAAAAGAAGTTTAAAATCGATCCTAAATTGAATGGGTAGCCAATGGAGTCAGCGTAGAACTGGGGAGATGTGTTCATATTTACGTGTTCCCGTTAGAAGACGAGCTGCAGTGCTTTGCACCATCTGGAGACGGGCGAGAGACGATCCATTCATCCCAACGAAAAGTGCGTTGCAGTAATCTAGTCTAGTAGTCACAAAGGCGTGTATAACGGTCTCAGAATTATGCTTAGAAAGAATCGGTTTCAGCTTAGCCAGCTGTCTTAATTGAAAGAAACTAGATTTAACCACTAACCCAACGTGTTTATCCAGTTTCATATCGGCATCCATTCTGACTCCTAGGTCAGTGACGGTTGGTGTGACGTACTGAGCTAGGGGGTGCCTAGATCGAGGTGAGGAGGGGAGCGAGTCCCAGGGGTGCCATTAAAAACCATCACCTCTGTTTTGTTTTCATTAAAACTTAAGAATTTGAGAGCCATCCAAGCCTTTATGTCCTCTAGACATGCAAACAATGGTCTGAGAGTGTCATCCTTACTCAAAGGTACATAGATCTGGCTATCATCTGCATAACAATGGAAAGAGATGCCATGTTTCCTAAGTATTGAGCCAAGGAGGAAGGAGATAAAGGGAAAAGAGAAGAGGTTATGTTTTATAAAGTTGCAGGAAAGACACAGAACTTGTAATTTTTCTGGATATTTCCACCTGTGATCCTTTTTCACGGCAGCAGGTGCACCGCATGCCAGCTTGTTAATTACGTAGCCTATCAATGTCATTCCAGTTATTCATTGTTAATATTGTCCAATGCCAGAGTGGGAGTGTGTTCTCTAAATTGAAAGGAGTTTGCTACAAACAGTAACTGTATTAGTTTGAAGGTATTTATAACTGATAGCTGATTGATTGGGTCTGTCTCTGCCAGTCTTCACTAAAACATTTATGGATGAGAGTTGATGACAGTAACAGTACAGTTTATTCCTCTCCTTAATAACAATTTCCCCTGGTGGATAAAAGTTGATATTCCTCTTATATTAATAATACTTACATATTATAGAAATATAATTGTTACTGTAATTAAATATTAAAAATCAACTTAAGTCATTATTAGTGTTGTGAAATGAATTAATGCATAATCGTGAAACCATGATTATTTCTATAATAAAAATGTAATCGTTGCATCCCTAGGATGGACAGTTGAGGACAGACAGACGAGTGAGAATAGAAAGGTGAGGACTGACCAGTGAGGACAGACAGTTGGGCAGGCAGGTGGGGAAAGTCATACAAAGACAGACAGACAGGTGAGGGAGGACAGACAGACAGGCACGCAGGTGAGGATTGATGGACAGGAAGGTATAGACAGGTGAGGACAGACGGACAGAACAGGCAGGAGGGTGAGGACAGAACAGATGGGCAGACTGAGACAGGGGTGAGAACAGACCAGACAGGTGAGGATTGAGACAAGTGAGGACGGACTGGGACACAGGTGAGGACTGTCTTTGGGTACCTGTTGAACAGCGGTTGTGTCTCCGTCCTCAGTCTTTGCAGTTCCAGCAGTAAACTGGCTCAGCTCACCCGGGAACAGATCCTGGAGCTCATGGACAACCTGAAGCTGAGTCTGAGCAACACCATGAACAGCTGTTAGTACACACAGGCTTATTGATCGCTTCAGGAGGTATTGATAACTGATAGCTGATTGGGTCTGTCTCTGCCAGTCTTCACTCAGACTCTCTTTCAGGCTCTGCAGCACGTTCAGGCCAGCTGTGACGAGTTCCACAAGATGACGCGCACACACACACAGACGGGTGACATCATCACTGCGGAGGCTGACGACATCACTTCCTCCTCCTGCAGGAGTATGAAGACTCCCAGACCAAGCCTCCCAAGTCCTGCCGTAAGGCTCCGGCCTCCTCGCCTCGCTCCCGGAAAGAAGCGGCTCTGCCCAACAACAAGGAGGAGAGCGCCTCCAGCGGCGCCGCAGTAGGTAGCCCCACCTCCACCTGCTCCTCTGTGTGAGGACAACCTGAATCAGGACCACACAGAAATTTGATATTGTGTCTGATTTGTGAAACCAGGAAGCAGCTTTGTGTCTTCACCAAGCAGGAACCTCCAGGTTTGAAAAGTGAAGCCTCAAACCTGCGTTCTCTCTAACAGCCAGCAGGGGGCGACTCCACTGGATCGTATAGAAGTCTATGAGAAAATGTGACTACTTCTCAGCTGATTCATTACCTCAGTAAACACTTTCCTAATGAGTTTATGGTCTCAGTTGCTAGTTTCAAATGCATGATGATCATTTAGTAAACAGGGATGTGATTTTTCCGGATTAATCAGGAATTCTGGATTTTCCGACGTGAAAATCTGACCCACGTGAATCATACACACAAAAAAAGGAGGGGGGGGGGGGGGGGGGGGGGGGGGGGGGCGTCTATAGGCTAATGTGTGTAAAGTTTTCTTCTTTTCCAAGTGTTAACAAGGATGTTCGTTTGGGCTGCCAATTCCACACCTGCGCAGTGTGTACCACAGTCGCTCTCGCGTATCAGTGGTAGGTCACGTGTTTGGCAGTAATACTGCAATATTACTTTTCCCAGTAAATAGTAATGTAACCGATTACTATTTCCAAAACAGTCACATTATTACAGTTACTAATCCAAGTAACGCTAAGCTACTACTCTCCATCCCTGAAGGTCCTGAATGCAGGTCCTTATGCTGTTCAAATCAGCTTTTAGCCAAAAAGCTAAAGGAAGACTGGAGAACTGGGAGAGAGGTATTTTTGACAGCTGTAACGTTATTGCCATTGTGTCACAGTCTAAGATGAAGAACATTGTCGTCTGTTGTAAACTTTGTGCTACCAGCAAAAAGTTCGACAGTGAACAATTCTATATTCATACTTAAAACATCAGCTAAAGCAACACAGCAATGCGAAACTCGGGAAAACAACTCCGGCTGCTACTGCCAGTGATGCTTGGACTCATGGGAGAGAGTAGCGTTATATCACCTAGTAGTAAGTAGAGTAGCTAATATTACTTTTTTAAGGAGTATATGCTAAGTAACTAGTAGGTAATAACTATATTCTGAGTAACTTGCCCAACATAGAGTTGACAATAAGGATTGGATAAACATTATTGCTTGTTATAGGCTATGTCTAATGTTTACTTTGACTTTGTTGTCGATTGATATCTCAGTATATTTTCCTGCTTTTTTGCCCTCACATGCCTGAGTAAATTATGGTCCCATTTAGAGGAAAATAGACCAGAAAGCAGGGGAAGCTTTAGGGTGGGGCTACCTTGTGATTGACAAGTCGCTACGTATGACCCAAATATGGTACCCCATGGATGTTCAGTCTGTGTTCAGGACTGAGCTGAACACCTCTTTTCTCTCAGCTGGACAGGTAGGCTGGAATAAAATTCCGCTGCTTGGTACTTTCTATAAATTGAACCAAAGGACGTTCTGTTAGCTTCCTGCTTATGGAAGATTTTATTGGACTTTAATATCTGTAACCCACAGAAAACAATCCACAAATGTGTACTATGATGCGCAAATATTTCACTATCTACAAATATGTATTTTTACATTTGTGATGTGTAAAATCATATCCACAAAAATAGTGACTTGGACACACAACAGTTTTTGCACATTTGCAGATTGCTTTCTGTCAATTTGTGGGTCATGTTACATTTGTAACTTCCTTTTTTACATTTATGTTGTGTAAAATCATATCCACAAAAATACAGTGCAATTTGCAAATATGTACAATTTACTCTGTACACATTTCAATTTCACACACAAGTGTTATTTACGCATTTGTGGATCTATTTTTAAACACAAAACAGTTTTTTCACATTAGCAGATAATTTCCTGTCAATTTGCTGGTCGTGTTACATTTGTGACTTCCTTTTACGCATTTGTGGAATTTTGTCCACTGTACCACAGAGATCTGTAAGTGTGAGAGCAGTTTATTAGCTATACCAGCAGGTGGCGTTAGTGACATTGCCTCATATAAGTTGTAAGTTGTATATCCATTGCAGTAACCAAGGTCATCTGTAGGAGACAGCTTCTGCTGAA